GCGGCCGACGTGGTGTCCGCCAACGTAGCGCCGGTAGTGTTGATCGCGGTCAATCCGCCGATCATCAGGCCGCATGCGGCCACGAGATTCAAAATCGTAGACATCGTTATCACTCCTCAGTGAGATTGTGTAGAGAACTGCGCACACAACGGCGCAGCTAAGACTCAACAGTTGCAAGCTAGATGCAGCACTGCTGAATCAATTGATCCACACACAGAAGAGTGTTTGAGGTTCGGCAGAAAGAGGGCTGCCGCGGGCAAGTTGCCAGGCGGCACGAGATTCTCGCTGGGGCTGAATTGAAGCCACTGGAACGAGACTGGCCACAGAAACATCAAGAAGTAGATCGTCGGCCGAAGCGATCGGATTCACCACGGCCAGGTCGGTCGGTTGCTCGTCGACCGTGCAGCAGCAGGCATCGCAACTGCAAACGCCATCGCTATTTTCGCAACAGCCCGTCGTCGTGGTTTGTGTCTCGCAGCAAGAATTGGCATGCGTCGGGAAGCTGCTAACGGGCGAGCTGCAGCGGCAGCTTTCATCAGACGCCAAGCCTGGCCGATCGGCAACATTGCAAGCGCAAACCGGCATCTGCGCAAACGCGGTCGCCAGTGCGGCAATAAGCACCACACCTCGAACGACCATCGTGCGAATTTGTTGACGTTTGCTCATAGCGAGGCTGTCTCGAAAGTTCGCGAACCCTACGCATTTAATCTTAGAGTGACTAATTACTCGGGCAATTGAGATTCTCAGGATTGAACGGTTCCGACGCATCGAAAGCCGCAAATGGCTTGCACTTACGCCCTTCGCACAGCGTCCCGGCCACCCCCATTCCGCTGACTAGGACGACTTTCCAAATCCGTGCTCAGTTTTGCCGCTGCGCACTCCGCTGCTGGCTGTCGCCGGCCCGCAGGTAGGCGAACAGGTCGGCGATCTCTTCCAGCGACAGGTCGTCGAACAACTTCTCCGGCATGGCCGACTTCGGGCTGGCAACAACTTCTTCGATCGCGTCCTTCTCCAGGGTCACCTTCTCCCCGTTCGATTGCAGAACGACCACCGAGTCGGCACCCGCGGCTCCGAGGATTCCCGTAAAGGTGCGGCCGTCGTCCGTGATCACCGTCTTGCTGGAGTACTGATCGGAGATAACCTGCGAGGGGTACAGCACCGACTGCACGACCTCTTTGGTTTGGAACCGCCGCATCACGTTCGACAGATCAGGGCCGATGCCCTCGCCCGTGCCGCCGCAGCGGTGGCACTTCACGCATTGGGCCTTGGCAAAGATCTCGGCACCCCGCTGTGATTGACCCGCGTGGCCATCGTCGGAGTCGAGGTATTCCAACAACGTAGCTTCGGTCCAACGACTGCCCTCAGGCGGCGTGGGTAGTGTCGCCGGGGGTGAATCAGGATAAGTCGAGGCGAACCATTCCTGCCACTGCGGCAACTGTTCTTTCCAAGTGTCTTCGGGGTTGCCCAACTGTTGATCGGTCCACTTTTCCAGCAGACTGATCACGTGCGGAGCACCGTCTTCGCCCAGTCGCAAGCCCATCAAGATGGCCTGTCGCAGGGCTTCGGGCTGTTCCGGCGATTGATCAACGCCTTGTAACTTCACGGCCACTTCCACAGCCGCCGGGCCTTCGAGCACAGGGAACGCACTGACGAGCACCGGCCAGTTATCTCCGCCGGGTACTTGGGCTATACCCATGGCCAGCATCATTCGCCGCTCGGGCTGGGTTTCGAATGCATCGCGAAGGTAAGCCATCGCGTCGGGGTGTTGGCTGCGCCCGAGCACCGCCACCACTCCCAGAGAAAGCTTAGTTGCCGCTTCGGTGCCGACACGTTGCAGGCGACGATCCAATTCGACCAGGCCTTTGACCGAGTTCTTGTCCAACTTCTCAGGCAAGCTGGGCAGCACCATAATCGCCGCCGATGGCAGCGTTTCGCCGAGAGCCAGAATCTCGCCGTGCAAGTCGGGCGGCAACGTGGCAAAAAAGTCTCGCGTCAGGTTGTCGAGGTAACGCCCATAACTGTGACCACCTTCGATCTGACGGGCCTTTTCGAAGAACTGCAGCAGGGCCAGTTGCTGCTCGGTGGTCCAACCCTCTTTCAGGTAACGCAGGTGCGCCGCCAGGTGCAGACGCTCTTCGATGGGGCTATCGCCACTGAGTTCGTCGATGGCGCGGGACAGGAAGCTGGTGTCTTGCATGTAGACCAACAGCCGCACCAGTTCGCGGTTCATGCGGTTTTCAAATGCCGGGTATTCGTCGGCTAACTGTTTGCGGAACTCGGGAATGTCGTCGCCGGTCACCTCGCCCCGCAACATGGCCAGTTGCACCACGCGAAGCAGATCGATGAAGTTCTCATCGCTGATGTCGCCTTTGAGGGTGCGGCTCGTGCGATCGAGGATCGAATCGACCACGGCCCGATCGGGACCGAGGATTAACAGAGCTGTTGAACCTTCGAGGAACACTCGCTGATTCTCATGGGCCAACACCCGGGCTTGCCAACGATCGCGGGGAACCGCTTGCAGTGCTCGGCTGGCCGACCACCGGACAAACGGATACGGATCGGCGAGCAAGTCCAACAACTTCCCGACCGGCGCATCTTGTCCGCTACGCACGATCGACTCGCAGGCCTTACGACGCACGGTCGAGTCGGGGTCGTCGAGCAGTTCAATCAAGCGGGGGTGGGTTTGCTCGTCGAAATGAATGCCCATCAGGTACGTGGCCTTCGCCCGAATCTGGGGCGATTCATCGCGAGAGAGCTTCACCAGGAATCGCGTAGACGGCGGGGGGCCAACCAATTGCATGATGTCCATGGCCCGCAGTCGTGTATGAACGGGGTTGGCCGTGTTGTCGGCCACTTCGCCAAGCTTCTCAGTCCAGTCTTCGCCCAGGGCTTGTTTCACCTTGGCGATGTTGTTGCGGCCCACGGCACTGTAGAGCTGTGGTTCAAGAATCGCTTGAGCGATCCCATCGGGCTGGCTGTGTGGGGGAGCTTCGCCTTCCCACACAACACGATAGATGCCGCCTTCGGTATCTCGACCGCCGGTGGAGAAGTACATCCATCCGTCGGGGCCAACCGAAAGATCGGTCACATTCAATGGACGCCCTTCAAGGAACACTTCCGAGCGACCGCGATAGGTGCCTTCAGCTTCCTTCAAGCGCACGACCAGTATCCGCCCCATCGACCAGTCGGCGGCGAACAACGCGTTTTGATACCGCACGGGGTATTTGTAGTGGTTGTAAAACTCCACGCCCGTCGGCGAGCCTCGACCGATGTTGACCGTAGCGGGCAGGCTATCGAGGTAGTACTCAGGCCACTTGGCCCAACCGCTGCGCCAACCATATTCGGCGCCCGGTACCGTGTGAATGATTCGCGTGGGACGATACCAGGGCAGCCCTTCGTCCCATTCCATGTCGGAATCGAACGTGAACAAATCGCCCTGGCGGTTGAAGGCAATGTCATAAGCATTGCGTAACCCGCCGGCATACAACTCTACAAACGTTCCATTGATGTCGGTGCGAATGACCGTTCCGCCGGGCACTTTAACTCCGTCGGCATGACCGCCGGCATCTTCGTAGCGAGGCTGAACCAGGTCGCCTTCGTAGTAGTCGTGGTGAGGGCTGGTGGTTGAAATGTCTCCTTCGACGAACGTGTGATTCCCCAACACCAGGTAGATCAATCCGTCGGGCCCCAACACAGGGGCATGCGGACCATGTTCACCAATGCCGCCGGTGAAGCTAAGAATCTTCTTGATCTTCTCGGCTTTGCGGTCGCCGTCTTCATCCGACAGGCGATACATCCCGGTGCCCTCGGGTCCATCACCCACGGCAAACACATCGCCGTTGAGGGCCAATAGTCCCTGGCAGTTTTTCATCTCTTCGCAAAACGGCTCCACGGTATCGACCACACCGTTGCGATCTTCGTCGAAGATCCGCACCAGGAAGCCACGTTCTTGCGAGGCGATGATGTCGCCCCGCTCGTTGAATGTCATTGCGATGACCGACCCGCTTTCTTCGGGGCCGATGACGCGTTCGACCTGAAAATCAGTAGGGAGCTTGAACCGCCCCGAGGTATTTCCTCCGGCCACTTCCACGCGATCGTTCCAAGGTGGGGTGCGGCCCAGTTCGCCGAGCACGGCGGCCGGTTTCCATTTGGAATCGTTGAACTTCGGATTGCTCCAGTTCTGCTCATCGCTGGTGATCATCAACCACGAGTCGTCGGTCGAATGCGAAACGTCGGTGTTGCCCTTGTTCTTAACGGTAAGCTGCGCGACCAACCCGGCGGGGGTCGAGGGTTCGTTCTCGCACTTCACGGCCACTACGTTGCGGCCGTTGGTGAGATAAGGGCGAATGTCGTAGTGGTCGAGCCGTTGCCAGTCGCTGCCCGTGCCGACACGGCGACCGTTCACATACAGTTCGTAGTCGTCGTCGCAGGTGATGTTGATTTGCCCGCGTTCGACATCGCCCATGTTGAATGTCTTGCGGAAGTAGCACACGGGCACCGACGATGGCTTGGCATCGTCAGCCCAAATCCATTGGGCTTCGCCCGAGTCGGCGGCCAGAGCCTGGCTTTCGATAGCGATGCCGCTGATGGCTACCAGCAGGCAAGCAACCAACGTACGGATTCCTAAACGAGCGACCACTTGCACACCCATCACCGAGCTCTCCTCGTTGATTCAGTTAGCGGCGTTTCCCAAAACTAAGTGTCCAAGGAAGCACCCGCCGATGGACTGAGTCACACACCAGGCATTGAAGCGGTGTGCGAAATGAATCGATTTCCTGTCGCACAAATTGATTGCAAATCACGTAACTTGCTATGCGGCGATAGATTAGCATTAGCTGTCTAAACAAGGCAACAACACATCGTGGTCACCCGGCTCGCCCCATTCACGGCTTAAATCGAGGGTCGTTGACCGCCCGCAACTCATTCAGTACGGTGCGCTTACGTCGACAGTTCATAGAGGCGTGCTAGCACGTTCATCATCTCCCGGAGGAATCGCAAATATGGCAGTTCGCCTATCGAAGTGGATTGTTTTGCTGCTCATGCTGGTCACTTTGCCAGCCTGTTCTTCTGGGAAGCGGGACGAAATCGACCCCAATACCACCACCCCGGGCGACACGGCTGCCGCCGAGATTCCCGAGCCCAAATACGAATGGCCGCTGGTTCGTCCCGAGGGTCTGCCCGAGACGCTCGAAGCGTTGAACTCCGATATCAAATGGGAAGACCAACCGGTGGTTGACTCGTTGAAGTTGCTCCGCGACTTCCAGTCGACCATGCCCGAGTTGGCCACCGTCGAAGAAGCGCTCAAGCTGCGGAACACCTCGGAGGAGAACAACGCGAAGATCCTTAGCGCACTGGGGCGACTTCCTCCGGAGAACGACGAAGGGGTCGACTACGAAGCCACCATCACCCGACACACGCGGGCCGACGTGAAGAGCACGAACCCGTTGATGATCAGTTCGACTTCGGAATTCGAAGTGAACGGGCTCACCGGCATCGGCTTCTTTGGCTTCGACTGGGAGATGAACCCCTTTGCCAGTAGCGACACCGTGGTGAGCTGGCAGGCCAGCGAAGACAAGATGTACGACAAAGTCGTGATGCGCGACGACCTCACCTGGTCCGACGGAACCCCAATCACCGCGCACGACGTCGTCTTTTCGTATCAAACCATCATGAACCCCAAGATTCCGATCCCGGCCGTCCGCTCGGGAACGGACGAGATCCGTTGGGTCGAAGCCTACGACGACTACACGCTGCTGTACGTGCATCGCGATGCATTGGCCACCAACGTGTGGAACGTGAATTTCCCGATCATTCCCAAGCACATCTACGAAGACTCGATTAAAGACGACTTCACGATGCAGGACAGCGAATACCACGTTCGCTTTGAGAACGACCCGGTGGTTGGGGGTCCGTTTCAAATCGTGAGTCGTTCGCGAGGGCAGGAGATCGTGCTGGAACGCCGCGACGAGTACTTCATGTTCGAAGGCCGCCAGGTTCGCGACATGCCGTTCTTCAAACGGATTCGCTTCCGCATCATCGAAGACTCGAACACCGCGCTGCTGGCCGTAAAGTCGGGCAACATCGAGGAGCTGGAGTTAACCCCCGAGCAATGGTTGACCCAAACCGGGGGCGATGACTTCTACGACCGGAACACCAAGGTAAACGGCCGCGCGTGGACTTTCTTCTACTTCGGGTGGAATCAAGATCCGCAGCTCGCGCCGTTCTTCTGCGATGCCCGCGTGCGACAGGCGATGGGTTACGCCTTCGATCACAAGGAGATGCTCGACACACTGTGTTACGGTCTGTATGAACCGTGTGCTGGTATCTTCCATCCTTCGGCATGGATGGCCCCGCAACCTCCGCTCGAGCCTTACACCCAAGACCTCGACAAAGCAGAAGACCTGCTCGACGAAGCCGGCTGGATCGACCACGACGGTGACGGCATTCGCGACAAAGAGATCAACGGACGCCTGGTGCCGTTTCAATTCAAGATCATCACCAGCAACGTTCCCTTGCGAGTAGCGATCTGCAACCAGTTGCGAGAAAGCCTCGACCGGATTGGTGTGCAATGCGATGTGAGCCCCATGGAATTCACCGTGTGGCAAGACGCCATGCTGAAGAAGAACCTGCAAGCCTGCTTCGGCGGTTGGGGCACCGGGGCCGACCCCGACACGAGCATGAACATCTGGGGCACCGGCGAAGCCCGCAACTCGGTGAACTATTCGAACCCCGAGGTCGATCGACTCTTCGAAGAGGCCAAACGGGAGTTCGACCGCGACAAGCGAGCCAAGTTGTACGCCGAGATCGATCGGCTGATCTACGAAGATCAACCGTACACGTTCTTGTACCACCAGAGTTCGTTCTACGCGTTCAACAAGGACCTCCGCGGCTACATGTTCAGCCCCCGGGGCCCCTACAGCTACAGCCCTGGGTTCAGCAGCATCTGGCGGGCGAAATAACTCCCGCGATTCCTTCGCAAACTTGGACAGAGAGTTTCTTAGCCAACGCCCCTGGAGCGACGCGGAAGTGCCCTTGCTACCGGGGCGCGGCTACGTCATGCTGCCGACGCTATGTTTAGTTACTTTGTACGTCGAACGCTGATCGCCCTGCTGACGTTGGTGCTGATCACGTTCTTGATCTACGGGCTGATCCGCGCGATGCCCGGCTCTCCGCTGACCGGCGAGATGATGGACCCGAGCCGTCGTCTCGACCCGGCCGATATCGCACGGATGGAACGCGCCTTCGGGCTCGACAAGCCCTGGTACGAAGCCTACGGCGTGTGGCTGAAGAACCTGCTGCAGTTCGACATGGGCCGGTCCCTGCACCAGAAACAGCCGGTGGCCGATCTCATCGTCGAACGGATGGGTCCCACACTGCTGCTTTCGGTCACGTCGCTGGTGCTGGCCTACCTGCTCTCGATTCCGATGGGGCTCTACGCCTCGGTGCGCTCGGGCAAGACCGACGAACGAGTGATGAGCACCATTCTGTACATGCTTTATTCGTTTCCCTCGTTCGTGGCGGCGCTGCTGTTGCAGATTGTGTTCGCCGTAAAGCTGGGTTGGCTTCCTCTGTTGGGAATGTACAGCAGCACCTACGAAACCATGTCGACGGGCGCCAAGATTTGGGATGTATTCCTGCACTCGCTGATGCCGGTTGCCTGCTACACCTACGGATCGCTGGCGTATTACAGCCGTTTCATTCGCTCGAACATGCTCGAGGTCGTGCAGCAGGATTACATCCGCACCGCCCGAGCCAAAGGTGTACGCGAAGTGCGGGTCATCTTCCACCACGCCTTCCGCAACACGCTCATCCCGTTGGTCACGCTGATGGGGCTCACGCTCCCCTCGTTGCTGAGCGGAAGCATCATCCTCGAACAGATTTTCAGTTGGCCGGGAATGGGTCGGCTGTTCTTCGAATCGATCTCGGCCCGGGATTATCCCGTCATTATGGGGCTCACGCTGATGTTCTCGGTGCTCACGCTGCTGGGACAAATGCTGGCCGACTTCCTGTACGCCGTGGTCGACCCTCGGGTGAGTTTGCGTTAGCCAAGAGATACCTACCGCTGAAGTTTGATAGTTGAATGATGAACGCCGCTTCTCCATCGCCGACCCCCGTCGAACCGCCTCCGAGCGATGCGCCGTCGCGCGGCTATTGGTCCGAGGTGTGGAGCCGGTTCCGGCGGCGGAAGCTGGCGATGATCGCCCTGTACTACATAGGCTTCATGGTCTTCGTCGCCGTGTTTGCCCCAGCGATCGCAGGCACCAAGCCCATCGTTTGCTATTACAAGGGGCACTACTACTTTCCCGCGATGGGCTACTTCAACAGCAAGTGGGAAAACCCCGTATTCTATCACGACAAGTTTCGTCGCGAGTATCCGCAGAATCTCAAAGAGAAAGATCCTGACAGTTGGGCCATCTGGCCGTTGGTGTATCAAGACCCTTACCGCCGCGTACGGGCCGACGAATGGGAAGGCATGCCGGGCAACCCTCGCCGGGATGAGGGGCACCCCAACCGTTACAACATCTTCGGCACCAACCAGGCCGGCGTAGACGTATTCGCCCAAATGGTGCACGGCACCACCATCGCGCTGCTGGTTGGATTCGTGTCGATGGGCATCGCCGCCGCGATCGGAATCACCGTAGGTGCGGTGGCCGGGTATGCAGGCGGTTGGCTTGATATCACGCTGAGCCGATTGATCGAAGTGGTGATCTGTATTCCACCGCTGGTGTTGATCCTGGCCATCATCGCCGTGATCGAAAAACCGACCATCTGGCACATGATGGCGGTGCTAGGCTGCACGCGGTGGACCGACATCGCACGGCTGGCCCGCGCCGAATTCATCAAACTCCGCGACAGCGACTTCATCATCGCCGCCCGGGCGGTCGGGGTTGGCCAACTGCGGATCATGTTCCGCTACATCCTGCCCAACGCCTTGGCCCCCGTGCTGGTCCCCATCACCTTCGGCATCGCAGGCGCAATTCTGATTGAAAGCGGGCTGAGTTTCCTGGGCTTCGGGGCACCTCCGCCGAACCCCAGTTGGGGAACGCTGCTCAACGCGGGTCGTACGAACCTGCAACTGTGGTGGTTGGTCGTCTTCCCCGGTGCGGCCATCTTCCTCGCCGTGCTGGCATACAACCTCGTCGGCGAAGGCATCCAAGAAACCACCGACCCCCGCCTCCGCGGCACCCGCGGGTAGTAAGCCCCAATCAGAATCCTCCGATCCACACCATTTCTGTAGGGAACGCCCTCCGTGGCGTTCCGAGAATTGCCGTTGCGCACGGAACGCCACGGAGGGCGTTCCCTACAGAGGGTCTTCGGTATCAATTCGAACCTTCGACCTCGCGCTTCGTGCGTGCAAGCACGGCACGCTACATCTTCCCTCAGCGGTTGCGGTGCCAGCACTCTTGCTGCAACTGATCTTCCGCAATCTTCACGATTTTGTTAACTAGCTGGCCCACTCGGTGCCGGTTCGCCGTGGGTACCCATTTATCTGGTGTCTTCTAAACGAGTGCTTCCCATGAAACGTATCTTGATTCGGGTCTCTGTTTTGGCCGGAGTCGTTGTGTTGGGCTTCATCACAATCGCCCAAGCGCAACGCGCTTTTCGCTCGACCGACGAATCGGAAACGACCCCGCAAAACAAGGTCGAACTGAGCGAGCAATCGTTGGAACCCATCCCCTCGGGCGAAGAAGCCACCACGCCCGCTGAAGAACCGGCGCACAATCCATTTCGTACCACGGTCGCCTATCAATCGACAGAAGCCGAACCCGAAACGGCGCCGGCTGCCGATTACACCGAAGCCGAATCCATTCCCGCCGAACTTCCCAGCCGGGGAGTGACGGCCGTTGAAGTGGGCGATTCGTTCCCCACCGCGCAAGAAGCTCTGGGTGAAACTTCGCCCGGCACGCATGTTCCCGCCCGCTTCGCCCAATACACCGAAGAGCCGACGCCCACGCTCGCGCCCGAACAACCGCGAGACGACTTCGAACCGCAACCGGCGCCCGCGGCTCCGGCCGACATGTATAACAATCAGTATGACTATGAAGATGCGGCCCTAGACGAAACGCCCCCGGGCCAAGCTTTTGGCGGACCGCCCACCAACCAGTCGATCGATCCGCCGGCCGAATTCCCTCCGGCCTCGGCAGACATGGGTGCGATGCCCATGCAGCCCCCGGTTGAGAATGCCTTCGAAGCGGCTCCTCGGGGCAGCTTCCCCGCGGCCAACGAAATGGCCCCGCCAGCTCAAACCATGCCGGGCAACTTCGCCGCCGAAACGGGTGCCGTTCAACCGGCAACCGCGCAAGCCGCGCCCATGGCCACCGGCGAAGGAACCGGAGTGCCCGGTCACACCGATCTCGAAGGCCAACAAGTTCCCAGCATCGTCATTCACAAACATGCCCCCGAAGAAATCCAGGTCGGCAAGCCGGCCAAGTTTGTGATCGACGTACAAAACAACGGTTCAATCCCGGTCGAACAGGTCGAAGTGCGGGACGAAATCCCCAAGGGCACGCAACTGCTCAGCACCACACCTGCCGCGCAGCGAACCCCTCAAGGCGAACTCGTCTGGTCACTAGGTGCAATGCAGCCGGGTGACGAGACACAACTCGAAATCGAATTGCTTCCCCTGGTAGAAGGTGAAATCGGCAGCGTGGCCGTGGTGTTCATCAGCGCCGCCGCTTCGGCCCGTTCGGTCGCGACACGACCCGAACTCGTCGTGCACATCACCGGTCCACCGCAAGTCGATATCAATGAGACGGCCGTAATCGAGATCGAACTAACCAACCAAGGCACGGGGGCCGCCACCGGCGTGTTCCTGGCCAGCAACCTGCCACAAGGCTTGAGCCATCCCGCAGGCAATTCGCTGGAATACGAAATCGGCACGCTCGAACCCGATCAAACGCGCTCGCTCGAGCTTTCGCTCACCGCTGTGAAAGCCGGCCTGATCCGAAACGTGATCTCGGTGCAAGGCGACGGTCAGGCTCAAGCCGAAGGCACTTGGGAATCTGAGATCGTGGCCCCGCAATTGGCCGTGAATATCGAGGGCCCCAAGCATCGCTACCTGGAAAAGAAAGCCACCTACAACGTCTCCGTCGGCAACCCCGGCACCGCTCCGGCCAAAGAAGTTGAACTCGTGGCGTACGTCCCCGAGGGCATGAAGTTCGTCGAGGCCGACAACTTCGGCGAGTACGACGAACAGGCCGGCACCGTGCATTGGCTGCTCGAAGAACTTCCCGCCGGCGAAACCGGCACCGTCTCACTCACCGCCGTGGCCATCGAGCCCGGCAGTAAGAGCCTTCGCGTGCAGGGGAACACCTCCGAAGGGCTGACCGACGAGAGTTCGCAACAAGTCACCGTCGAAGGTGTGGCCGCCATTCTGTTCCAACTGGTCGATCTTGAAGACCCGATCGAAGTGAACGGTGAAACCGGCTACGAAATTCGCGTAGTCAACCAGGGTTCGAAGGCCGCCACGAATGTGCGTCTGGTCGCCCTGGTGCCGCAACACCTGCAAGCCGTTTCGGCCGAGGGCCCCACGCGACACATCATCGATCAACCGGCCGAAGACCAGCGTGTGCTGTTCGACCCCTTGCCGCAACTCGCCCCCAAGGCCGACGTAACCTACATGGTGAAAGTAAAAGCCCTGCAGGCCGGCGACGCCCGTGTGCGCGTGCAAGTGCTGACCGACGACATGGAACTGCCCGTCACCAAGGAAGAAAGCACCCGGGTGTACTCCGTCGAGTAACACCACTCGACTCGGTTCACCGCAACAGCCTGCAGGCTCAATTCCCCTGTAAAAGTGCCTTCCTAGCTCGGATTGCACGTCCACACCCCGCGGCAGCTTGACGCTCTCGGACAACGCAACGAAGATAAAGCTTGTCTTAACTCTCCCGCGCAGTGCTCCGGAACAGAGCCCTCCCTCAAACGGCGCGTCATGGCGATTCGTTTTATTTGTCCAGAAGGTCATCGCTTGACCGTTCCCGACACTCGGGCCGGTACGCGCGGAAGCTGCCCCCGTTGCAAACAAGCCGTGCAGGTTCCGCTCAGCGACGAACTACCGGCAAAGCTCCGCGGCGCTAGTGACGAAGGCTGGGAAGAAGTTCAATTCGACGACAAGCCGGCCGCCGGTGTCGCGGTCCCTGTGGACGACGACGATGCCCCCATGGCCGAACTGGCCGAACCGCTCAGCCCGGCCGACTTCGCGGCTGAGAATGCTTCGTCGAAGCCAAAGCCGGAAGACGTCAAGGCAGCCAAGTTCGCCGAGCCACTCAGTCCTGGCGACTTTGCCTTCGAGCACAAGAAGCCGGTTGCCAAAGACGAACCGCTCAGTCCGGCCGACTTCGCGGTCCGTAAAAGTGCGTCCAAGAAATCGAAGCCCAAGGCCGAGCCACCGCCGGCGGCGGCAGCAAAGCCCAAACCGGTGGCAGAGCCGGAGGTAGAAGTCCCGCTGACGGTCGAAGACGAGCCCCAGGATGGTCGCGACTTCCGCCTCGATCAAAGCAGCTTGCGAAAGGTTTATCTGCTGGCCATCGTCGAAGCACTCGCCACCGTGTTCGTCGCCTTCCCAGTGATCGAACACCTGGGCATCATCGGCGCACCGCCGTGGGCCTGGGTCGTGATTGGCCTCGTCACCTTACAAGCCGTCTACGTGCTGTGGGTCGTCTCACTGCCCGACTGGAGCACCGTATGGTTTGGGGTGCTCGTGTTTGGGCTTACCAGCATGGTGCACCTGGTCGGCTTCGTGCTGAGCTTCTTCCTGGCCAACAAGAACCTGCTGGGAATAACCACGGGCAATTGGATCACCCCGCTCTGGTGCGGCACCGTGGTGCTCATCACTGCGGCCATGGCCTTTGGCTGCCTTTTCATCAGCCGCCCCTGGCGCGAAGAGTACGAAGCCTACAAGGCCGGCACCGCCCATTAGCTAAGTGCTGCTTCTTACAGCGAACCCAACTTCGCAAAGTTTAGGCTAACCCCCTGCATCGGCATTACTCCGTAGATGCCTTGCCGGAACACGAGGTCGATCGCTTCGTCGATCACCTTGATCGGCATCTTGGGCACCAGCACGATGTCGGAGTCGTCGATCCAGATTTCGTCCGCCGGAGTGGGCCGCTTGCCGTACAGGGCCCCTCGCAAGTCGAGCAGCGTGGCCATCAACCGCCAGTCGTCGCCGCGACGGAAAACCACGATTTGCCGCAAGTTGCCGCCCACGGTCCAACCACCAGCCAGGGCGATCGATTGCATGGCGGTCGTCGGACCTTCCAGCACATAACGTCCCGGCTTGGCCACCTCGCCCAACACGTACACATACCGCGGGGCTCGTTCGATCAAGATCGGCGTAACTTCCAGCCCTTCGACGATCTGGGCGTAGCGTTGATCGAGTTCTCGCTTCAGCTCGTCGAGGGTCATCCCCTGGGCCGGCACCGAACCCAGCGCGGGCAGCGCGATCGTTCCATCTGGCGTTACCTTGGCTTGTCGTCCCTGACCACCGGTGAAGCCGTAACGGCTATCGACCGTGGCCAGAATGTCGAGCAGCTTGGTGTTCACCTTCAACGGAATAACCGTGATCGAGGGATCGGGATAATACTCCCGATAATCCTCGGCAATCTGAGCCCGCAGTTCCTGCACGGTCTTACCCGTGGCCCGCACTTGCCCCAGCAAACGCAGGGTGATGGTTCCGTCGGGCTGCACGACCAGGTCGCTGTTGAGTGAGGGGTCGGTGAACGATTCCACCCGAATCTCATCACCGACGTTGAACTCATATGGCTTCGAGGTCTCGATACGCGTATTGCGATAGACGACCTCCATCAAGTCGTCGGCACGTAGGCGATACTCCCCGATTTGCCGCGTACGATAGTGGCCGACGTATTCACCCTGGGCATAGCTCTGCCAGAACAACTGCCGGTCTTGTCGCCAGTTCAATTCACCACAACCGTGCGTGGCCGCGCCATCAATTCCCCACACACAGTACGGAGCCGCAGGACCCAACCCCTGACATGGCTGAAACTGTGGGTCGTGAATGACCGTCGCGCGTACGGTACTCTCCAACTGATTCGATTCCACCACAGCTTGCTCAGCGATGACCTGCTGTTTCACCGCGGCTGTTGGAGGAGCGGTTTCAACGTTGTCACCACCGCGCCACAGCGCGACCGTACCGGCTACCGGCGCTACGCTGAGGAGGACAAGCAGGACGAATCGAGTTGATGCAAATCGCATGGGGCGGGGGTTCACTGTTGCGAGGACTTGTTTCGATTGATCAACGGTAACCGCGACCACCAGCTCGACTCGGCCTCGGGCTGGGGTTGGTTCAACTCGGGCTCAGCCGTGGACGGAGCTGCCGGCGCCTGGCTAGGCACCGGCTGACGGGGCTGAGGAACCTGGGCCACGTGAGTTGGCGTGGACGAACTGGCGAGTTCCTCGGGAGTAACCCACTTCACGGGCGAGTCCATCGTGGGGCCGGCCGTCGCGGGATTCGCCTGCTGGCTCTTGGCGATCATCACCGCGTTAACGTGTTCGTCGTGAGCCAGTTGAGCCAGTTCGTGCTCGCCCAGCCGAGCATGCACGACCGCCAGGTTGTGCCACGTGGCGGGCAACGGCGCAACTCGCAAGCTGTGAATCAACATCTCACGAGCAGGCTCGAGCCGGCCCAACTTGGCCAGCAACACGCCCATCTCGTTGGCCGCCATCGGGTTCTGAGGAACTGCCAGCAACGCGGCCTGATGGAAGACCACCGCTTTCGATTCAGCAGCCGGCGGCGTCGCGCCGCTAACCTCACTCAGCGCAGAGTACAGCTTGCCCAGCCCGTAGAGAGCCATCGAGCCAGCCACTTCGTCTTCGATCGACTCGGCCAGCTTCTGTTGGGCAAACGTGTAATAACGCTGCCGGGCTTCCAAAGGGCTAACCGCCGCGTTGTCCGTTTCTTTCAATACCGGTGTATTGTGCCCGTCGACCAGCATCCCCACGTCGATGTCGGCTTCCAGGTTCGCACCTCGCGGAACGAACTCGTCGGATTCTTCCAACGCCAGCAGGCCTGCGGCCAACGCCTCGCCGTGGACGTGTGTTCGATTCTCGGCATCCAAGGCCTCAGACAGCATTCGCAGCGACTTGATGAACTCAGTTCGGGCCGAGAAGTACGCCAGCTTGCCGGCCAACTCGAATCCGCTTTGCGTGTGGGCATCCGCGTTGCGAGCAACGATCTCCAGTTCGAGACTTCGCTGCTTGGGCCGTCCAGTGTCCAACGGTTCAACCGGAAATGCCAAGTCTTGTTGGATGGGGGCGGCGATCGCCGGCCGCTCTTCGTTCTGTGCGACAACCGGTGGCGTTGCTTCTGGCAACTGCGTCACTTGCGGCACGGGTTGATCCACCAGCGGCGTGTCGATCTCCATCTCTGGCAGCGGAACCGTGGGAGGCTCGCGAAACTCGTCATTCGAATCGGCGTACCGCGGTGCGGCCGGAAAAGCAAACTCGGGCGTCGAAGTCGGTTCGCGCGGCTCGGTGCTGTTTTCATGCGGCCCGGGTAGCGGCGCTTCGCGTTTCAACCACGGGGCGACTTCTTGCGGCGCGGCAGCACCGGGGGCTGGCTTTCTCCAGAACGGGGTCTCTTCCGCCGGAGCCTGCGCCAACGGTTGCTGTTCGACTTGCTGGGGAATCGACTCCCAACCTCGGTCCAGCGGGCGATCGAGCGTCGAGAACTGGTCGTAATCGGAGAAGTTATCCCGCGCTGCCTCATCCCAATGGTATTCCTCTTCAGGCAGTGGATCGGCAACGATCTGTCCCCAAGCATCGTCAACCGGAGTTACGATGGTGGCCGTGTCACGAACGGGCGGCAGCATGACCTGGGGAAGTGCGACTTCGCCAACTGAAGACTCTTCTTCCAGCTCGGGCTCGTCCTCCGCGAATTGGTCTACTGGCTGATCAACGGGCAAGACCACCTTCGCATTGGCATGAGGGCCCGGCAGGGCGGGCGCTTCGAGTAATTGCTTGTTGATTTCACGCGCCGAAATCGCAGGCCGTCCGGTAGGTGGCGGGCCAAACATCGCCACGTGCGGCGCAGTCTGACCTGGCGGGATAGGATCGACCGCCTGAACCAGCGTGACGGAATCTGGCTCACGGCGGGTGAGTGCATCATCCGCCTGGGGAGGATCACCTCCCATCAGAACCAGCGCCAGCCAGGGGGCCAGGGCCCTTGTTGTTCGCGCGGTACCCAAGTGCTTCATCTTCCGTGATCCATCCAACCGCGGCTCGAAAATGCCGGCGCAACCCCATCCATGGTTACGCTCACTATCACCGATCGTCGTACCGTTGTACCGGCGCTGAGGGAAAACCCGGTCGGACCAATCGTGCCACGCCCCGGGCGATCGGATATCCGGCACAAGCCGCACCACAGGTGCCTGGGAGCCGAACGTTATTGCCGAATTGCGCGAGCCGCTACAACCGGCACAGATTTACTCACCAAAGGGGTGCCAAATAGATTTCGGCGGTAGTGCGACAGATAAGGCTAGTTGCCCAGCAGGGCGTCGACGGCGGCCCCGATGTCTTCGCTGGCCATCAGCGACTCGCCGACGAGAATGGCCTGCACCCCGGCCGCGCCGAGTCGCGCGACATCGTCACGGTTGCGAATACCGCTTTCCCCCACCACGGCACAGTCGGCCGGAATTTGGGATCGCAGCTCAATCGTGTGATTCAAGTCGGTCTTGAAGGTCTTCAAGTTACGATTGTTGATCCCAATCAGCTTGGCCCCAATCGCTAACACCCGCGGGAGGTTGTCAGTCTCGTAAAACTCGACCAACGGGGTCATCCCCAGCTCGATCGCCTCGGAGTGAAGATCGTTCAACTCCGCATCGTTCAAGCACTCGGCGATGAGCAACACGGAGTCGGCCCCGACCGAGCGGGCCTTATACAACTGGTAGCGATCGAGTACGAACTCTTTGCACATCACCGGGATGTTCACCGCGGCGCGGACATCGCGCAAGTAGTTGAAGCTGCCTTGGAAGTACTGCTCGTCAGTCAGCACGCTGATGCAGGCTGCGCCGTGCTTCTCGTACGTGGTAGCAATGGCCACCGGATCGAAGTCTTCGCGAATCACACCCTTCGAGGGACTCGCCTTCTTCACTTCGGCGATCAACCGCACCGTGCCAGGCACCGACAAGGCAGCAAAGAAGTCGCGTGGGGCATCGGCACTGGCGGCTTGCCGCCGGAGTGTCTCTTCAGACACCTTCGCTTTGGCCGCCGCGATTTCGGTTCGCTTCGTGGCGACGATGTCGTCAAGGATCGTGCTCATCCCGCTTGCTTCCGCCAAGAGGCTAGTGTTTGAAATGTCGACGACCGGTGAAGATCATCGCCATATCGTATCGATCACAAGCCTCGATCACCTCTTGGTCCTTTCGCGAACCGCCCGGCTGAATGATGGTCGTCACGCCGGCCTTGGCAGCCAGATCGATCGAATCGGGGAATGGGAAGAAGGCATCGGATCCCAACGCGGCACCCTTGGCCCTTTCGGCCGATTTGGCAATTGCAATCTCGACCGAGTCGACCCGACTCATCTGCCCAGCGCCCGCGCCCCACAGGGCCTGGTCGCGACAGATCACAATCGCGTTCGACTTCACGAACCGCACCATCGTCCAGGCGAAGCGGAGGTCGGCCATTTCGGCGTCGGTCGGCTGACGCTTGGTTGCCACTTTCCATTCCGTGTCGGGGTCGCCCAACACGTCGGCTTCCTGTCGGAGGAAACCGCCTTCCAATCTACGATAGTCCCAATACCCGGCCGATGCATCCAGCTTGCCAACGTCCATCAGTCGCACGTTGGCTTTCCACTTCGGGCGGGTGGTGAAAAGTTCCAGGGCTTCCGCGTGGAACCCGGGAGCAGCGATGGCCTCGATGAACAGCCCCGGTTCGGTCAGCACTTCGGCCGTGGCTTTATCCACGGGGCGATTCAGCGCCAGCACCGATCCGAAGGCACTCAGCGGATCACCCTGCATCGCCCGATCGGCCGCTTCGCTCAACGTCGAAGCCGTGGCCGCACCGCAGGGGTTGTTGTGTTTGATGACCGAAACTGCCGGGGCTCCCATCCCCCGGACAATCGCCAGGGCACTCTCCAGGTCGAGCAGGTTGTTGTAGGAAAGTTCTTTCCCGTTGAGTTGCTTGGCGTTGATCAAGCCAGCCGAGTTTGAGCCCACCTCGGCGTAGACAGCCGCCTTTTGGTGGGGGTTCTCTCCGTAACGCAGCAGTTCCCGACGTTCCAACTGCATCGAGATAGTCGAAGGCAACTCGTCCGCAGCTTGGGAGTCCGACGCGGTTTGGGCAAAGTAGTTGGCAATCGCTCGATCGTAGCGGGCGGTGTGCTCGAATGCCTCACCGGCCAACTGTCGACGTAGCTCATAAGTGGTCGCGCCCCCAGCCCGAATGGCCGACAGCACCTCGTCGTATTGTGAAGAACTTGTAATCACCGTTACGAACGGATGATTCTTTGCCGCAGCTCGAACCATGCTCGGTCCGCCGATGTCGATATTTTCGACAGCTTCTTCGTCGGTCACTCCCTCGCGAGCGATTGTCTCTTCAAACGGGTAGAGGTTCACCACCACGAGTTCGAACGTGACAATCTGGGCACTTGCCAACGCCTGTCGATCGTCTTCGCGATCGTGACGGCAGAGGATTCCACCGTGCACCTTGGGGTGAAGTGTCTTCACACGACCTTCAAGCATTTCAGGAAAGCCGGTATATGTCGCCACATCGCACACCGTTAGCCCGGCATCTTCCAAATGTTTGCGCGTTCCACCGGTGCTGTAAATTTCCACACCGGCTTCGACGAGCCCTTTGGCAAACTCGAGCAAGCCCGTCTTATCGCTAACGCTAATCAAAGCCCGACTTATTGGGGGAGAGGTCATGGCAGAAACCCGCAATGGTACGACTGGCCGACCCACCCATGAGTCGGCAAAGCTCCTGGTTTAAGCCTTTCATCTCACGTGGTCAACCGACCGCCGTGAAAGTTTGATAGCGTGAAGTTGATTGCCACGAGTGACGTATTCGATACGCCCCCCGTTGATGAACTACTCGAATTGGCGATAATTCGGGAGGTGCTTACCCGGTGAGGGTGCGAATTGGACAGAGAAGAGAACCCCCAGGAGCGATTCATGTTTCGAAACCTGAGTTTAGTGGCGTTGGATTTGTCGGCTACACAGAGTGAACTGAACGAACTCGCGCTGTCACACAGGTTTCGAGGCTTCGAACTCCCGATCGGCGATTACGTCGAGCAGGCCAAGAACGATGCGATGGCCTACAGCAAGCGGCTCATCGAGAGCGCGAAGCTGACCGTCACCAGCTTCCGGCTGCCGCTGGAATGGGACACCGACGATGAATCGTTCGCCGAATCGATCAAAAACCTGACGCAACTCTGCGAGATCGCCCAAGAGTTGGGCTGCAAGCGGGTGGAAACCACCATCGCTCCAGGAACCGACCTCCGCCCCTATCACGAGAACTTCGAACTCCACCGCAAGCGACTCACCGAAGTGGCCGCCACGCTGGCCAACTACGGTATGCAATTGGGCGTTGGTTACCAGGCCGCCGCTTCGCTACGTGCCGAGAAATCGTTCGAATTCATTCACCAGTTCGAGCCCCTGCAAATGCTCATCAGCACCGTGGGTGGCGACAACGTCGGCGCGGTGCTCGACACCTGGCAGTTCTTCGTCTCGGGCGACGACATCGGCGAAGCGATCGCCAAACTCGGCAGCGACAAGATTGTGAACGTCGTGCTCAGCGATGCCCCGGCCGAATCCACTCCCGAGGAACTCACCCCCGCTTCGCGACTGCTGCCTGGCGAAACCGGTGAAATCGACTCCTCGGCCATTCTCACGGCCCTGGCCAACGCCGAATATCAAGGCCCGATCACTCCGTTGGCCGATCCTTCGACCATCGAAGAGCAAGGTCGCGAGAAAGTCGTGCAAGTGCTCGGCGAGGCACTCGACAAGGTCTGGAAAGAAGCCGGCCTGTCGCCCACCGGCAAGCTGGTCGCCTCGGCCTAGTCTTCGCTTCAACCAAAGATCGGTTTCACGGGTGCCACCGCTGGCTCGCCCAGCGGTGTCGGCCCGTAACAATTGAGCCTGCGCACTCGCGCTACCCAAACACGTGCTGCACAAAGTTCCTCAGCAGTTGGGCGGCCTGTGGTGTCTCGGTACAACGCTCGGCCAGTTGCTCCAGGGGAACGCCGGCGATGCGTTCGACGTAGCGCGGGTACGCGCGAAGCCGATCGAAGAGATCGTCGCGGGAAAGCTCCGGATGAAACTGCGTGCAGTAGATCGGTTTGCCGTCGAAGCGATAGGCCTGATGGGCCACTTGATCGGATGAAGCCAACAGGGTAGCTCCTGGCGGAAGTTCATCCACGCAGTCTTCATGCCCCATGCAACCATTGAAGCTTTCGCCCAAGCCGGCGAACACGGGGTCGTCGATCGCCGCGGGAGTGAGCCGCACTTTCAACGTGCCCACCTCGGCCCGTTGCTCGTCATGAACCACAGTCCCGCCCATCGCACGGGCCATCGCCTGAAAGCCCCAACACGAGGCGAACGTCGGCTGCGACTTGTGGCATAGTTCGCGCATGCAGTCGAGCACCGGTTCGATCCAGGCCCCATCGTCGGCGGCCGAGTAATCGCCGCTGCCACCAAACAACGCGACATCCACCCGGTCCAATCGGGCGGCGCTGGGAATCTCGGTCAGCAGGTCGCACACCTCAAGTTGCCCAGGGTCGGCACGAAGCTCACGGGCGAACGAACGGACCTCGGCCTGCCGCATCGGATCGTCCGGATTACGAACTTGCAGCAGGAGATAACGCAGCTTTTCAAACATCGGCAACCAGCACTAACTCGGCAGATTCGCGAACACGACAGTCTTCCGACTCTATCAATGGTCCGCCAGACCGGCAATGCAGCGAGGTCCGAAATCGCCACCAGGCTCCTGCGCGAAGCGGCTGCAATCAAGCTTCTACTGGGCTCCAAAGCCCAATCGCCAGGGTGCTACAATGAACACTGGATCGTGCAGGAATTCGATACCCAGGTAAAATGCGAGATGCTTCTTTCGCACCAACAGAACCGACGAAGCCATCACCGCGAGTCATGCGCGAACGCAACTGCCTGGCTTCTGCTAGTGCTATCTTCCGCCGTTGTACTCGCCGGCTGTGGTCGATCCGCGCCCGATCATGTGCAATTCACCACGGCAGAGCTTGAGCGACTGCAACTCGAAGACCTGGACGGCGAGCCGTACGATCCTTGGAACGCCACCGATGCGAATGTGCTGGTGTTCCTGTTCACGGGCATCGACTGTCCAATCTCGAACCGCTATGCCCCGGAGGTCCGTCGCTTGTACGAAGCGTATCATCCGCAGGGGATCGACTTCGTGTTGGTGTACCCACATGGCGATGAGACGCCCGAGGACATTCGTGAACACCTGGCCGCGTTCGACTATCCCTGCACGGCCGTTCGCGACCCGGACAAGACCCTGGCGACCTTGACCAAAGCCACCGTAACGCCGGAGGCCGTCGTCATCGGCCCCGAGCTGCAGATGGTCTATCGAGGCCGCATCGACAATCTCTATGCCGACTTTGGCAAAGCCCGCGCCGCCGCCACGACGCACGATCTAGACGAAGTGCTAAAGGCGTTAGTCGAAGGGCAAAAGGTTCCGGCCCGCACGACCGAGGCGGTCGGTTGTTTCATCGAGGGCATGGGTCCTCAAGCCCGGCAAGGTTCGTAGCGAACGTGGTGTCGGGGTCCCCCCGATTTCGCGCTGCATGGTGAAACCTAGCTGCTACACTGTGCTTCCTGGGGCGACGGACGAGGGTCGCTCGTGTTCGTTTCGCCGTCGCTGCTGAAAGCCGATCCACGTGGCCGACCCGCTGCTCGACAAGTTGCGTCTGAGTTTGATCCCCGGCGTCGGCCCTCGCCTGCGGCAAGCCCTGCTCGATCACTTCGGCTCGCCGGGCGAGATTCTGCTGGCCCGCGGCGATCAATTACGTGCGGTGCCCGGCATTGGCGATAAGCTGGCCGAACGGATCGTAGCCGCCCGCGACTCAGACGCGGCCGAGCGTGAGATCGAACTGGCCGCCGAACGCAACATTCACATCATCGCCGACGACGACCCCCGATATCCGCGGCTACTGCGCGAAGTGCCCGACCCTCCGTGTGTGCTGTTCGTCTACGGCGACGTCATCCCTCAAGATGCCGTGGCGGTGGCCATCGTCGGTTCTCGCCACAGCACCCGATATGGTTTGCAGCAAGCCGAACGCCTCGGCGGAAGTTTGGCCCGCGCTGGTGTAACGGTCATCAGCGGGCTGGCTCGCGGCATCGACGCGGCAGCCCACCGTGGAGCCATGGCCGCCGGAGGGCGAACCATCGCGGTATTGGGGAGCGGCCTGTTGCGCATCTATCCGCCCGAGCACGTGAAACTGGCCGATGAAGTCTCCGGGAGCGGCGCCGTCATCAGCGAGCTACCGCTGAAGTTTGGAGCGATGAGCGGAACCTTTCCGCAGCGGAATCGACTGATCAGCGGCATGACGTTAGGCACGATCGTCGTCGAAGCCGCCCTCCGCAGCGGAGCCCTCATCACGGCACGTCACGCGATGGAACAGGGCCGCGAAGTGTTCGCCGTGCCGGGCCGTGTGGATAGTCGCATGTCGCACGGGTGCCATCAGTTGATTCGCGATGGTGCCAAGCTGGTCGAGAACGTCGACGATGTGCTGGAAGAACTCGGCCCGCTGGTGGAACCGACCGCCGATGCCGACGGGCGCACCGTGCGGCACCCGGCCGAATTGAAGCTGAACGAAATCGAACGTCGGGTGTTGGAGTCGATCGATAACGAACCGACCTCCATCGATGGCATCCAAGCCCGACTGGGGCTGCCTATCTCGCAAGTGCTGGCCACGCTTAGTGTGCTCGAGATGCGACGCTTGATCGACCGCACCAGTGGAACCCAGGTCGTGCGGATCTAAACCCCTCGCCGCACAGCTTCTTGAGCCTCATAAGGCTTCCAATCGGTACATCCGCACCGTGCTTCACTTACAGAGCACCCGTTCGCCACCGGTTCATGAGCCCTGGCGACGTATCGTTTGAATAGCCCGACATTCTTTTAATATCCAGGTGGGTGCCACTGCTGGCTCGTCCAGCAGTGAGATCGTTCAGATACGCACTGCTGGACGAGCTAGCAGTGGCTCCCGCAACGCAGTTCGTACCACTTGTGTTCACCGTGCGTCGTCTGATGTTCACACTTCCTATTCACTGCACAACCGCGAAACGGGCAACGATCCCCCGTCGCCAAAGGCGAGGCTTCTCCGTCATTGCCGTGTTGGCCATCCTTTCGGCTGCGCTGGTGATGACCTACGCCATGCTGCGGGCGCAGGCCACTTCGGTTCAACTCAGTCGCAACACCGACCGTATGGCGGCTGCCCAACAGGCGGCCCAAACCGGGCTCACGATGGCCATCCGCCGTATGCACGATGCGAGCGAATGGGGCGGCGTCTCTTCGGTCTACAACCAGTCACTCAGCGCTACCGAAAGCTTCACCGCCACCTACACCGCAGGCGACCCCGACCTGACCGCGGCCGACGAAGACTGGGACGACTATCCCTATCGCGTCACCGTCGATGTCGAAGGTTCTTCGGTCGATACCATGTTCAATGGCAACGTGGCGGTGGCCAACATCAGGGCCGTGGTCCGCCTGGTTCCGCTCAACATGCCCGATGAATTGACCGACTGGGAAACCGTGCTGCAATACACGGTGTATCAGACAGAAGACAACGAGGTACTGGTCGAACTACCTTGCCGAATCGAGGGAGCCGTGCGTCTGCAAGAAAAACTCAGCGTCCTCAAAGATTCCACGAATGACGAGGACGCACGAGAGCAATATCTCGAAGATTTGCAGGGTGCCGCACTTTACGGCGCAGGCGACTACCGTCCATTCAGTGGACCGGTGAGCCTCCCGTTCGGTGACCAAGACAGCGAAATGTTCGACGACGTGACTGTGAAACTAGGAACGCCGGTGGTGAACATCTCAGCCACATCGATGCCGAGCGACTGGGATTCGCAACCGCTGCCAAATAGTTACACCACATACCGCCTCTATCCAGGCGGCCCTGAGTACACCGTAGCGACACTCTCCGGCTCGCTGCCCAGCGGTACCTACGAACCCGATCCGCTCACGAATCCGGTGGGACTCTTCAAAAGAAATGGCAACTTAACCGTCGACGACTCGACGACAATCCAAGGAACTCTAATTGTCAAGGACAAACTGACTATCGACGGCACCAGCATCGCCGTGGCTGCTGCCGATCTGTCTCCGCTGGACGGAACAACAGATCCGATCCGTTTGCCATCGATCCTGGCCAAGAGTTTGCACGTCGACACCGGCACCTCGGCCACGATGACCGGGATGGTGGCTCTTTGGGACGAATTCACCGTTTTAGAGCAGGACCAAAACGACACGACGATCTTGGATTTCAATGGCGTTCTAATCACGCCCAAGTTTGAAATTGAGCCGCGAGAGAAATGGAAGAACTCCAACTGGGGCTACTGGCATCTAATCTATGGGCTAACTGCTCCCAGCAGCGGTCCGAACCAATTCTTTCCCATCTGGCTGGCGGCCTGGCCTCGGTACTTCTACCCCTACCCCGAGGTCACGATGAAGCAAGAGGCCGAACCGCCTGCCTATCACTGGAAACGCCCCGACGCCAACGAGCCCATCTACATTCCCCGCGACGGCGACGAGGGGCTGTTCTGGGATATCTTACGCGTGGAAGTGGAACCGTAAGCGTTCCGCAGTCTATAGCCTGCTTGCTCATACGAAATTGGCGGGGGCACGTGTCTTCAGGGTGGCCCGGCCGCGCCGGCCGGGTTAGCGAAGCTAACAGGATGCTTTGAAAGGGAGTTGGTTTTGCCGGTTGATTCGACTCCCGCAGGATTGACTCTAGCTGCCGAACGGGAAACAAGTGGAACCCCCACCGGCAGAGAAACTTTTTCTCACGGCATCCTGTCGGCTGCGCCGATCCAGCCGGTGCGGCTGGACCACCCAATCTCGCTCTCTCGCACTTAGCTACTTGCCACTAGCACGCAAGCCGCGATGAACCCGTCAGTGCTCGGCCATCATCAACCGCTGATTGATCGGCGGATGGCTGTGGAACAGAAACACTTCCAACGGGTGCGGGTCGGGGTCGTCTTTGTTCAACACGGCCAACTTGCGGAACGCCGAAAGGTACGCCTCGCGAAGTTGCGTTCGCTCCAGTGCATAGGCATCGCACTGCCGTTCGAAGTGCCGCATGATGACGTTCTGCAGCGGTTCTGACAGCAGCGAGAATACTTTGGTGAGGAACATCAACAGCGGAAGGGCGACAATAGGAATGGGGGACTGATCGAAACTCTCGACACCCACCCAGGCCGTGGCGATACGATCGTAGAACCAGAAGCTCACCGCACTGAACACGGCCCCAATCACAATCAGCTTCTGAATGTGCCGGTGCACGTGATGCCCAACCTCGTGGGCGAAGATCACTTCGATCTCGTCGGGCGAAAACCCGCTGAGCAACGTATCGCCGATCAGCACCCGGCGGGTGCTCCCTAACCCGGCCAGCATAGCGTTGGCCTTCTTCGTTTCCTGGCTCAACCCCATGCGGTAGATCCCTTCGATCGAAAGACCTGTGCCTTCCGAAAGTCGGGCCATCCGCTCGGCAAGGTCTTCGCGGTCGAGTTTTTCAATCTTGAACTGCAGCGGAAGGATCAGCACCGGCACCAATTGACCGATCAACACATTCAGCACGAAGAACGCCCCCGCGGCGACCAGCCACCAGTAACTACCGGTGAGCCAGATAATCCAGAACAACAACGCAAACACCACGCCGCCAAACACCGCCCCGATGGCCATGCGTTCCAGGTAGCGCCGGAACCAGCGGAAGGCCGTTTGATTCGTGAGATCGAATCGCGACTCGACCCACCACCCCGAGGCGAACGACACCGGCAGCGAGACCAACACATGCAGGCCAAACACCACACCGAACAGCATCAATAGCTGCACCGTTTCGTAGCGATTGAAGCCCGACACCCAGCCGGCCAGCGGAGCGGCAAACACAAAGGCCACCACGCCGAGATAGACCAGGTCGACCGCATGATCGACGAGCGTCAGCGCAAGTTGAGTGCGTCCATAACTACGAGCTTCGGCCAATTCTTCGGCCGTCATCTCCCGCCCGAGTTCTTGGACCAGCTCTTCCGAGATCGGCGGTCCAGCCGTGGTGGTCTCAGACTCGGGCGTAGCCGAAGCCTCATCGGTGGTTTGTGGTTCGTCTTCGGGACGGGGAGAAGATTCAGTCACGATGCATCCAAAACAATCGAGAAGAAAAGAACGGCTTCAGTAGTACCTTCCATTGTTAACTACGGCTTGGTTGCGGACCAAGTCCAGTGGCGATCGCTGGTGGCCGTGACCGTCTCCGGAGCGACGCCGACTTCCTCGACCAACTCGCGGATCTCATCCAATCGCAGGGCCGCATGCAGCGAAGCGGTGAACAACTCCCGCTGCCGTCGCGTGGCATGCTGGGCATGGGTGGCCACCAGGCCTTCGAGCCGCACAATGTCCTTTGGCCGCATTAAATCGCGAAAAAACAGTTGCCCGCCCGGTTTCAGCACCCGCCACGCCTCGCGAAGCACCTCCAGCGGCTCGGGGATATGGTGCACGATGCTGTTGGAAAGCACCGCGTCAAAACGCTCATCGTCGAACGGCAGCCGCTTCGCATCACACGATTGCAAGGCAATCTTGTCGGAGAAGCCTTCGTACACAATGTTGGCTATCCCCAGGTCGAGCATCGCCGGCGCCAGGTCGACCCCAATCACGCGCAGATCGTGGCGACGTCGAACCAGTTCCAGCGGAATTTGCGCGGTGCCGGTCCCCACGTCGAGCACTTCGCCCGCGATTTCTTCGCTGGTGAGCAAGTCGTCGACGAACGCCCGATTCACTTCGTCGTGATCCATCGCGTCGTATTCGCGCGCGTCGGCCTCGTCGTCCATCTCTTCTGGTTCGAGCGTTCTTTCCAACATCACTGAGTACCTTTGCAGCCCCGAGAGTTTAAGTCGGGCAAACGTCGCAACTGGTTACGGCAGCTTCATCGCTTCGCGAACTTTGCTGAGTTCAACGCCGAGGGTCAGTTCGGCCAGTTTGGCCAACTGCTCGATGGGACCACGAATGTGGAACGTTTGATGCACGTGCTTCACCGACTGGCCCGAGTTCAACTCCAACGCTGCCGAGAGCGTCTCCAGTTCGTAAAATCCACCCAGGCTCTTGGCCCCCGGCTCGGGCGGACCATCGTTGTAACTATTCAGTGCGTCGCCCGAGAAGGGATCCGGCTGCGGCAGCACCCACGTGTTATTCACGTAGGCTTGGCTTTCGCCATCCTCAGGCAAGGTGTAATGCACCAGCGTGAGCACGCCACGTTTGAAGTCGATCGAACCAACCACCGGCTTCGCGCGAGCAGGCGTGAGCCCGATCTTCGAGCGATAGTTGCCATCGGCCAGGAACAACACAGCCTCAGGAGTGACCACCAGGCGATCGTCGGGGATCGAACCGAAGTAATCGCTGTTCACCACGGGGCCGAGTTTATCGACCGAACCCTGGTGATATGGTGCGATCACCACCGTCTCCTCGCCCGGCGGGAACTGGCCCAAGATCCAGATCGAAATCAAGCCCGAATCGCGAGACTGGGCCTTCCCATGGTTGGTCACCGTGTTCTGGCTTTCGAAACCCACCATCTTCGTGTCGCCCTGGCCGAGCAGCTTCGCGGCATCGTCACCAAAGCTTTTGGCGAAGGCTTGCGCGTTGACCAGTCGAATCAGACGATCGACGTTCAGTTGGAACTCGGTTCGCGAAGCATTCGGCAACTCCATCCGCTTATGCAGTCGATACCCGGGCTGATTGCCATTGTCGGCCTGATGGAACGCTCCGGTGTTGAACGCCGGTGGGGTGAGCCAATTCTCCAACGTCTGTTCGGTATCGGCAGCAAACCACAACGCGAACTGCCCACCCTCGGGCCCAAGCCAGAAACGATCTTCGCCACCGTAGTTGTTGAAGTGAGGGTTGTCTTCGCCGGCTGCAATGAAGTCGCGATTGATCCAGCCCAGGCTCAATCCTTGTGGTCCTTCGCAGGTGCTTGTCATCACGCGACCCTGCAACTGGGGGCAAACCGCCACTCGAGCCCCCTCGTCGTTCGTCAGTTCCATCACTTCGGTATGCTTCACCAGGAAGGCCAAATCGTCTTCGTAGGTTGCATCTTCGGCAAACGTATTGTGGGCAGGGTAAATGCCAGTCATCGCAAAGCAAATCGAAACGATCAGGGTGCAGGCGGCCAAACGCGAACAGAATACCAACACAATTCTCGGCATGAAGAAGGTCCCCACGAGTGAATGAATATATGCTCCCTGCGGAATGCTACCTGCGAGCACCGTGCGATTGAAGTCCCCAGCCGGATTGCTGGCATGCAACCATCGCGCCAATCGCCCGGTTGTGCATGCTGGCGAAATTGCGCCCTGTTGCGGAGTTCCGGCGATACCAGCCCCCCATGAGCCATGATTTCGTCGATGTAATGGAACTTTGATTTAACGTAAACTGTAATCTTTGCTAAACTTGTGTCACGAATGGAGGCAGTTACAATGTAGTGTTCGCCGAACGGCACCCATGGAACGAGAGAACGAGAAGACACATGCTACAGTTCGACTTCGAAAACAGCGTTGGCTACTGGATCTTTGCTACGGCACACCAGTTGGCCTGCGCCATGAACGAGCACCTACAGGAATTAGGCATCACACATCGACAGTGGGAAGTGTTGGCGTGGCTTTCTTTTGAAGGTGAACTTTCTCAAACGGAACTCGCCGAACGGATGGGGATCGAATCGCCCACATTGGTTGGAGTGCTCGACCGCATGGAGCGCGACGACTGGATTAAGCGCGTTCCCAGCGAGACCGATCGCCGCAAGAAAATCATTCATCCCACCGAGCGTGTCGAGCCGGTGTGGACTAAGATGGTCGAGGCCGGGCTCAACGTTCGTGCCAAAGCCACGAATGGACTGAGCGAAGAACAACTGACACTCCTCCGAGAGATGTTGTCGACCATGCGAGACAACCTGTGCTCCGGCCCCACCAGCAAGAAGACGCCTCCCGGCGTACCCAATAATATTCCCGCCTAAGGCACCTCCACCAGGTGCACCATTGCTGCGTCGAAGTGAGGCGGCGTAGCAGCCACACGAATCGGTCCCCCACTGGGGGTTCCGTCTAACATATAATGATTATATGAAGACACTCCCCGTCCAATGCCGTCTGCTGCGCACTTGCTCCGTAGCTCTTGCGCTCAGTCTCTTCGTAGCCGGCTGCGGCGGACCTCCGGCCGATCGCGCAGGCCGACCACCCACCGATGTAACGGTGGCCGAAGTTCGCCGCGATGATATCGCGGTACAAATCTCTTCTGTCGGCACCGTAGTTCCGCTCGATGCCAGTCGTGTGGCGGCGCGGGGAAACGGTCGGGTTGAAAGCTTCCCACTCCGCGAAGGTGCCTTGGTCAAAGCCGGCGAAGTGCTGGCCCAACTGCAAACATCAACAATCGAAATTGAGATTGAAGCCGCAGAGGCGCTGCTAAAAGAAAAGCAACAAACTTTGGCCCTGCAGGAAGCCGGCTATCGCAGCGAAGAGATTGCCCAGGCCGAAGCCCGCATGCTGGCGGCCGAAGCCGTCTATCGCCGCGCGGTGGCGGCACTCGAGCGTCGCCAGCAACTTCACGAACAAGGTTCGATCACCGACGACGAGCTAGACGACGTCACGTACACGGCCACCCAAACCGAACAGCTTTATGCCGAGGCCACGTCCGACTTCGAAATGAAGCAGGCCGGCAATCGCGCTGAAGACATCGAAGCCGCCCGCGCCGCTGTCGAGGCCCAAAAACAAGAAGTCGCCCGACTCAAAGAAGAGATGCGAAAGCGGACGATTTGTTCTCCCTTCGATGGCTACATTGTCGAAAAGCAAACCGATGTAGGCGAATGGGTTTCTGAAGGTGGTATCGTGGCCACCGTCGCCCGCTTGGACATCGTCGAAGTCGAGGTGCAAGTCGATGAGAAGTACGTCGATCAAATTGACGTCGGCGGAACGGTCGATGTGCATATCGAAGCGATCGGCCCAGAGCCCCGCAAGGGAACGATTCAAGCCATTGTGCCACGTTCGAACTGGCAACAGGGTAGCCGTAGCTTCCCGGTTGTTGTTCGCATGGACAACGAATACGTCGACGGCGTCCCGCGGCTGAAAGAAGGGATGATCGCGCGGATCACCTTCAGCGGAAAACCGCACGAGGCCCTGCTCGCCCACAAAGATGCCATCGTCCGCTCCAGCGGCAAACCGGTTGTGTACGTCGTGGGGGCCGGCAGCAAAATCCGCGGCGTGCCCGTCACCGAGGGCATCAGCGACGGGTCGTACATCGAAATCTTCGGGGAAGTCACCGACGGTGAACTGTTGGTTGTTGAGGGTGCCGAACGCGTGCGGCCCTTCGATCAGGTGAATGTGCTGAACGTCACGGGCGAAAAGGCGGCTCAGCTTGCCACCGAGCCCGCACCCGAGGAGGCCCCGGCCACCTCCGGCGGCGACTGACGGTCATCTTTGCAACGAGGCATTGTTCTTCACGCCCGGCACGGCTCTAACACGAACCCGCGGTTGCCATGCTCATCAGCGACTTTTCCATCCGAAACCCCGTCAAGGTCGCCGTGGCCGTGGTGTTGGTGTGTTGCTTTGGATTGATCTCGCTGTTTGCCATTCCCGTGCAGCTAACCCCCGAAGTCGTCCGCCCCGTGGTGGTGGTCGACACTCGCTGGCCCGGGGCCAGCCCGCAAGAGATCGAATCGGAAATCATCTCGAAGCAGGAAGAACAACTGCAAGATGTCGAGGGGATGATCGAGTTCAGCAGCCAATGCTCGACGGGCCGCGGCGAAGTGGAAATGGAGTTCGCCGCCGGTACCCCCATGGAGTCGACCCTGCTGAAGGTCGCCAACAAACTCGACCAGGTTCGCGACTATCCGGAAGACGCCGGCGAGCCCGAAATCGAAACGGTGAGCGTCAACAGCAGCTCGATCGCTTACTTCAGCCTGGTCGCCCGACCGCCCACGCACCAACAACTGCGGGAGTTCCTCTCCGATCATCCGGAACTGGCCGAGCCGTGCGCGGTCTTGTTCGAAACAGAAATTGTCGACATGCCGACCTTCAACCGGTTGGCCGACACATTTCCCGAATTGAAGGAACTCACCGTTGGTGCCCCCGATGTCTTCGCCCTGCGGACCTTCGCCGAAGATTACATTGCCGCCGAAATCCAACGTGTCGACGGCGTGGGCGACTGCGACATTTACGGTGGCAGCGAAGGCGAACTGCGTGTGGTGATCAATCCGGCCAAGCTCGCGGCCTACCAAATCACCATCGCTCAACTCCGCGACGCCCTCACCCGTGAAAACCAAAACATCTCCGGCGGCGATCTGTGGGAAGGCAAGCGCCGCTACATCGTCCGCACCCTGGGGCAGTTTCAATCGCCCGACGAGGTGGCCAACACCATCGTGGCCTACCGCGACGGAGCCCCCGTTTACCTTCGCGACTTGGCCGAGGTGAAACTCACCAGCAGCAAAACGCAGGGCGTAGGCCATCAACGCGGCGTCGACATGCTCACCGCCGCCGTGAAACGCAAGCAAGGTGCCAACGTCATCGACGTGATGAACGGTATCAAAGAAAAGGTCCGCATGCTCAACGACGGACTGCTCAAAGCTCGCGGCCTGTATCTGCTGCAAAGCTACGACGAAACCGTCTACATCGAATCGGCCACCAACCTGGTAACCAGCAACCTCATCGTCGGCGGGCTTCTGGCCGTGCTCGTGTTGTTGGTCTTCCTGAGAAACGGACGCTCCACGCTGGTCATCGCATTGGCCATTCCAATCTGCGCCGTGGGTACGTTCCTCATCGTCAAACTCACCGGTCGCTCGATCAACGTCATCAGCCTGGCCGGCATGGCATTCGCCGTCGGCATGGTGCTGGACAGTGCGATCGTAGTGCTCGAGAACATCGACCGACACTTCCAAAACGGCGACTCGCCCTGGATGGCAGCCAGCCGCGGAACCAGCGAAGTGTGGGGGGCAATTCTGGCCAGCACGCTCACCACGGCCGCCGTGTTCCTCCCGGTGATGTTCATTGAGGAAGAAGCCGGTCAACTGTTTCGCGATATCGCCATCGCCATCACCGCGGGTGTTTCACTCAGCCTGGTGGTTTCGCTTACCGTGATTCCAGCCGCCAGTGCCCGCCTGCTTCGCAACCGACGTGGGGAAGGCAACTTGAAAATCACCAAGCTGGGCCGTCTCCCCGGCTTTCTCGATTCACTCGATCGGCTGGGTGCCAGCTTCAGCGACAAGGTAGTCGAGATCAATCGCCGGTTACTCTCCGCAGAACTACGTCCCACCACCCGCTATCTCACCGCGGTCGGCTTCTTGGTGGGTCTACTGGGAATTTTGCCCGTCACCTACAACCGCATCGACTTCTGGCCCTACTGGTATCCCGTCGCATCGTGGGGTGCATTGGCGTTGGTTGCTGTTTTGGCGTTGGTTTTTCTTCCCATCGCATTGAGTCGCCCCCGCCTAGCAATCGTGGTCACCATCGTCGTACTTACCATTGGGCTAAGCTGGAAACTAATGCCCGACGCCGAGTACCTTCCCGAGGGTAACAAGAACTTGGTGTTCGCCCAGCTCCAGCCGCCGCCGGGCTACAACATCGATCAACTCGAATCGTTAGGCCACACCATCGAGTCGCGTCTCGAGCCTTATTGGGAAGCCCGACCGGGCACGCCCGAAGCCGCCGCGCTCGATGGCCCTGTGATCGACAACTTCTTCCTCGTCGCGCGGGGCTCCTCGCTCTTCATGGGCGGGCGCACCACCGACCCGGCCCAAGCCCACGAACTGGTTCCCTTGCTCGAACGAGCCACGTCCGGCCTGCCAGGCGTAAACGCCTTCGTTAGTCAGTCGAGCTTGTTCGAACGCAACCTGTCTGAAGGTCGTTCGATCGAGGTCGAAATCGTCGGCCCCGAGATCACCAAGCTGGTGGAACTTGGTGGACGCATTCAAAAGGAAGTGCAGTCCATCTTCCCACCCACCACCGAAACCCAAGTGCGAGCCGTGCCGAGCCTCGACCTGGGCAGTAGCGAACTGCATGTTCGTCGCAACGCCGATAAAGCCGCCCAACGCGGTGTGACCACCAGCGAGTTGGGCTACACGGTCGACGCCCTCATCGATGGAGCCTACGCCGGCACCTACTGGCACAACGGAAGAGAGATCGACCTGGTCATCTTCGGCGCCGAAGACTACAGCACCCGCACGCAAGACATACAGCAACTGCCCGTCGGTGCCCCCACCGGCGAACTCGTAGCCCTGGGCGATGTGGCCGACGTGGTCCTCTCCGCCGGTCCCGAGCAAATCAATCGCATCGACCGCCAACGCTCTATCACCATCCAAGTTCGCCCCGGCCCGGGCATCTCGCTGGAAAGCGCCATGCTGCGGATCGAAAACGAAGTGGTCGAACCCTTGCGAGAATCGGGTGCAGACGCCGGCGGGTTGTATCAGTTCCGCCTGGCAGGCACCGCCGACGATCTGCGACAGATGCGGAGCGTGTTGAGTTGGCGAATCGCGATGGCCGTGTTCATCACCTTCCTGCTTATCGCGGCCCTGTACGAATCTTTCCTTTACCCCATCGCCATTATGATCAGCGTCCCATTGGCCTCCGTGGGTGGCTTCGCCGGATTGCGTTTGTTGAACCTCTTCACCACGCAGCGGCTCGACATTCTCACCATGCTAGGGTTCATCATTCTCATCGGTACGGTGGTGAACAATGCCATCCTAATCATCGATCGGGCCTTGCAGCTCATTCGCTATGAAGGGCTCGATCATCAAACGGCCATGCTGGAAAGTATTCGCAGCCGCATCCGTCCCATCTTCATGACCACCGCCACCACGTGCCTGGGCATGTTCCCGCTGGTGGTCTTCCCCGGGGCCGGTAGCGAACTCTACCGCGGGCTCGGCAGCGTGGTGCTAGGCGGCCTGATCGTCTCGACCATGTTCACACTGTTCCTCGTGCCGCTACTGTTCTGCCTGCTGTACGAACTACGGCTGAAAACCCTGGGGGCCGAAACGCTCATCAACGAAAACAGCGACCCGCTCCCCGTCGGCACCCCCCCCACCACCCACGAAAACCCCGAACCCGTCGCCGGCCCAGCGATGAGCTAGCTCTCCCGAGCAACCCTAGTTGCCCTTCAAACGACGCCATCCGAGGAACTCGCCCGCTTTGGCGTTATACTGCGGCTGTTCCGCTGGCGAACTTCGCTCCGCAAGCGGATGGGGTGCAACGAACCATTCAAACGATGGGAGTGGATGCCGTGAGTACTTCCAGCAAGCGGAAGAAGGTTGAGACGTTCGAAGACCTTAGCGGAGACTTAGCCGGCACCTTCCGGCGGGAAGAACGAAACGCCAGTGGGAAAGTCGAGCAAACCGCGCTCGACGCTTCACTCGCCCAACTCGACCGCGACGGCTACGTCGTCCTTGAAGGCGCGATCACCCCTGAGCAACTGGACGAGGCCAAACAGGCCCTCGCACCACTGTTGGGTCAATTGGGCCGCAACGACTTCGAGGGACTGCAAACCCAACGTGTTTATTCGCTGCTGCAGAAAACAAGAGCCCTCGATTCGCTCGTCGCGCATCCGTTGATCATGGCCATCCTCGAGAAGCGGCTTCCCGACGCGTTGCTCTCCGCTTGCCTGGCAATCAACATCTGTCCCGGCGAGAAGGCCCAGATCCCGCACTACGATGCGGCCTTCTATCCCGACTCCCGGCACGAGAAGACACTCGCCATTTCGGTCATCTGGGCGCTCGACCCATTCACCGCAGAAAACGGAGCAACCACCGTTTGGCCCGGCAGCCATCTGTGGAAAGACGAACGACGCCCAACCGAAGCCGACGAACACTGCCCCGCCACCATGCCTGCCGGGTCGGCCGTTGTGTTCTCGGGCAATCTCTGGCACGGCGGTGGAGTGAATCGGGAGAAGGAGTCCCGCCTGGCACTCACTGCCCAGTATTGTGCCCCCTGGCTACGCACCCAAGAGAACATGTCACTGGCCGTCGCCCCTTCAACCGTCGCAACCTTAAGCGAAGAACTCCAAGCCCTGCTCGGCTACGCCATCCATCCACCATTCATGGGCCACGTGAACGGAATGCACCCCAAGCGGTTGCTGGAGGCGCAAGAGTAGCGCAGGTTTCGAATCGTCACTGCCGGAAACTAGGGTGCCACTGCTAGCTCGTCTAGCAGTGCTTTTCGGGGTGTTCGCACTGCTGGACAAGCCAGCAGTGGCACCCACATGTCGATCGGATGACGCTTGGCCCGGCGCGGACTGACTCCGCATGATGGGAACTCCGACTTACGGATCCACATCCGCCGCATGAGGCTCGCCGGTATCGATGACCATGTAGCCGGCCCAGAAGAATGGATGGATCGCCGGGGGCGGAACGTCGATGCCCGAGGCCTTCACCCGCGGCTCGAACTCGGGATCGATCGGCGTTTGCGTGGCCAGTTGAACGCTACGTTGCCAGGCATCGGTCGGCGAAGTGTGCGGCAACTCCTGGGCGAATTCACGCACCAGGTCATAGCTCGATTGCCCGCCGGGTCGCCACCGGCTGAGCAAAATAGTGCGGGCACCCGAGGCCATCAGCCCGCAGACCGAGAGAAACACTTCGTCGCCCGCGGTCGCCGGGTTGGCCCGCTTGAGTCCGTTCTCGGCCGCCGTGTGATAGCCCGGCAGCAACACTTCGGCCGGGCCAGCCCAAGGCAATTTCATCCAACTGTCGAGTGCTCCCGTGGCCGGGTTGCGATCGGCTACCATGGGCGACCACGCATACGGCTTCGCTTCATCGGTTCCAATCAAATCGTCGTACACCACAAGCCGGCCGAACAACGAAGCGTAACTCGACGATGGTCCCGGTAGTGCCGCGCCCAGGGCCACCGTGCCGGGCAGTGTGTTGCTCAGCCGTTGAAATTCATCGATCGCCACGACATCGTCATCGCGGGGAAAGAGTTTGCCGGTGACGACCGCCGTGTTTCGAACGCGACCACGCGCCGCCCCGCTCGCCGGTGTCGATAACGACACGGTAGGAGCGTAGCGAACCCGATACCGCGAAAGCAGCGAAACCATTTGGTTCCCGTCGGGCACCTGCAGAATTTCGAACGGCAAATACCACAGCACCCCGTCGGGGACAATGACGATTTCCTCGGCCTTCAACGGGAAGTTCTCAGGCAAACCTTGCACCAAGGTATTGAACAAGTCGGCCGACCGGTCGCGCCAATGGTCGTCGGCCAAAATATCGCGCGTGAGTTCGCGATTGCCGTCCACCTGGCCCAAGTCTTTCAGCAGGCCTTCAATCTTGTTGCGAAGCTGGGCCGACGACCCAATGTTCCAATGGGCATAGCCGGCTTCCGAAATGCGAAACGCGTGCATCTGCCCGCCGCTTTCATGGAAGGCCAATAGCGCCTGTCCGGAGGGGAGGGCCTCGGTGATTTCTTCCGTAGTGCGGAACGGCGGAAACACCATCTCGCACGGCAGCCGGCCCAGTGCCATCTCCCGTAGAATCGCTTCCTGTTTCTTGCCGTACTCTTCCATCTGGCCCAAGCCCGCCTTCAGTTCACCCAGCGCATCGCCCGCATCGGGGGCCGGGGGAAGCTGCGCCAACTGCTCGCGAAGCGTCTCCGCCTCTTTCGAAAGCGTCGCATAGGCCGGGTAACGGGTCAGCAAGTTCTGCCGCTGCAGTACCGCTTCAGGGTCGAGCATCGATTGCGGAGCCTCGAGTACCCACCGCAGGGCCATCGTGCGTCCGCCGAATTCCAACGTCGAAAAGAAGTGATGCCGCCGGGCCAGGTCGCCAATTTCCATGGCCCGTTCCGGTGCGTTGCGTTCCAGCGCCACCGCGAACCAGTTCGCAAACGACCGCGGGTGCGGGGTCATCAACAAAGTGAGCGACTCGAATGGATCGTTGGTCCAATCCACGGCCGAAGGATCTTGCAGCACCTTGGCGTAAAGATCCATTGCGGCCCGGGGCGAGAGCTGCCCTTTCGACAGCAGGTGATCGGCCAGTTTAATGTGAAAGTTCCGCAGCGAACCCTTCTGCTGAAACTTCATCGCTTCATTCAAAGCACGATAGCCCTCAGTCGATCCACCTTGGAACAACGACTGGGCCAGCACAAAGTTCATCCGTCCGCCGGTCCGGCTGGCCAACATCTCGCGTTTGCGAGACAACAAGCCACGCGCCTCCGACAGATAAGCCTGAGCCTGCCGCGAGTCGTGCAGGGCCACGTAGTTTTCGGCCAACAACACCGAGATCAAGGCCGCCAGGCGACGCTGACTGTTGGGTCGGGTCCACTCCAACGCTTGTCGCAGCGGTGGATACACGCCGGGCGAATTGCTGGCCAGGTGCGTGGTCAGCCCCCAAGTGAAGGCCTCACCCACGATGTCGGGGTTCGCATATTGCACGGCGGCCAAACTAGCTTCGCCGAAGTACGCACTCGCCGCCGCGAAGTCACCTTCCTCTAGGGCAATCTGCCCCAGGGCAAGCAGCGCCGTACTCGTCAACGGATGATCGAACTGCCCTTCGGCCACCAGCGCGCGTTGCAACGCGGTTTTAGCCTGGGCCGTTTGCCCTCCGGCCATTTGTGCCAAACCAAGTTGAACATCGATCCAGGCCTCCGACCAATGGTTCGGTTGCCCCGGCCGGCGGGAGAACGCCGCGATCAGTTCCTTGGTCATCGTATGATCGGCACAAGCCGGACCCAGCAACTCTCGCCAGCGTCGCAGCGAAATCGTCGAGCACCGCACAATCTCCGGCACACCAATCTGCATGAGCACGGCCACCTGCAGGGCGCCTCCCTGCTTCACCGTATCCAACGGGTTGAGCTGTCCCTGACCAATCAGGTAGGTGTCTTTGTATTCGCCATACCGCGGGCGTCGTTGTGAGGTGTACCAGGGCACGTTGCGAATCTGCCCCGGCTGCGACGGCCGAATCGGCTGAAACTGAATGCGGATCATCCAGTCGGGAAAGTTCAGCATCAGTTGCAGGGCCGACTCGTATTGCGCCAACGCGTCGTCGAGTTGCCCCATCTGGTAATAGCACTCGCCGACCATCGTGTGATAACAGATCGAGTCGATCCAGTTCTGGCCGGGGATTCTGATGCCCCGTCGCCCTTCGCTTTTGAATTGACGCAGGGCGTTGCTCAAGTCGCCGTCGTAGTAATCGCGAAACGCCAGGTAATACGTGTCGCGGGGATAAACCTGCTGCCGGCGCTGTTGTTGACCTTGGGCAGCAAGGGGTTCGCAAAAGCCGGCTGCTACGATTGCCAGCAGCGTAGCGCGCAGAGTCCATCGAAGGCATGGAGATGCCAAGGGCTGCGAGCGGCGACATGTCCGCATCGTTCTGTTCCTCCGTGCGTGAGTCGCACGTATTCGAAAAGAGTTGCAACGTAGCGGTCTCTATGCCGGAAGGCCTCTTCCCCGGCAGCTCGAAGCAGTCGCGTAGCTAGCGTGACCCTTCTAGCAATTCCGCTATATCTCAGGATACCGGCACGCCGGGCCAAGGCAAACAAAGTTCCCACCAGAATGAGCCGTTACGCCCCGGTATTTTGGGCAATCTACCGGCATATGCGGCCCACGGCTGTACTCACAATGATGGCACCCCGACTGCATGCGTCGGGCTCAGCGTGGGGAAATCCCCTTCTCAAATGTTTAGCGCAACTTTTCCGCAAGTGAAACCAAAGTTACGCCAAGTCCCTGGCCGATAGGGGATGTGCGGGATGTATCGATTGTAACCCTGCCCTCGCACAGACGACGGGCCACTCGCGAAGAAATCACGCAAGCCCTCGGGCAGACATTGGAGAACCATGAACATGCCACACAAGGCCCTTTTGAAATATGGCCGCACGGGCATGCTTGTCGCGCTGTTGGGCGTCGGGAGCCTGGGCATGACTGGCTGTACGGTCGACGTGAACGGACAAACGCTGCCCAGCCCGTACTACATCACCGACGACGTTCAATTCTTCAACCCTGGCCCCGAGTTCAAGCTCGAACGCGAGGGTGCCGCACTCAAGGCCAACCGTGCCTTGCGATTGCAAGAACAACGCTAGACGGCCGTCATTCGTGAAGAATGACCGAGGGCGCCACTGCAGGCTTGCCCCGCGGTGGACGATTTGCCGCGAGAGAAAGCGGGTGCTCTCTCGTTGCTAGGGTGTAGCTTGCGTTGCTTGCGAGCAATCTAATCGGAAGAAGCAGGGCCCTACTTGCCGATGCAACTGTAGAGGGTTAGTCGGCGAAGTTTCATTCCGCCGACCACGCGTGCCACGGCAGGATGCCAGCGGGCGAAAACGACGAAGCCAAGGAAGTCGCAAGCTCATGGAAATGGAACAAGCAGATCTCGTTGTCGTCGCGGAACAGTGGGCTCATCTAGTGCTGGTGTGGATCGGATTCGGCACCGTCGCCGGGTTGGCCGCAAAAGCCATCATGCCAGGACGCGACCCCGGCGGAGCTGTCGCCACCTTGATGATGGGCATCGGTGGCAGTGTCGTTGGCTCGGGCACTCTGATGCTCCTGTGGGAAGGAACCCGCGTTACGCCGGTCAGCCCCCTCGGCTTCGTCGTGGCCACCGCCGGAGCGTTTATCATCCTGTTCTTCTACAAGATGCTGGCCGGCCACTTCTTTACCGAAGGCGAAGAAACCAGGGCCGTGCGTCGTCGCCGCCGATCATTCCGTCGTTCGGCCGCGTTTATCGACGACTAGGCCGGCGAACTAGGCCGAAGCCTGCTTCGAGGCGGCTTCATCGCCCGCGTGCCACCAGGCATCGACAAAGCGTTTGGCTCGCAGCACCTGGGCTTTTCCCGTGCCTGCGTAATGGCTGTAGCGATAGCTTCCGGCCACCGACGTGAGCCAGTGACGCTTGCACTCCAGGTACTCGGTGCCCAGGTCGAACGTGCGATCGCCGCGGGCGAAGCTGTCTTCGAACATCAGGTTCATCATCACCGTGCCGGCACCTTCTTTGGCATATTCGGGGTCGAAGCCCATTCGCAGGCCGTGCACGTAGCCTTGGTAGTGGTAGTTGTACGAGAAGGCGACCGGCTTACCGTCGACCAGCAGCACGCACATGTCGACCGCTCCCACGTGACAGGCTCGGACGTGCATGTCGCGAAGGAAACCGCGAATCGACTCGTGCGTGATCGTGGTTCCCGAGTTGCTGGAACCTTGCCAGCTACGCTCGGCGATTTCCTCACACATTTCATACAAGTCCCAACGAGGATCACCGTCGTCGTTGGCCGATCCCTCGGGACGATATCGCACCAGCTCCACCGTGCCTCGTTCGGCCAGCTTGCGAGCCTTAGCACGCAGGTCTTTCCGCCACTTGCGGCTTCGTGAGGCGAGGTACTCGTCCCAGGTGCCTTCCATGTCGATCATCGCGGCCTGACGCCACTGTTCTTTACGGCCTTCGATTCCCGCCGCACGCATGGCTTGTTCAGTGCGACGGAAATCGCAACGGTCGTTGTTCACCCAGCGAAGTTCGACCAGATCCCAGTCACGCTCGCAACCGCTGATGTAGCTCGTCGCCGCAGTCAGCGTGGCCGTGGGGTTGGGACCGATCGGACCGTAAAAGCTACCCCAGTCCGACAGCGGATAGGTCAGCACGCGGACCGTACCAATGCGGGTCGATTCATTACGAACCACCAGCGGCAGAATCCCGATCGGTTGACCACCGGCATAGACGATCAACACCCGCAGGTCTTGGTCGGCTCCGTAGTGCTGCCAGTACACTTCCAGCCAATCGAGCGTTTGAAAAAACGAGGCCTCACGCGTCTCGGCCAGCAAGCTATTCCACAGCAGCCGATAACAGGCGAGTTCTTCGATGCTGTTGATTTCTTGAACTCGGCTCATCGGTCGTTTCCTGAGGTGTCGCTGGCAGTGCTGGGAACTCGTGGCCAGGGTCTCATCCTAAACCCTCGCGGCCATGCTCCAAGTAATTAGCAACCGGTATGCCACGCCATCTGGGGGGGATGAGTCTTCGGGCGGGAACGTGCCCGTAAGGCCCTTAAAACAAGGCAGATACGGCAATCGCCGATCCGTCGCACTTCCTCAGAAGGCCATATCCACCAGGGTCGCCAAGTTGCCGATTCGCATCGAGATGTGGGGAAATGTCAACGCGCCCGGCCGAAAAGCAACGTTGTGCCGTGCAGGCTGACTGGGGAAAATTGATGGGCAGTTCGAGGAGGTAGAAGCACTTTTCAGACCGAAACCTGCTGCGTCACCTCGGGTTTAATTGTCTAATGAAGGAACCTGCGACTTGTCTCCCCTGGCAGCTCGCACCGATGAGAGATTAGCACCCTTAACAAGTGCCCACCGCAGTCTTCAAGCAGCCCCCCTCAACAAGAGAAGCGAATCATGCAGTCCGCCTCTTCTTCTCGCAATCTAGCAGCAGCGTTGGCCGCCATGTTGTTTGCTTGCAGTATCAGCATCACGCCCGTGATTGGGGCCGAGCGAACGGGTGACCGACCCGACCCGGTGCCGCGCGTCGAAGAGATGGACAGCGCTGGAACGGCCGCCGAAGTCGATCGCCTGCTGGCCGAAGAACTCTTCGGTGAGGAGACCGACGTGGCCGAGCTGACCGACGACGTCAACTTTCTGCGTCGTGTTTCGCTCGACCTGATTGGCGAACTCCCCACCGCCGAAGCAATCACAGCCTTCGCACTCGACAGCTCGCCCGACAAGCGAGCCCAAGCGGTGAGCCGGTTGCTGGAGAATCCTCAGTTCGGCGAGAACTGGGCCCGTTACTGGCGCGACGTGGTGATGTACCGCCGCAACGATGAGCGTGCGTTACTGGCCTCTCAGTCGCTCGTCCGGTACCTTACCGAGGAGTTCAACGCCGGAACTCCCTGGGACGAAATGGCGCGGGAGATGATCACGGCCTCAGGCAATGTCTCCCAAGAGGGAGCCACGGGGCTGATGGCCGCCCAATGGGGCGAAGTGCCCGACACCGCGGCCGAAGTCTCACGAATCTTGATGGGCATTCAAATTCAATGTGCCCAATGCCACGATCATCCCACCGACCGTTGGGAACGCGAACAGTTTCACACCTTCGCCGCCTTCTTCCCCCGCATCGCCGTGCGGGCCATTCGTGAGCCGGGCGGCAAACGTCGCGGCTTTGAGTTTGTCTCTCGCGAGAAAGAACGAACTCGTGCGAAAGACAAGAAGAAGGAAAAGGGAAAGAACAAAGACGTTGTCGGCCCCGAGCATTACATGCCCGACCTCGCTGATCCTTCGGCCCGTGGCACCCTGATGGAGCCCGAGTTCTTCGTCACCGGTCAAACGCTGGAAACAGGGCTTACCGATGATGAACGTCGCGAGCGTCTCTCCCGTTGGATCACTTCGCGTAACAACCCCTGGTTCGCCAAGGCCTACATCAATCGTGTTTGGGCCGAGCTCGTTGGTGAAGGTTTCTACGAACCAGTCGACGACATGGGCCCCGATCGTGAATGCTCCGCCCCCGGTGCCATGGACCTGCTGGCCGAACAATTCGTAGCCCACGCCTACGACGTGAAGTGGCTCTACGCCACCATCATGCAGACCAACACCTATCAACGTGCCAGCCAAGCCCGTCGCGACTACGAGGAAACGCCCTTCGCGGCCAACTGTCCGCAGCCGCTGCGTAGCGACCAGTTGTTCAACGCATTGGTCGCCGCCCTGGATGTGCCTGAGCCGGAAGAACCCCAGCGAGCCCGACCCGCCCGGTTTGCCCAAGGCCCCCGTGCCGAGATGGCCCGCGTGTTCGGGTACGACCCCAGCGACCCTCGCGATGAAATCTCCGGGGCGATCGATCAGGCGTTGATGCTGATGAACTCGCCCAACTTCGATAAGGCGATCCAGGCCAACAACAAGAAGACCCTGCTGGGGCGGTTGCTGGCCGAAAGCGACGATGACGAAATGATCGTGACCGACTTGTACCTTCGCTGCCTGGCTCGCGAGCCGGAAGATGCCGAAGTGCAGACGTGCCTCGACTACATTGCCGAGGTCAACGATCGCCCCGAGGCCTTCGAAGATATCCTCTGGGCACTGATCAACTCCACCGAGTTCTTGTACCGCGACTAACCCTCGCCACAGTAAATCAACGAAGGAATTTAGGCATGTCGATTCACGTGCACCGTCGAACTCATGTTGCCATCGGTCGTGGGCAATCCATGCGTCGCCGCGATTTTCTGCGAGGGGTTTCCGCCGCCGCGTTGGCCTCTGGCACACTGAGCTGGCGCGATGTAATGGCCGCCGAATCGAAACCGCTCCGCAAGCAAGGTCGGGCCTGCATCTTGCTGTGGATGGGTGGCGGTCCCAGCCAGTTCGAAACCTTCAGCCCCAAGCCCGATCACGAAAATGGCGGTGAAACCGAAGCCATCGACACCAATGTGCCGGGCATTCAAATCGCCGACCGTTTCCCCAACGTCGCCCAAGTGATGGACAAGATGGCCATCATTCGCTCGATGACCAGCACCGAGGGCAACCACCAACGGGCCAGCTTCATGCTGCACACGGGCTACTCGCCCACGGCCAGCGTCAAGCATCCGGCCTTCGGCTCCATCGTCTCCCACGAGTTCGACGCCACCACGGGGCAACTGCCTTCGTTCGTGCGAATCGGTCAGCGTTTCCGCAATGCCGGTAACGGTGGATTCCTCGGCAGCGATTACGACCCCTTCGTCATGGCTCAGGCCCAAGAACTGCCGGCCAACTCGCAGCCAACCACCTCGCAAGATCGCTTCCAACGCCGGCTCGGCCTGCTCGACCAACTCGAGGGGCACGCCTCCGAAGAGCACCTCCGCAAGCAAATCGAAGATCACCGCAAGCTCTACTCCAAAAGTGCTCGCATGATCACCAGCGCCGAAATGCAGGCCTTCGATCTCTCCCGCGAGCCCGAAGCCATGCGGGAGGCTTACGGCAAGGGTGAGTTCGCCTCCGGGTGTCTGCTGGCCCGCCGTTTGGTCGAAGCGGGCGTGACGTTCGTCGAGGTTACCGCCGGCAACTGGGATACGCATTTCGATGTGTTCGCCCGCACCCAGGAGTTGGCCTCGCAGGTCGATCAACCATTCGCGCAGCTCATTCGCGATTTGGATCAGCGCGGAATGCTCGATACAACGCTGGTCGTTTGGATGGGTGAGTTCGGCCGTACCCCGCGGATCAATCCTCGCGGCGGTCGCGACCACTATCCGAAAGTGTTCAACCTGGCGATGGCCGGTGGCGGCGTGAAGGGCGGACAGGTCATCGGGGCGACCGACGAAAGCGGCACCGAAGTGGTCGAGCGACCCGTGAAGGTACCCGACTTGTACCAATCGTTCTGCCAAAGCCTGAAGATCGATCCCTCGACCGAGAATATGAGTTCCATCGGGCGGCCGATCACCATTGTCGAAGGCGGCGAACCGGTAACCGAACTGTTCAGTTGAGCAGACCGACGCCCCCGGGGGCGGTAGTTGCCACCTTTTGGGGCGACTGCTAGAACTGGACTGTGTGGGGTTCGTACGTTCCGCACATATCCACTACCGAGCCCCGTGTCTTCAGTATGTCTATTACGGCCAAGCTGCCCGCTGTTCAGAAGTTCGTCTCCAACAGCGGTGTACGCATCTACTGCGTACCGTGCGAGGCGTTTCCCGGCTTCATCGCCAACGTCTATGTACTGCTCGGCGCCGGCCCCCCCACGCTGGTCGATACCGGCAGCGGCTATGGCTTCTCCAGCGAGCAGCTCTACGAAGGCTTCGAGAAAATCCGCGACGAGTTCAACGAGCCCTTCGAGTTGAAGGACGTCAAGCGGATCATCCTCACCCACGGGCACATCGACCACTTCGGTGGGCTGGCCTCGATGGTCGAACGGGCGGATGCCGAAGTTTGCATCCACGAACTCGACCGCCGGGTGCTCACGGCCTACGAAGAACGCGTGATTGTCGCCACCAAAGCCGTGCGGGTCTTTCTGCAACTGGCCGGCGTGAAGCCCGAGATGCAACAGTTGCTGCTCGACATGTACAGCTTCTCGAAGCAGCATGTCCGCTCGGTGGCGGTCGATCGCACCTTGGACGACGGTGACGAACTCGACGGTCTCCGCTTCATCCACACCCCGGGCCATTGCCCCGGCCAGGTGTGCATTTTGATTGGCAACGTGCTGCTCAGCGCCGATCACATCCTCTCGAAGACGACGCCACATCAGGCACCTGAAAGTATTACGGCCTACACCGGGCTGGGGCATTACCTCGAGTCACTCGATCGAATCAAAAAGGTGGACGGATTCGAACTGGCCCTCGGCGGTCACGAAGACCCGATTCACGACGTCTACAAACGAATCGACGAGATTCGCGTGAGCCACGAGCATAAGCTCGACAAGATGCTGGACATCATCCGCAAAGCCGAAAAGCCAATCACGGTTTCCGAAATATCCAAAGAGATGTACTCCAAGCTGAAGGGCTTCAACGTGCTGCTGGCCATTGAAGAGGTGGGCGCCCACGTTGAGTATCTCTATCAACGCGGGCGGTTGGCGGTGACCAACCTCGACGAAGTCGAGCACGAAGAAAACCCGGCCCTGCGTTACGAAACGCTATAGCCGATCTGGCCAGTGCACCGCACCTACTTCACGGCCATCTCACCGTAGAGCGGCATGTGCCGGTAGTAGACTTCGAGAATGCAGATCGACATGGCGGTCATGTACAGCCGCCCTCCGCTGCTGGTCTGAGGACCAACCGCATCCCAACTGCCGGCCATGTGCCCGCGCTTGTGTTGGGTGTTGATCACCGCGTCGCGCACGGTCGAGTTCCACATCGCCCAGTTCGGCCCGCCGAGGTGGTGCAGAACCTGAGTGCCGTAGTACCAGTAGTAGATATTGGGCCGTTCAGGATTAGGAAAGTGTTCTTGCAGCAGGTAATTCACCCCACGCGCGATCCCCGGTTCGTCCGGGCGCCAGCCGGAGTATTGCCGGCACAGCAGTCCTTCGGCGGTCATCGCCGCTTCCGGACCACCCCGCGGTTGATAGGCATACCGGCTACCGTACTCGTCGACTTGTGCGCGTTCTAAATAGGTTTCGGCCAACTCGAAGGTTTTGTCTGGCACCTCCAGGTGAGCCATCCTTGCGCTACGCAAGGCCATGATCTGCCACCCGAACACACTGGTGTCGCCGGGAGTCTGCTCCGGCACATACCGCCACCCGCCGATGGCGTTTTGAGCATCGATGATGAAATCGATCGCCTTCTGGGCCGGCTCGCGGAGGAACGAATCGTGGGTCATCGCGTAGGCTTCGCACAGGACGATGGCCGCTTGACCGTGGCCGTACATCATGCGGAAGTCGGGCCCAAGGAATCCACCGTCGGGCTGTTGCGTTTGAACCAACCACTTCAGGCCTTTGTCGACCACATCCTGGTATTCACCGGCGCGGTGTGTTTGCCCCGCTCCTAAGAATGGCAACAGCGCCAGCGCCGTAGCGGCCGTGTTGCTCTGTGATCCGCCGCCCGTGCATTGACCATTGCAGTCGCCGGTCAAATGAAACTCGTGCAGGCTCCAGTGACCATCGCTATGTTGATGGCGGGCCAACCACTTGAGACCCAACGCGACGGCCTCTTCGCTGAACTCGTTTCCACCCCCGCTCAGCACCAATGCAGCACGGTTGCCCGCGGCACGGCCTTGCAGAACCTGATTCACATCACCCTCGACCGATCCACCGCCAACAACGCCCATCGTGTCGAGAATCGGATCGGCCGGGACCGGTGCAGGCATTTCAATCTGATCGAAGGGGTCAGTAACCTCGATCACCTCGGCCTCGATGGCATCGGAAGTTTCAATCTCCACCGAAGGGGCAAACTCTTCCAACTCGGCCATCGTGTCGCCTTCTTCTTCCGACCAACTGGTGGCCAAAACCAACGGGTGCTCTTCATCCTCGGCCGAAAGCATCCACAGCGCCAATGCGATGAACAGCAGCAAGTGCACAATCACACTCACCGAAGCACTGATGGCCTTCCGCACCCGATCGAACCAGGTCGCTTCCTGGGAGGGCTCTTCGAGTTTGGTCGCGATCTTCTCTGTAGCGGCCGGCTTGATCTTCACCGTCTCGGCCGCATCGGCCGGCGGAGATGGCTCAACCTGCGGGATGAACAACTCGGACCGCGGGGCAGCCGAACCATTGCCGGTTGACCTGCTGCCTGAGGGCGGAGCTTCAGCGCCCGGTGTTCCCGCCGCTGCAGGAGGCACCGCTGGGGGCATCTCGGTCGACGGCGAGAACAAGTTGTCTCGACCTCCGAGCCCGCCCGGGGGAATTGGATTTTCTGGGGGCTTTGCCATCGGCGTTGGCCCCTTTCGGCCGTCTCACTATTCCGGTCGTTGGTTCGACCCACCGGGGGTTCCGCTGTGCTGGGAAAAGAGCCACCCCGCTCCAAGCGGCGGCGACGAACGGAACTCCCACGCCCGCACCACCCCGATCTCTGGGGCGATACGTTCCGAATGACAACAAAGCCTCAACTCGTCGCCCCCGGTTCAACAACCAAGGACTACGAAGCCTGTCAATCGAACGGTGAACTACCTCGAGATGGGAGCGCGATGCGCTACCTACAAGTGTAGCAATGCTTTCTGCGGCAAGGCAAACAACCGCAGTCCGAATATGAAGGGGGCAGGGGTTTTACTGCCGCCCCCGTCAGCCGGAGACGCTAAATAGCTCGGAGATGGGGGTTCCGCGATCAGTAATCGGCACCGGACGGTCGCCCGCGTAAAGCTCTTCGCTGGGGTTGATGCCCATCGCCGCGTAAATGGTAGCGAACCAATCTGGCACCGAAACGCGGAAACCCAAGGCCTTCATCGCCAGCTCATCAGTCTCGCCAATCGCCTGCCCGGTGCGGAGCCCGCCGCCGGCCAATACGCAGGTGAAGTTGTCGGCATGATGACCACGACCCCCGCCCCCGTCGAACCGCGCAGGCCGACCGAACTCGGTCGACACCACAACCAGCGTCTTATCGAGCATCCGCTTTGCTTCCAGGTCGGTGATTAGTGTGGAGAGCGCCTGATCGAGCGTTTGGATCAACACATGTTGTTTCTGTTGACCTTCGTTGTGCGTGTCCCAGCCGGTGCCGTTGACGAAGCCCATGTTGAAGGAGACCTCGACGAACCGGCTGCCCCGTTCGACCAACCGCCGGGCCAACAGGCAGCGTTGGCCGAACTCGTTGCCGTAGGCCTCGCGAATGTCGGCCGGCTCGCGGTCCAACTCGAACGCGCTGAGAAACTCGGGACCAACCAGGTCGAAGCCCTTTTGGCTGGTGCGAACATATTCGTTGATGGCCGCATCGCCCGCGTTGCGGGCTGTGTAGTTCTCGCGGGCTTGTGCCAGTAGCTTCAACCGTCGCGCATCGCGATCTTCACTAATCCGCTTGGGGCGAACCAGCCCCTTGGGGCCGGACTTCGTATCGTTCAGGTAGACAAACCCATAGTCGGGTCCCAGAAAACCGGGACTGCGCCCGGGCGTGGGGTGCCCCATCAGCGCGTAGCTGGGAACCGCGTCGGACAGTGGTTCCTTTTGATGGGCGATCACCGAACCGAGCGAAGGGTAAACAATCGTTCCGCTCACCGGGCGCCCCGTGTGCAGCCGGCACGAAGCGGCCGAATGTTCGTCGATCTCGTCGTGATGCACCGTGCGAACCAGAGCCGCCCGATCGAGCAGCGGTGCGGTCCGCGAGAGATGCTCGGTCACTTGAACATCAGGGATCGCCGTGGAAATCGAGCCGTAGGCCGAGCCGGGATCTTTGCGGCCGTCGCTGCTTTGACGCTTGGGATCGAACGTATCGATCTGGGCCATGCCGCCGCCGAGCCACAAGAAGATGCAGTGCTCGGCCGAGCCACGCACGGTGCTCTCCGGCGATGCCATGGCCGGCCGGGTGGACGACATTCCCAGAAGTGCGGCGCCCGCACTGGCGCTGGCCGTTTGAGCGAGAAACTGGCGGCGGTTCGTAGTCATCGGCTTACCTAAAGATCTTTTGATTGTCGTTGCTTCGTTGATGGCACACAGCCGTGGCCGTACTCAAGGCACAAAGATGAACTCCGGCGAGTTGACCATCACCCACACCATGTCTTCCACACGCTCGCGCCACTGGGGGTTGAGCCGTCGCGTGGGCGCGTCGCCTTCGAGGGCCTGCTTCTGGCGGGCCTCACCGATTTGGTTTGCTTTGGCGTCGAGGTTGTTCGACCACGCCAGCGGTGAACGATCGACCTCTCGCTTCATACGGGGTTCGCCCGTGCGACGCGTGTCGTATCCCTCGGACAGCAGCGCAACGTAGCGGGCCTGTTCCTCGGACGATGGTTCGCGACTGTAGAAGCGGAGCCACAGTTGATCGACAAGCTCTTCCACGCTTTGTTCTTCCAGGCAGATCTCGACTAGCTCTCCATGATCGGCCAAGTCGACCGCGCGGTTGACGGCCACACCGTGGGCCAACACCAGCGGGGCCAACGGGGTGATCGACGCTTCGCGGTGATTCACCGGTTCTTGCCGATTCTGACGCCAGCCGTAGGCCATCATCATGTCGACCACCGATTGTGCCCGGGGCAGCGTCATCGAGGGGCGTTCCCGCTCATTACTCGGGCAGGCGAACTCCCACGCACGACGCGGCACGCCCAAGTTCGAAAAGCTGGAAGCCGACTGCCGGCCGTCGGGGTTCACGCACAGTTCTTCTGAATCGAACGGCTTACCCACGGCGAGGAAGACCGAGTCGGTCAGTTGCTCGGCAGTCATCCGACGGCGGGTTGGCGAAGCGAACAACTTTTCGCGTTCCGCATGATCGTCGCTCGTATCAATCTGCCGCTGATAAGCCTGCGAATTCAGAATCACTCGGGCGACATGCTTCAGATCATAGCCATACAGCACGAATTCGTCAGCCAGGTAGTTGAGCAACTCGGGGTGGCTGGCCTCGATCCCTTCCCAGTCGTGAACCGTTTGGAACAAGCCGCGCCCGAGATACCGCTCCCACAGGCGATTCACAATCACTTGGGCAAAACGTTCGTTCGCCGGGTGGGTGACCAGCCAGGCCAGTTGAGCACGGGAGTCTTTCGCGTCGCGTTTCAGTTCCGCAGGCAATTCTTCCAGCGAACCGGTTGCCAACTGTTCGAACGGCCAGGCGGGCTTGACTGCAACGCCGGGTTCGAGGCTCACGGTGATTGCCATATGGGCCAACTGCTCGGGCGAGGCGGGCACACTGCTCGAGGCCGGCACCGCAATCGGCTTTCGCCCCAGCATGGCCGCCAGTTGGAACAGGTCTTCCTGCGTCGATTCATGCGTCGGCGCGTCGTGGCAACGGGCACACTTCATTTCAATGCCCAACAGTGCGGTACCGACAATGTGAGCCTTGTGGGCCATCGGCACGTCGTTGTTGGTGGCCATGGCGAACCCGCCCGGTCCGCCGCTCTTGCGTCCGCCTTCCATCATCAACAGCTCACTCACCATGCGGTCGAACGGCTTGTTGTCAAGGAAGGCCTCGTACAAATACCAACGGAAAGGCCCGCTGTTATTAAGCGTGGGTTTGGTGAGCCCGGGGTTTTCGGCCAGCACGTCCTGCCAATAGCCGACCCAATGGTCAGCCCAACCGGGGTCGTCCAACAGCCGGTCGATCACCGCCGCGCGACGTTGCTCCGGCGGATCGGCGAAGAACTGTTCGATCATCTCCCGCGTGGGAATGGTTCCCACCACGTCGAGCGAAACGCGTCGCAAGAAGGCCCAATCGTCGAGAATCGCCGTCGGCTGAACACCCTCGGCTTCAAGCTGTTGCACGACGAAGTTATCGACCGCCGTGTTCACCAGCTCGGGATGAGCAACTTCCGGCACGCTGACCTGTGGCTTGTCGAGGTATTGCTCGCGAGCCCACGCATGCCGCTTCTGCCAGAAGGCCACCTCATCGGCTCCGCGTTGTTGCCGTGTTTCGGCTTCCCACTGGCGACGGCGATCTTGATCACGTTCGAGGAACGCCAGCCAGCCTTCATCGTCATACGGATGACTGGCAGTATCTGCCGTACCTGAAGGCGAAAGCAGTTGGAATGTTTCCCCTTCGCGAGCATAAGCGATGACCAATTCACCCAACTCCGCAGGTCGGCCCCGCAAGCCGGCCATGGCGACCACCGAAAAGTTGTGCGGTTTACCGTCGGAGGTGAATTCAACCATCCGTTCCGTATGTGCCGCCGGCAGCGAGACGCGATCGGGGGCGGCCGCTTCTAACTCGTAAACCTTGCCGTGCCCGCTCGACGAAGGGTGCAGGAACGGCGTTTCCGTCATCAGTTCGTCGTCGATGTAGAGTCGGGCCGAATTCAACGCCCGAAATGCCAAGCGATATTCGCCGGCGGGAAGCGTTACCTTGGAGTAGGCATGCACCAGCATCGGGGTGGGCCAATCGACGATCACCGCGCGGTCGTCGTAGTCGCGCGGTAGTTCGGTCAGGGCGAATACATCGGACTGATAGGCGGCCCGACGCAGGGCGGGGCGGAAGTCCCAACTGCGGGAGTCGGGCACTTCGGTGAACACGTCGTACTGTACGTAGCCCGTGGGGGCCACTTTGGCCACGTCTTTCACGGCGGCCAGAATCTCGTCGCGGCGATGGATGTTCACCCGGGCGGCAATAGCCTCGGGCGTAAGAATGCTGCGGTACATCGCCACTTCGTCCAGCGCGCCAGGGAAGGTCGCCCGACCCGACATCGACGAGCCAATCCACAGTTCATCGTCATCGACAAACGGCCGCTTTGTGGTCGGGCCTGCCAGGTCCCACGTACCAGGGGTTTCTACCCCGTCGATATATCCACGGATCGACTTGGGCTCGCCGAACTTGTAAGTCACAGCCACATGGTGCCACCGACGGTCGAGTGCGATCGATTCTTTTGAAGTCCAACGATGGCCGTCGGCGCCGCGGCCCTCTTTGCCGGGGTTCGTTTCCGCATCGACAAAGAAGAAGCTGATCTTTCCCGCACCGCCCGCGTTGTCGAGACGAAGCGAATAGTTCTGATTCCGGTCGCCGAAGCCGGCGTTGAGGGTTCGACCTTTGCCAATGATATAGCTGTATGCCGTACCGGGATTCCCGTCGGGCTGCACCCAGGCTTCGAGTGTGATGGCGTCGCCGTTGTCGAAGTCGATCGGGCTGTCGGCACCCGGATCGGTGATTCGCAGGAAGTTGGGGCCCTTGGGAATCCGCACGGCCGTGTTCTTGGGGGCGAAGTCGGGATACTCATCGCCGAACGGGCCGGGCACGTTCAGGTTCAAATCGCCCACCGGATGGGCAGCTAAATCCGCTGCGTTCACAGCCTCAGCGGCATGGTTGTAAATCACGCCGTCCTCGGCCGCGTTCATTCGCCACCAAGCGGTTGGGTTATCGGCCGAGACGGCTTCGGCGTAAGTCGACGCCGAAGAAGCTTCTGCCGCCTGGGCTGAGGCTCCCTGGAATATGGTGGACAGCGCCGCGATTGTGAAAGCGGTTCCGCAGAGAAGGGAAACGCAGAGGCGCTGCAGAGAGAATGAGTTTCGATTCATGCTGATCCACCGAGGGAAAAGAAGTGATCGAGTGGTTGAATTGTTGGCGGTTAGAAGTCTCCCAACCATTCCCTAGCCAAACAGTTCCGAGATTGAATTGCCGCCACTGATCGGAATGGGGCGGCCCAGGGGATCGGGTGTGGTTTGGTGCGGGTTGATGCCCAGAGCTTCGTAGATTGTGGCTGCGAAATCCAGCGGCGTTACGGCATTTAGCGCGGGATGCGAACCATGCGCGTCGCTGGCCCCGTAGACCGAGCCGCCGCGAATTCCTCCGCCGGCAAGCAGGCCGCTGTAGCAGAACGGCCAATGTTCCCGGCCGGCATTGTTCTTCGAGATGATCGGCTTTCGCCCGAACTCGCCGACCCACACGATGAGCGTCTCGTCGAGCAGCCCACGTTGCTCCAAGTCTTCGATCAACGCCGATAATGCTTGATCGGCGGGCGGAATCAGGTCGTCCTTCAGCCGATTGAAGTTGTTGCCGTGCGTGTCCCAGAAGTTGCGGCCATCGTTGTGCCAGTTCACTGTGACCAACGGCACGCCGTGCTCCACCAACCTCCGGGCCATGAGAACGCATTGACCATGAATGTTCCGGCCATAGCGATCGCGGACGCTGTCGGGTTCGGCCTTGAGATCGAACGCCGAGCGGGCTTCCGGCGAAGCCAGCAGCGAGAAGGCCTTCTGTTGTAGCACGTCGAGTTCGCCAGCTTCGGCGGTTTGTTCGAGAGCCGCCCGTTGCTCATCGATGTTCGCCAGCAAACGTTGCCGGCCTTGCAAGCGATCGATCGACAAACCGGACTGCAGGCTGAGTTCTTTAACTTGCCAGTCTTTATTGTTGGGGTCGCCGCTGAGAACGAACGGATCGTAGCTCTTGCCGAGCCAGCCGCCGTTCTGCCCGGGGGCTTGTCCTCCGGGAGCAGCCGGGTGCGACACGACCCAAGGCAGCGTAACCGACGGGGGCAGGCTTCCATTGGGGTTGGCATGTCGGGCGACGATCGACCCGATCTGCGGGGAGTCTTTCCGGCTGGGCGGTTCGGCATCGCTTTTAATCACCGGAGCCCAGTGCCCGGTGAGCGTGGCATGGGCACTTGAAAGATGTGCCGGATCGCTATGGTGTAGCGAGCGGATAATCGATAGCCGATCGGTCAACGAAGCGGTTCGCGAGAAGTGCTCGCAGATGTTGGTGCCCGGCACGGCGGTTGCGATGGGCTTGAAGTCGCCGCGGACTTCGTCGGGTGCCTCAGGCTTCAGATCGAAGGTGTCCAGGTGACTGGGGCCACCCCACATGAACAGGAAGATGCAGGCTTTAGCTTTCGGCCCCGGTGCGATCTCGCCGGAGGCACTCGCCGTTCTCAAACCCAGCAGGTCGCCTAACCCCAGCCCCAACATTCCCAGCGAGCCAGCTTGCAATACACTGCGACGCGTCACTTTCACCGAGCTACGAAACGACCGGCAGCCGCTGACGTTCGATTGCGGGAAATGGCGGGCCATAGAACGGTACTCGGTGGGCGAAGTAGGGCGTGTGCTTGGGGGGGGTGGGATGTCGCTGGGTAGCACACATGCGGTGGAGCGATTTTATCAGGCCCCGGGGGGCCGATGCAACTTCTTAGCGCCTTCCCGCGGGAAATCGCTGCAATGCCGTAACCACTTTCAGTACAACCAGTTTCCTTGACCAAACCGTTGCCTTTTGCTGGACCAAACGGCCCCCACACGACTACTATTAAGCTGACTTCGCATCGCTTCGCCCCAGAGGCTCGATTGCGAGGCTGTGGAACCTCATCGAGAACGCCCTCTAAACGACATGGTCACTCGCCCGGCTCCTGCCTTTTGGGTTGCCGAGCGAACCACGTCGATCTGCGGGAACAGAGCCTGTAGGAAAGCCCATGAGCATCAATGTCCATTCCCTGGTGAGCGAACTGGAAGAGAACATCTCCCGGGTGGTGCTCGGAAAACCGGAGGTCGTCCGGCTCTGCGTCGTGGCCCTGCTGGCCGGCGAACATATCTTGGTCGAAGACGTGCCGGGCGTGGGAAAGACACTGCTGGGGAAGGCGTTGGCCCACAGCATCAGCGGCCGGTTCTCCCGCATTCAGTTCACGCCCGACTTGCTGCCCAGCGACATCATTGGTAGCAGCATCTTCAATTCGAAGACCAACGAGTTCGTTTTCAAGACCGGCCCGATCTTCGCCAACATCGTGCTGGCCGACGAGATCAACCGCACGACGCCCCGGACGCAAAGTGCACTGCTGGAGGCGATGAGCGACTTCCAGGTTTCCATCGACGGTCAGACCCACGCCTTGCCGACCCCGTTCATCGTGATTGCCACCCAAAACCCGTTCGAGTTCGAGGGCACTTACCCGCTGCCGGAAAGCCAACTCGATCGGTTCTTGCTACGCACCCAAATCGGTTACCCCGACCGCGAGGCCGAACTCCAGGTCTTCGCCAGTCACCGTCTACGCGAACCGGTTGAAGAGTTGGGCCCCGTGCTCGATGCTTCGCAGGTAATTGCCTTGCAGGAAGCCGCGCGTTCGGTAACGGTCGACGATTCGATTCAGGGCTACCTAATGGACATCGTCGAAGCCACCCGCAATAGCGATGAACTTCACGTGGGGGTCAGCACGCGGGGAGCGTTGGCATTGCACCGGGCCGTTCAATCCTATGCCCTGACCGACGGGCGGGACTTTGTGGTGCCCGACGATGTGAAACAGTTGGCCGTGCCCGTGCTCGCGCATCGTGTGATCACCAAAGGTTATCTGCACGGTGGTCAAAGGGCCGCCGTCGAGTCGGTCGTGCAACGGTTGGTGGACGAAGTACCGGTGCCTCGCTGAATGAGTTCATCCGAGAGTGCCCAAGTTTCTTCGATCTAATTTCGTATCACTCGCGTTGATCGTCACGCTGCCTGGCTTCACCCATGCGTTCCATCAGTTTCGTTAAGCGACGTCGCCTGAACATCTGCTACGAAGGTTGGCTTTACATGGTGGTGCTAACCTTTCTGTTTGTGGGAGCGATCTTGCGCGAGATCAATCTGTTGATGGTGCTGTTCGGCATGATGGTCGGGCCGTACCTGTTCAGCTTGGGCTTGGTGCTGTTGTCGCTCCGCGATGTGCGAATTCGCCGCCGCATGCCCGAGACCATCACCGCAGGGCAAATGCTGGTGGTCGACGTCGAGGTGACCAACGCAAAAAAGCGCAGCAGTAGTTGGGCGATCGCCACCACCGATGTGATTGAACAGGAAGCCGGCCCCAGCAAAGGCGAGCGCGTGCACGCTTCGCTGTTCTTCCCGCATATCAAACCGAACCAAAGCAGCAAGCAGGTGTACGAAGGACGCCTGATGTCGCGAGGGCGATATCGGCTGGGGCCCATGCGAGTCACAAGCCGGTTTCCCTTAGGCCTTCTGCAAAGTTGGTTCGAGTGGCCCGACGATAACCACGTGGTGGTCCACCCGCGACAAGGTCGACTCTCGCATCGCTGGAGCATGTTGCGGCAGGCGGCTCACCAGGGCCGCGGAAAGAACGCCCGGCAGCAAGGTCTGGTCGAAGGCGATTTCCACGGCCTCCGCGACTGGCGCTCGGGCGATGCTCAGCGCTGGATTCACTGGCGCACTTCGGCCCGGCTCGGCGAGTTGATGGTCCGCCAGTTCGAGCAACACCGCGACGACGACTTGGCGGTGCTCGTCGATCTGTGGCAACCTTCCAAGCCGAGCGAAGCGGACCGTGCCCGCGTTGAGGACGTGGTGAGTTTCGCCGCGACGGTGGTTTCCGATCAATGCCGCCGTGGCGGAGGACAACTGCTGCTCAGCACTGCGGGTACAGAAATCACCACAGCTCGGGGGCCGGCATCGATGGCCTTGCTGCAAGACGCCTCGGAGTCGCTAGCCGTGGCCGAGGCGATCGACGGAGACCGCGTGCCAGAGTTGCTCTCGAAGACGTTGGACCAGATTCGCCCTCGCACTTCAGTGCTGTTGGTTAGCACGCGGAAGATTGATCTCAACGACACCGAACGATTTGTCAAGCTGTGGGAAGACCCACGTCAGCGTCGCTGGGCCGGGCGGATCACCTGCCTGGATGCTTCGAGCCCCGAATTCGCTTCGTACTTCGTTCCCGATGAAGACACGGTTGCGTTGCCCGAGGAGGTCGTGGCATGAGCACCGCGCTTCGCCCGTCCGACTTTGCAATCGCCACGCCAAAGCGAGTGACCGAAGCGCCGCTACCTTCCGAGCGGCTCGTGCAAGTTGGCATCGCCACCATGGCCGCGCTGGGAACTCTGCTGCTGGGCATGGGCGAACGAAACACAACCTTGCCGGTACTGGCGGTGATTGTGTCGATCAGTTCGGTTTATCTCACCGACATGCGGGGCTGGTTGCGGCTTAACAACGCCTCTTCCAACGCACTCGCGCTGTTGGCCATGGCTTGGACTGTGTGGGGCTTCGCCGAGATGCGAGTCGAACTCCAGTTGCTGGCCGTGGCAAATTTATTGGTCTACCTGCAATTCATTCTCCAGTATCAGAAGAAAACCATTCGCACCTATTGGCTGCTAGCCTTGTTGAGCCTGGTGCAGTGTGCGGTCTCCACGGCTTTGAACCTGAAGCTGGTGTTCGGTTTTCTGCTACTGGTTTACATGTTCGTGTCGCTGGCCACGATGACAGTGTTTTTCTTGTATCGAGAAACCGTGCGGCAACGTTCCGGCTCTGCGGCACACGTCGCCATGACGTTCTCGCAACAGATGGAATCCGTGCGAAGGTTTTTCGCAGGCGAACGGCGCACCGTTCGTGCACCGTTATTCTTTAGTCGCGACACGGTGCAAATTCGCCAAGAAGTTGCAAGTTGGTTGTTTGTCCGGCAAATCATCATGCTGGCTCTTGGCTCGCTCGTTCTCTCGATGCTGGTCTTCATCACCATCCCGCGCTTTGCCAAAGGTGGCTGGCAACAGACTGGGGTGACCTCGACACGCTCGGCCGTTGGGTTCAACGACAGTGTGTCACTGGGCGAAATGAGGACCATCGCCGACAACCCTTCGAACGTAATGCGGGTGCAGTTTCAGGACCCAGACTCGGGTATCCCTTACGAAGTGAACGGCGAGATTTACTTCCGCGGCGTGGTACTTTCACACTATCGCGACGGACGTTGGACCCAGGTATCCGATAATTCAGAAGCGGTACAACTCAGCAAGCTGGGCATCCGAGTTGCTTTAAGCAATGCGGTTGAACAAATCATCACGATCGAACCGTTGGACACCTCGGTGTTGTTCAGCCTCTATCCGCTGGCAAAGAGCCCCGAGAATGACGACGTCTTGTTCGACGTTGACAATCAGAACTTGGTACGCAGGCGCGGCGTTCGCGATAGTCGGTTTACGTATGAGATCGTAACTACGGGCCTCGACGATGGGCAGCAGTTGGCTCTAACGCCCGCGAACCTTACCCGAGGCCAACACCTTTCGGCCCTTCGCTTACCATCGGCGGAACGGGGCGACCCAATGGCTCCGTTAAAGGAGATTGCATCGCAACTGGTTGAAGACATCCCGGAGGATCAACCATTTCGACGCATTCGTGCAATTCAAGACTACTTGCAAGACCAGCGAGAATTCTCCTACACAACGGTGCTCACGCGAGAGGATCTGAAGCTTGATCCGATTGTTGATTTTCTAGTTAACACCAAACAAGGACACTGCGAGTACTTCGCCAGTGCGATGGCCTTGATGTTACGAAGCGTGGGCATTCCGTCTCGCGTCGTGGTGGGCTATCGCAGCGGCGAATACAACCCCATCGGCGAGTATCTTCAGGTGCGGCAGTTTCATGCCCATGCCTGGGCCGAAGCTTATCTGGCCCCGGGAGAGTTCCCGACCGACATGGTGTTTCGAGGCGAGCGCAAGGACGCGGCCTGGCTGCGATTGGATCCGACTCCACAATCTGGCGAGACGGCACCACTGGCGTTCAGCAACAGTCGTTGGATCATCGTTCGGCAATTCATCGACTACCTCGACTTCCTCTGGTCGCACTATGTGCTGGGGATGGATGCCCGCCGTCAGCAGGAAAGCATCTACACGCCAATCGTGCAGGGTATCTCGAAGTTCTTTCAACGGGCGCAAGACCCCAACGCGTGGCGAAACCTTTGGGCCAGGTGCCTGGCCTTCGTAGGGTTCGGTCCCGAGGGATGGGCCCCCGGCAAATGGTTCTACTGGCGGGCAGGGCTGCTGGCCATGCTCGTGTGCTTGTTCTTAGTATCGCTGTACAAAGTTTCGAAAATGCCGGCCGGTTGGCTGGTGAGTTGGGTCCGCGGCCGAGAGCGGAAAGGCACCGAAGATTCCGTTCACCACGTCGAGTTCTACCGCCGGTTAGAGCAAGCCCTCAAGCGACACCAAATGCTGCGGCCCCAGAACCAAACACAGCGTGAGTTCGCCAGGGCCGTCGGAGCCCAACTGGCCGACAATGCTGCCACCCAGGCGGTAGCTGGCGTGCCGGGACAGGTCGCCGGGGCGTTCTATAAAGTGCGGTTTGGTCAGGCCACCCTAGACAGGTCGGAAGCCGAAGCGGTAGAACACGCCCTGTCTCGTTTAGAACATGCATTGGCTGCCGCTCAAGAAAAACAATAACCATGAAAATCGGCCTCGTTGGCTACCAAGGATCGGGCAAGAGCACCCTCTTCGAATGGCTTACAGAAGTGCCGGCCGATCCCGCGGCCGCACATACCGGACAGTCGGCCATGGCCCCGCTGCCCGACGATCGGGTGGAACCTCTCTGTGAGATCTACCATCCCAAGAAGATCACCCTGGCATCGCTGGAGTTGGTCGACACGCCGGGTCTCTCACGCACGCACGAAGGCAACGCCGCCCGACTGGCAATGATCCGCGAGGCGGGCTGCCTGGTTCTCGTCGTGGGCGGGTTCGCCGATTCCGATCCGATCGCCGAGCTGAAGAACTTCGAAGAAGACCTCTTGCTGGCCGACTTGGAAATCGTCACCGGTCGGGTTGAAAGACTTCGCGAGTCGGTGAAGAAACCACGCCCCAACCGTGAGGAAGAAAAGGCCGAACTCGCGGCGCTCGAACCTCTGTTGGAAGTGATGGAAGGCGGCGAGCCCATCAGCACGGTCGAGCTGAGCGAACCTCAGAAGAAGGCCACCCGATCGTTTCGGTTGCTGACCGAAAAGCCGAAGCTGATTGTGGTTAATGCGGCCGACGACGATGAAGATCTCGAGCGTTGGACATCGCAATCGACCGACAAACGAAAGATCGTCGCGGTGCGAGCCTCGCTCGAACTCGAACTCGCGAAGATGGATCCCGACGATCGGGCTGAATTCGAAAGCGAAATGGGGCTCACCGGGTCGCGTCGTGATGAGCTTCTGAAAACGATCCTCGATGTGTCGGGCCACCTGTTGTACTTCACCGCGGGCGAAAAAGAAGTTCGCACCTGGTTACTGCCCCGCGGCGGAACGGCCTTGGATGCGGCGGATGGAATTCACTCCGATCTCGCCCGGGGATTCATTCGCGCTGAGACGATGACCTGCGACGACCTTATTCGCTTGGGTAGCGAGCGCGAAGTGAAAGCTCAAGGCCTCTACCGGCAAGAGCACAAAGAATACGTCGTGGCCGACGGGGACATCTTCCTCATCCGCTTCAGCGTGTGAGTGATAGTCGCAAGCTCGCTGTTCGTTTCCTTCGGCATCAACTGCCGGGGGCGAACAACGCGTAGTTGGCCACCCGTCGCCAGATGGCCGGGGTGTGATAGTAGTCGGCCAGGTTGTGCTCTTTGCCGATCAGCGGTGCCACGTCGATCTGTTCGACTTTGTCGTAATGCGGACCCAGGCGGCCAGGCATGGCGACGCCCGTGTATCCCAAAGCTTCGGGGCCCGGGCCGGGGAAGAGGCGCGGGTACCACTTCAGCACCTTGTCGCGAGAGTTGGCGACCACCAGCACTTCATCAGCGGCGTTCATCGCTTGCCCGTGACGTTCGCCGGGGAGGATCCAGTGATTCCCCATCGCGGCAGCCATGAAGACCACACGCAACGGTTCGTTTCGTTTGATCGGGGCATCGAGAGCGTGCCCGGCAATCTCTCCACCGCCCATCACGTGCAACGAACTGGAGATCAACCGCGACCCGTAACTGTGACCTAGCAGGGCAACCCTTACATTCGGATTGATCTTGTCGACGAATTGGGCGAGCTGAATTCCTTGCCACTCGGCACGAAGGGCTTTGGTGCGAAGGTCCTTGATCTGGTGGCCATCGATCTCACCGCTGGGCCAAGACCAGATGACGAACCGCACAGGGCCGTGCTCTTCTGAAGTGCAGGCGAGGCTGTGGTAAAGCGTTTCGCCCGTCTGCAGGGCATCCTCAGCCGTATAACGATTGCCATGCACGAAGAACACGGTTGGCACCGCCGGAGAGTCTTCTGCCAAAAACGCCGGCATGCTGCTGGAAGACCAGCCATCCCCCGGCGTGTAGCGGTACAGATCGAGGTCGGACAACTCAAGGCCGCACCCGGCTGTCCGCGAACTTACGAGCCACAGCGAGCAGGTTGCCGCCGCTTGGTAATCATCTGGGGTGACGACCAACTCGGGCGGGTCGAACAGTGGACCGAGATCGGGAAGCGTCGATTCATCGAGGTCTTCTATCTCGATATCGGCCGATTCTGTTGCTCCCGGACGGAAAGCAACCCGTTCGGCTGCGAGGGCGTCGAAAGAGACAAGCCCGATTGATAGACACAACAGCGCCAGACAACCGGCGCGCATCAATGGCGCAAAGAAAGTGCGGCGCGGGATGTGGAAGCATCCTTCGAAACTAACGGCACTAGATCGAACCATGGGCATCCATGTGAGGCGCGAATAATCCTGCACCCTGTTGGTGCATGACAATGCATTGGCGCCCTGGTGGCGCCGCTCTGGGTACCGGGTGGCGATCCATCGCCCGCCGTGCCTTCGTGGCCGGCTGCTCCTGTATTAGTAACTACACACAACTCTACACGCTGTTTTGCACTTGTGTGGCGAAAACGAAACATGCGTTGAAAAAAATTATCGTGTTTCGTTTGCACATCATCCGTAGTGATGTAGATTTGCCTGACCCACAATTTCGACACACAACAGATGTCGATTATTTCGGAGAATGGAACCATGAAGAGGCTACTTGTCGTACTGTTTGCAACGGTCCTACTGGCTGGATCGACTGGCTGCGAATCGCTGGATCGTATGCTGTGCCGTCGCCCGAACCCCTGCGCACCCGAGCCCTGTGCTCCCGCACCGTGCTCGCCTTGCGAATCGATGCCCTACGGCGGCGGATACGACAGCGGGCCCTACATCCAAGGCCCTAGCGAAACGATCGTACCCGGACCGGCCTTCTAGGCAATCGAACATACACACCGCTAGTTCGGCCTGACCCACAGCTCCGGACAAGCGGCGATGCACGCAAGCGACGCCTGCCGTGCATCGCGAATCACGCGAGTTCTCCTTCCCGGTGTTTTGCCTATCGAGGTGGTTGCGAAATCCTGACGCAGCCGCCTCGACGGGCGAACTCGCTTCGCTCCATCGCGGTGTGACAACCAACATGTTCGACGCCCAAGAACCCATCTTCGGGCAAGGCACCGTACGTTGTCCTGGCTCTCTGCGGGGCTAGAATGAGTGCGAGTTACGCATTCTTTCCACCCGAGCAAGCAGGACGTAAGTACGATGCGTGAAGAAACGTCGACCGAAGAACTCGCGCACGATCAGGCGTATTTGATTCATTCGCTGCATCAACGTGCGGCCCAAGAGCATGCTCATATTTGGGTCGAGGGTCGCGGCTCGACGTTGATCGACAGCGAAGGTAATGAGTTCATCGACGGACTTGCCGGCCTGTGGAACGTGGTGCTTGGCCACGGTCGACGAGAGTTGGTCGATGCGGCCAGCAGTCAGATGTCGCAGCTGGCATACAGCACTGCCTACGCCGGCAGCACAACACGACCTTCGATCGAACTGGGACAGCGGCTCGCCGAGCTTTGCTACCCAAGTGTGAACCGGTTCTTCTTCACCTCTGGCGGTGCCGAATCGAACGAGTCGGCTTTCAAGACCGCGCGGTATTACTGGCGCACGGCGGGGCACCCTGGCAAATACAAAGTCATCAGCCGCATTTGGGGTTACCACGGGGTGACGCTGGCCGCCATGTCGGCCACAGGCATCTCGTCGTACTGGCCGATGTTCGAGCCCCGCACGCCGGGGTTCATTCACATCGAGGGCCCTTATCCTTATCGATTCCAGCGGCCCGAGCATATCCCGGCCGACGACCCACGAACCGATGGGCAGATTGCCGCCGATTTGTTGGAAGAGGCCATCCTCCGCGAAGGCCCCGACACGGTGGCCGGATTCTTGGGCGAACCCGTCCAAGGTGCCGGCGGCGTGATTGTGCCGCCGGACGATTACTGGCCACGCATCCGCGAGATCTGCGATCGCTACGATGTGCTACTGCTGGCCGACGAAGTGATCACCGGGTTTGGCCGCACCGGGGATTGGTTCGGGCTATCGCGCTACGGAATCGAGCCGGATATCGTAGCCTTCGCGAAGGGGGTCACCAGTGGTTACTTCCCCTTGGGCGGCATTGGGGTGAACGACAAGATCGCCGCCGCTATCGATGCGTCGACCGGCGACAAAACCTGGATGCACGCCTACACCTACTCCGGGCATCCCGTCGGCTGTGCCGTGGCGTTGGCGACGCTCGATGTGCTGGAGAAGGAAAACCTGCCCCAGCGGGCAGGCGCAATGGGCGAACGATTGTTGTCGAAGCTTCGCACGCTGGAATCGCATCCGCACGTCGGAGATGTCCGCGGACTGGGGCTGATGTGCGCTGTCGAACTGGTGGCCGACAAAGCAACCAAGGCCGAGTTCCCGGCGGAGGAGAAGGTCGGCGCCCGAGTGCACGCGGCAACCCAGAAGCGTGGACTCTTCACCCGACTTCGCGGCGACGTCTACAACCTGGCCCCCTGCTTCACCGTCGAAGAGCAAACCATCGACCGCATGGTCGAGATCCTCGGCGAGTCGATCGATGAAGTGTTGGGGACCTAGTGTCTGCGCAATCGTTGACTTCAGGGGTTGCTGACTTAACTCAAGGCATCTTTCGACCGTGATCGGCCTACTTCAGCCTTCATTGGAGTACTTCCTCCAACCGCGATAGCCGAACATTACGGTGGCTCCGCACAGCACCAGCACGATACTGTTCGGCTCCGGAATGGGAGTGAATTCGACCGTGAGCATTGGTCGGGCTGCCTGATTGTTGCTCTCTGAACTGTGCATGAACCAGCGAGCGAAGCCAGTTCGATTGAAATCGTTGAGCAGTATGCCCTCGTTCTCTCCGGTGACCCAACGATCGAAGATGTCGTCAAGCTCTTCTCCACTGAGGGGATTGATGTCGATATCAAACGAAGTATTGACTCCGGGATAAGAAGTTGCGGTGCCGATGATGCCTGCCCCGCCGCCTCGGTGGTAGTTTGTATTCGGCAGCCAATCGGTGCCCTGTGCCTCGCGGCGTTCAGAATAAGTGACCAGCCCCGTATCGGGCTCGCCCGCGGGATTGACGTGCGTGCCCTCGACCCAATCGCCTTGCGATTCGACTCCCAGGCCAACACGGATGTCCATGTTGTTGGAACTGGATGAATTCCCCGTGGTCGTCAGCGTTAAGGTCACGGCATCGATCGAGGAGAACAAGGGAACTCCGCCAGCGGTGTAGAGCCCGAGCATCGGGTCGCTCACGTCGAACCGCATCACTGTCGTTCGCACACGGCCAGCAGCGACAACCCCCAGTTCGAAGTCGCTCCGACCGCCGTAATTCTCGTCGTCGTTCTCCTGAACCAACATGGCCTCTTGGATGATTTCGCTCGATTGGCCTCCAAGACCGGCTTGGATCGTCACGATGTCTGCCGCGGCTTGGCGATCGGCGGAACTAATCAGTGTGGTCAGAATAAGACTGCAAAGAATTCCGATGGTGATTCGCATCACGAGCGTCCCCCTAATTCGAGTTTTCAGGCAACTGTGCCTGGCTGAACTTCCATCAACACCGTTCTCAGATGCCGATTTACTCTTCTAAATCACGCGACTCTTCTTGTTGTTTGCCTTGTTGGTTCTGAGCTTCTTCCTCAACCGAGAGGCTCTCGTCTTCTACCTGCTGCTGCAGCGGAACGTATTCAATAACCAGTTGCGGGCGGCTCGCGACGTCGCTCACTTCCGAGGAGTAGAAAGACACACGATTGGGTTTTCTTTCGCTGCGTTCGCGAAGCAAGAAGCCGGCGTTGCTTGCAGGATCCTTCGCCCAGTGTTCGAGAAACTGCAAATCACCTTCGAGCACGAGTTCGCAAGTGCCTGAGAAGCGTGGCTCATACGGCAGGCGGGCCGAAGGACTGGGCACAAAGTCGCGGCCCGCACCAACCTCGCGCCAGTCCTTCTCGCCGTGAGCCAGTTGATTCCAAGTGACTTCTCCCGATCCGGGGTTACCGGCGTCGGCACCATTCAGGAAGTTTCCCTCTTGCCAGTTTCCTGACCGGCCGCTCATGCGGTGAAGCTGCAGTTCGCCTGGTGCGTCCCAAGGATAGAACTCGACGTTTGTGTTGACCGACAATCGCAAAGTGGCGGAAGTGATCTTCGAGAACTTCCCTGCCAGGCTACTGAGGTCGAACCGAAGGAGCGCACGGCTGACCGCTACCCCGTCGGCTATCCATGGTTTCACTTCACCGCCAGCGTGCAGGTCGCCTCGTTTGCCGAAATTGTGAGTTGGCGCCCACTGCTTGAGGGTTGTGTCATCCGTTCCGGTGTACAGTTCACCGGTAAATGGGTCGGGCATTCCGTCCTGGAACGTAACCACGCGAGTGGGCTGAGGCTCGGGCGTCTCTTCCTCAATCGAGCGCACAAAGCGATCGGGTTCGGCGTCCGCCAGCTCGGTGACTGGCGTTTTCGCACGAACCGACACGGCCTGACCGGCTGTGATACGCCGCGGTGGAGTGGTGTCGTCGTCTTGGCCGACGGCCCCCACTTCGACTTTCCCCACGAAGACATGCACCTCACTGGTGCCTAATTCTTCATCGACCTGCACCCCGAATTCAGTACCCAAGTCGATCACCGTGGCCGTGGGTGTGCGGATGGTGAAACCGACAGCCTGCGGTGGGACGTTCGCCACCAATCGCCCGGACTCGAGGAACCCTAGACCGTCAGTTTCAAGTTCAAACTTGGCTGGCCCCTCTAACACCACAACGACGCCCGAGTCGAACTCGATGGATGCCGTGCCTTCGACGAGGTTCAGAGGACCTGGTTCAAGGCGGAAGCCGACTTCTGGAGGCTGGCTTTCCGCCCAGCGGGCACCGTTGGTCCGCGTGAGGCTGGCGATGTTGCGAGCGGCTGATTTCGCCGGAGTTTCCGTGTTCTCAGAGACTGCCGAACCGCCGGAAGGAAGCACCGCCGGCGAAGGATCTGAGTTGAGCATGCGAACGCCTACGAAGACCCCACACGCGAAGAGCAGGACGGCCATCATCGCCGAGGGTGCTACTTCGAGCCATTGGTTCAGCCGGTCGGCGGTTGGAATGAGACTTTTGAGCAGCTTGCCTGGCTGGTGCTCTTGTTCGACAACCTCAGTACGATGAACTTCTTCCTGCGTTATCGTTGATTGCTGCAACGAGGCGGCAGGTGGTGAAGGTTCGCCGAGCAACGCATTGGCATCGAGAACAACGTTTAGCGGAGAGCCTGCGGCGTCTTCGAGTTCGAGGAAGGCATGCAACTCGATGTATTTAAGGTACAGGGCACGGGCCGCATCGTTGGAGCGAACAAGCTCTTCGATTCGTGCGGCTTCGGCAACCGAGAGTTCGCCCTCGCAAAGCGAATCGAGGAGCGAGAGCAGCTCGTTGGAGTCGAATCCAGACGTTGTGTCGCGGATCATGAGCGCGCCTCCGCCTGCAGGGTTCGTTCGATGCAGGCCAGCAACTGGCGGCGAATTCGCCCCAACGCTTTTTTCAATGCCTCAACCGATCGACCGACTTCCTCTGATGTCGACTTGAGCGTGGCACCACTGCGGTAGCGCGATTGAACGAGTTCTCGGTCTCGCTGTCGCAAGCGAGAGAGGCACTTCGCCAGGATGCGTTGGCGGTCGTCGGTGTGGCGGCACTCAGGCGAGTCGGGCGTGAAGCCTTCGATGAAATCGTTGCTGAAGCAAAGTCGATCTCGCTGTTGCTGCTTGCGAAACTCGAGGACGCGGAAGTGGGCCACCTTGAGTGCCCAGCGTGCGAAATCGGTGCCGCGTTCGAATTGATCGAAGTTCTGCCACAGGGCGATGCTCGTTTGCTGGAGTACCTCCTCGGCATCGCTTCGGACCGGCACCAGTGCCCGAATGTAGGCGTACAGCCGAGGCTGGTGAGCCGTGAGTAGCTGTACGAATTCTTCGGTGTCTTTGGATCGCTCAGCGAATCGAGACGTTTTCCGGGACACGGTCGAAGCCATTAGCAGAGTCTATAAGGGCCGCGCGTACGGTTGCACACTTACCTAGAGCCGAACCCTGCCTTTTGGGGGGGGTAAAAACTGCGAAAAAATCAGGGATATTGCTTTGCAGTCCTTGGCCGGGCGAGCCTGAAACAACCTAAACTGTTTCATGGACATGCATTAGGAGTCCATCCGTTGTCAGCGCCGCAGTGAACTTGCCGCCGTTGACGGCTGCCGGGGCTAGCTTGGTGGCCCTGACCAGGAGACTTTCGCGCCGGGTGGGTTTGATCTGCGGCCGGAGTTTGGTAGGTTAATGGGCTCGATATTTCTTTCATTTGTTGTCCTGCCCGCACGGGAGCAGGGCGATGCCGGTTTGGTTGGAGCTTTGAAGCAATGGGTAAGAAGCGGCGTTTTGGATCGCGGAAGAAGAAAGACCCTATTTTTCACGATGGTCAGCGTCCGCGACCGATGTGGATCGACTACAAGGATCTCGATCTGCTGAGCAAGCTCACGACCCGCCACGGCAAGATCACCGGTCGCCGCAAGACTGGCTGCTCGGCCGTTAGTCAGCACGCGGTTGGGCAAGCCGTCAAGCGTGCCCGCTTCATGGCCCTGATGCCATACGTTTCTGAATAAGACCCAACGTTGTCGCTCAACGACACGTTGTCCGCATAAATGCCTTCGGGGCTTTCGGCTCCGGAGGCATCTTTCTTGCGCCAGCAGACAGTTTGCTAGCATTCGCGTTGCAGTCGCCCTTTCTTGCTCCAAATGCGGCCCTGGAAGTAGGGATTGCGCGTGTTGGCTTACAAAAACCTCTGATGCGTTTGGTAGGTTTTTCAAAAAGCTGTACCGGTTAGCCAAACCTGGCTGCCTGCCTGTCCGTGCCGTGCAATGTCGCAAGTGGCTACCGATGAACGAGTTACTCCACGCCAGGTCTCCAAGAGCCAGACTGACTTTCTTGTTTGGCACGACGTGTGCTTTTCACTGCCCGCAATGACCCAAAACACACCGAGCATCGTTGCGATGGAGGGCACGGCTTTGACTCGACAAGAAAAATTCCACTGGATGAAAGACATTCTGGAACACCTTGGCGACTGCTACGAACAGTTGCAACAGGCTGACCCGGGCAGCGATCGTTACCTGGCCGAGTCGATTAACCGCGACCTGGAAGAGTTTCGTCGGCTGTGCAACTCGCTGCGGCGAGATGATAGCCACGAGGTCGCGTCGCGGGCCGCCATGGTTTAAATGCGGCACCGCGAATCCCACCAACACTCCCGCCCAACACCCCACCCCACACAGGGCCCGAGCAGTCTCCCGCACTGCGAGGGCCCTCACGCATGCGCGGAGGTTGATCGTTAGCCTAATGGCTCATCTAAAGACCCTGCCCACCGTGGAGTCCTCACTGCTGGACAAGCCAGCAGTGGCACCCATCTGAATGGCTTCTACCCGATTGATTGGCTCACTCGCTCGATTGTTCTCTTGACCGTCTCTCTCAGTCGTTTGCCTCAACTTTGCAGACAAAAAATTGTGGTTCCGGAACCACGCTTCGCGCTTGGGAATGATCGGGACGGCTGTGGGATGAATTGTTGGTGACGACACGCGGTGTTGTGATTGATGCTGTCTGCCGATCGCCTGGCCATCGGTTCGAGCATCCACTTGCGTTCTGTTGAATGCAGCTCGCAAATGTCTTCTCACGGGCGTTTGAAGGTCGGCTGAACTCGACTGAGCAGGCACGCCTTCAAGGCTCGAAAATCAGATCACACAATACCTCGCCACAACAAACTCATCTCACCAGAGCTGGTGCAAAAGATCCGTCGACCCCCGCTGCCAACTCCACCCTCGCGACCCCACGCCCCCAGGCAAGACGCAGAACCCACGCACTATAGTGCCGAGGTGGGAGGGAAATCTCAATGTTTGTTTTTGGCCACCCCTGCGGCGGGGAGTTGGCTGTGAATGGGTGGCGTGGTGGTGAGTTTGAGGAGGGAGATGAACCACGACGGTACTACGGCACGACGTAAGGAGGAGGGGGCCGGGAGTGGTTTATCGATGCAAAGGTTGGATAGAGGATTTGGTGCATTAAGGTTGCTGGGGCGGCTGGAAACTTCTGCTTAACACCCCTGGCGGCTGCGCCGCATCGGATCGAGATCCGGTGGTACCCATGGGAGATTCGCTGAGTGCAGCGCTGGATGTTATAGGCTGGCTGTGCCGCGGAGGCCGACGACGACGGCGGTGTCGTTGCGTTCGTCGGCGGGTTGGATGAACTGGAGGTCCATCGTCATTTGGAACATCTTGGCGATCGAAGCGTTGTAGAACAACTCGACGCCTTGCACGTCTTGGAACTCGCGAACCGGGGCCAGCAGACGGCGGAAATTGTCGCTCAGCCCGGTGTAAAAGTAGCCTACGCCGAAGGCATCGTTCGGTCGGGCGGAGGCGAACCCTCGGGCTTGCAGGCCGATGTTGGCCGACCAACCGATGGGGCTGGTGGCTTCATCGGCCACACCCCAGGCACTTAGCAGCGAAATGTTTCGCTTCTGATCGCTGGGATCGACCCACAGCGACTGTTCACCGATGTAGATCAGCGAGTAGGCCCCGTTCTGTGGAACGGCCACGATTCCCTCGTCGGGCACAATCACAAATCCGGTGGGGTCGAAAACAATGAACTCGCCCGTGGACCAAATGCCGCCAAACAGGTGCGAGCCAGGCTTTCCGCCAAGCTCGGTGAAGAAACGCCAGAAGCCGAGGATGTTGACGCCGTTGTCGAACAGATCGTCGAAGCCACTGGTGGTGGTGCAGTTGTTCGTGTCGTAGGTAAGCAGGCCGCCTTGAATTTGCGTGCCACGGTACTTCAAGGCCCCGGCCCCCATGAACGACAGCGGGACGACTCGTGCGACGGACATGGGGATGACCATCGAAGCGTTCATGAACCCGTCCACGCCACGGCCGGTCTGCGGATAGAGGCTATAGAACAGATCGACCGAGTTGAACTTGCCGAAGGTGAGTTGAACCTCTTCGCTGATCGCCTGAGCAAACGACAGGTTGGTGATCGCGGTGTCGTGCTCGCCCTCGTTGGGGTAGAGCATGGCGATGTTGGCCGGCGCGAACCCGACGGCCTGCAGATTGACGTCGTTGCCGTAGCGGGTTTCGGCGTGCATGGTCATGGTCATCCCGTCCCACCAACCCAACTTGGTGGTGTTGAGGATGAGGAACTGATCGACCTTGCCACCGTATTCGAATTCCTGATCGCGTCCGCCGCTGGCCACGCCCTGATAGAACTGCGGCACCTGCGCGAGATATATGAAGCCCGACTCTTGCATGGCCTTAGCCATGGCTTCCATGCGACGCGAGAATTCTTCGCAGGGCGAAAGACAGACCGCGGTACTGCAACCGCAGGTGGCCGGGGCACATTCGCAGGTGTAATCGTAGCCGTCTGCTGGAACTGCAGAGGTGTCGGTGTCGTCGAAGTACGACCATTCTTCGGCCGTGGAGTTTGCGACCGAGAGCGCGATGCCCAGCGCGCAGAGGACCGTGGCAAACCGAGAAGCAGCAACCATGCATTCCACCCCACATCCGTGCCGGGAACGAGTCCGAAGTACAGAGCCGGACCCAATCCCACTCATCGACACCGGCGGAGGAAAGCTGCATGACCGTGCCGAAGGGAACGGTTGTACCGGCCGGGCAAGGTGTTCGCCTTGGATCTTGGGGTTATTGGACTGTGTGGTTTACGTTTCGACCGAGTGAGAGCCCCCTTTAATGTGAACTCTTAATTACCGCTTTGTTTTTGTTGAAGTGCCAGATCGCGGAGGTGATAATTCGACCGCGGACGAGGGAGTGCGACTGTGGGTTTAACAACCGCCGTACTTGGGGGAGGGTCGCATGAGCTACGACATCAATTTCTGGAAGCAAGAGCGGTCGCTCGATTTGAGCCCGGAGGAAATCTACGGGGAACTCTGTGAAGAGCGGGCCGTCGACGGGTTGGCCATGCTGCCGGTCGACGAGATTTTGGGCCAGCTCCGCGCGGCCTATCCCGACTTCGATCCGAGTGAGGATTTTCCCGGCATCTCGACCGACGAGTGGTCGGTGGAAGTGATTTGGTCGGACCAGCACTTCCGCTTCGATTTGCGGGGCGAGGTACCGGCCGCCGATCAGAACCAGATGATCGAAATGATGGCCGCCCACGGTTGCCCGATGTACGACCCACAACAGGACGTGCGTTACGACACCGAAGGCGGTACGGCCCTGGGCGAATTGCCCGTGATGACCGACCCGACGCCGGAAGAGCTGGCCGAGTTCGAACGTTTGAAGGAACAGATGTACGCTCAGTTCGATCAGTCGCAGAAGCGAGGGTGTGGCGGGAGTGCTGCGTTGTTGGTTTTGGGTGCGGCTGGAGTAGCGGGCTGGTTTTGGGTTTGAGTGCGTGGGTGATTGACCACCCATGGGTTTGGTTTAGCCGCCTGATTCGATTAGTTCTTGCAGGGTTGCTTCTCGAACTTGACCGTCGTCTGTGAAGATCAATCCACGTTCTCTTACCAGTGCACTTAACCCGAACCATTCTGGCTTGGCCACTTGAATCGTGAGAAGCAATTCGCCCTTGGCTAGGGTCTGAACGAACTCGGTCAGGTGACATTTGTAGCCTGCGAGTGTGACCTCATGATCACTGGTTTCGGGAAGTGCTTGTACTTCGTCGAACGTCAGGGTCCGCAACGCCTCGAGGCGGTCTTCCAACAGTTTTTCTCTTGCTTCATAGAATTCAGCCTTCACGCACCTCCTTTGTGGTGAGAATGATCTTCGAATGTTGTCTTGCAAACGTATTTATGGCCTCTAGCGGCTTCGCCGCACCGGATCGAGATCCGGTGGCACCAGGGGTGCATGGCAGTGGATCTAGCGCATCAGCGGTGGCTTGAAGTGTGCATCTACGAATGCACACAACTTGGCATTCTCTTCGTCTGCAATACTACCAGAAAGCCTTGCGGAGCTTTCATCGATATCGAAGGCACCTAGGAATAGGCCTTTATCCATAGATAGTAGAGTCACATCCTCACACCATGTGTGACCTTGTTTAAGCGAAAGGACATGCTGTCTACCGAGTCGGTGTTGCGTCTTCATCCAGTGAAGGATCTTGATTACAACCACCCGAAGTCGTTTGTCTCCGATTTCCTCCTGTGCCATCTTCAACTGAGAACTGAGCGATCCGTCGTCTATGAACCGAAGCATCGCTTTGACAAGATGAATGTCACTCATCTTCTCATCCGTCTTGAGTGTCACGGAGTGAATGGTCTACGTGGGTGAATCAAGCTCCACCTACGCCCCCGTGGTCTTTCCTTTGAGGATGCCGTGGAGGTAGATGTCTTGGCCGACTTGTTGGTAGTGGGGGTGGTCTAGGGTCCAGGCGTGGGACATCTTTGTTACGCCGGTGCCGCCGATGGGGGTGGGGGCGGTGGGGGAGCCGACGAGTTTGGGGGCGATGAACGTGTGCACCTCGTCGACTTGTTGACCGTCGAAGAAGGTGCCGAGCACGGTTTGGCCGCCTTCGACCAGAACATTGGTCATGCCGCGTTGGCCCAGCTCGAGGAGAAGTTGGTCCAACTGTTCGCCCGGGGTGTCACCTTCGCAAACGAACGTTTCGCAGCCGGCTTCGTTCAACCGGGCAAGGTCTTCGGCAGGGGCGTCGCGACTGGCCACTACGAGCACGGGGGCTTCGGCTGTGGTTTGCACCAACTGACTTTCGCTGGTGAGCGTTGCGTGGTGGTCGAGCACAACGCGGGTGGGAATGCGGGCGCCGGGGGGACGGGCGGTAAGCAAGGGATTGTCGGCCCGAACGGTGCCGCGACCGACGAGGATGGCATCGACGCGGCCGCGAAGGGTGTGCACGATTTCGCGGGAAGCCTCGCCGGAGATCCAGCGACTGTCACCGGCGTGGGTGGCGATCTTGCCGTCGAGCGTCATGGCCCATTTGGCGATGACCCAGGGGCGACCGGTGGTGACGCGTTTGAGATAGGGGGCGTTCTGCCGGCGGGCTTCGGCTTCGCACACGCCACGGATGACATCGATGCCGGCGGCTTGGAGTTGCTCGAACCCTCGCCCGGCGACTTCGATGAAAGGATCGTCGAGCGCGCAGACCACGCGTTTCACTCCCGCGGCAATGACGGCCGGGGCACAGGGGGGTGTTTTGCCCTGGTGCGAACAGGGTTCGAGCGTGACGTAGAGCGTACTGCCCTTGGCGCGGGTGCCGGCCATCGACAGGGCGTCGACTTCGGCATGCGGACCACCGAAGCGGCGATGCCAGCCTTCGGCGATCACTTCAGCGCCGCGAACGACGACGCAGCCAACCATGGGATTCGGCTCGACGTGGCCTTGCCCGCGGGCGGCAAGCTCGAGGGCTCGCTGCATGTGCCAGAGATCGAGATCGGACTGCTGCATGTAGGCCACTACTCCGAGTTTGCCGGCAGGGTTGGCCGTGGACTAGGTGAACTTGTCGCTTGCGATGACCGAGTGGCGTTGTTGATATGGGTGGCCCAGCCGCGCCGGCTGGGTCGGCGAAGCCGACAAGATGCAACTTCGTGCGGACTGCTTCTCCAGTTGTGTGGAATAGCTCCTGCAGAGATTTCAGCAGTGAACGTGTTTTTTAAACATGATCTTGGCGGGCCGGGAGACATTCACCTAGGTCATCGTGTCGCCTGCGGCGACCCAGCCGGCGCGGCTGGGCCACCCGAGGTGTGTACTATTTCTGATTGCTCGAACTATGAAACTTTGCTCTTACAGCAAACATCAGTCCATGCCGGGGGTCCAGAGGGCCGACTTTTCTTTGGAGCCTTGTTCGGAATCGGGCGTCCAGATTTTGCCGGACTCGCCAGCGGCGGGTTCTTCGGCACCGGGCATTTCCGCGGCCTCGGGCGGCATGGCCTGCGGGCGCATTTGTCCATCGGGGCCGAGAACGCCGATGCTGGTTAGGAACTGCACGACCGCCTGACGGACGCCGGGTTCGTTGATGTGCTCGGCGGTGATGTGATCGAGCACGCGTTTCACTTCGTCGGGCTGCCCGATCTCGCTACGGAGGGTGAGTTCTTGCAGATCCCACGGGGCGGAAGATTGCCCAGCGGCTTCGGCCAGCTCGCGTCCGCGATCGAGGTATTCCAGCGCGATCGAAGGACTGGTTTCCAGACGGGAGAGTTCGCCGTAGACCAACGACTTGTTGATCTTTCCGTCGAGGCTCGGGCGGTTGATCACTTCGAGGGCGAGCAGCCGGCCGGCGCGGGCGGCCCGCAGGTGTAGTGCGGCACCCATCAATTGGGCGAGTTCTTCGTCGCCGAGCTTCTCGACTTCTAAACGATGCCAGCGGCACATGGGAAGCGCGGTGAGGTCGACCGTGGTGGGGTCGATGGCTTCCATCTTTGGCAGGCCGAGCTTCTCGCGGAGGGCGTTGAAGTCGAACTTCTCGGTGTGTTCGGCGGTGGCCAACTCGGAGACGAGGAGTTGAGCCAAGACGCGGAACTTGAGCTTGTCGTCTTTGGCGGCCTCGAGCGGGGTTTTTTCGTCGAGGGCGTGCGTGACCGTTTCGGGCCAGCGATTCATGAGGGCGTCGGTGCCGTGCTCGATGACCAACTCGTGGGCTTGCTCGCGGGTGGTTCCCTCGGGGAGTTGCCAACGGGGGTCGAAGTTGCCACGCATGGCGGCGAAGGGATGGACGACTTCCGAGCCTGAGGCTTCGCCCAGATCGTCGCCGGCGATTTCTTTCACCAGGGCTTCGGCCTGATCGAACGTTTCACCCTCGATGCCGATCACTTCGACGCGGGCCGCGCGGTCGGTTTGTTTTCCGAACAGCGAGACTTGCCCAATGATGTTGGGGATGTTGTCGATCGACAGGCCTTCAGCACTGGTTAACTGCGGACGATCGAGCAGGCGGAAGACGGCGGTGGGGGGCGGACCTTCGTCGGGGTTGCGTCCCTGATCGGGCAGCTTCCAGGCCTGTTTGTTGGAGAGCAGCAACTCGAGCAGGCGCTGCGAGTCGTTGATGTCGTGGGCGACCTTGATGGCCGGCAGGCGATCTTTCTCGGTGACGGGCCCCAGCAGTTGAGCGAGGGCCTCGGCTTCGAGCGCGTCTTCGAGTGCGACTCCATCAAGCACCGAATACTTGCGGAACGCTTCGACCGCGCCATCGTTGTTGGCAAGCCAGCCACGCACCAGGCCGAGGTTGAACCACAGTTCGGGCACGTTGGGCGAAGCTTCGGCCAGGCGGGCGAAGTGTTGTTCGGCGATGAGCCACCGCCCGACGCGTGCCAGCCAAAGGGCTTCTTCGAACTCGTCCTCGGATGCAAAGCCCTCGGGGCAGGGCATGAGGTTGGGGTCGTCTTTCAGCAGCAGCGGAACTTCAAGCGAGCGGTCGATCTCGTTGAGGAACGTGCTGACTTCCGAGTCTTCGGGGTCGGAGGCCAGTGTGAGCTGCAGGTGGGCGCGGGCCGACATCGGCATCTGTGCGCCGGTGAGCACTTTGGCGATCAGCTCTAACGCGTCGAACACGTCGCTGGGCATCGGGTCGCGACCGGCGGCGAGGGCCAGTTGCAGGTCGACAATGGCCTCGGGGACTTGCCGCAGCATTAGCTTCAGCGTCGAGCGATGGGCGAGGGCCGTGGTGTTGTCGGGCTCTTTCTCAAGAACGGCGTCGAACAGTTTGTGAGCTTCCTCGTGCTCCTTGAGATAAAGGTGCAGGCGGCCCATCATCACCATGAGGCCGACGCGGCCGCGGTGTTTTTGTTCGAGTTTTTCGGCGTGGTCTAGGCAGGCACGGTATTGCTCGCCTTCGATCATCCGCTCCATCTTCTCAAGTTCGGGAGCCAGGTCGCGGCAGCAGAACTTGAGCTTCTTACCCGAGCCACAGGGACAAAATGCGTACGGGTCGAGAGCCATTGTCTGCCTGCTTCCTGTGCGAAATAGAAACGAAGGTGTCGGAGCATTGCCGAGTGGAAATGTCGCAAGACGGATCCTCGGGCACCGAGAGCACTTTTGTGCCAATCCGAGGGACGAGCGACACAAGCGATCGTAACAAACTGGAGAAAGCTTGACGAGTCGCGGGGAAATTGGATGCCCGGGGGCCGGGATTCGAGCGGCTGACGTATCGAGACGGCCCAATGGGAGGAGAAGTGTGGGTGAGTGCTAGTGCTTGCTCTTTGGCGGCGGGCGTTGGGGTGGCTTTGTGGGTGAGGGCGGTGTGGTGTGTTGGGAGATAGCTTCGAAATCTGTAATGCGGCTGAAGGGTGAGATTCTGCTGATGGCCTCTGGCGGCTGCGCCGCACCGGTTCGAGAACCGGTGGTACCCATGGGGTGTTGTGTGACTTGCTATCCTTGGGTTTGTTTCCATTCGGCTCCGAAGCGGAGGCCGAGGTTGAGGATGCGTTGGAGCAGGTCTTCGTAGGAGACGCCGGCGCTTTCGGCCGACTCGGCGTAGTCTTCGCCGTAGGCCAGGTTGGGGTTGGGGTTGGCTTCTAGAACATAAACCTGACCATCGGGCGTGAGACGCAAATCCATGCGGGCGTAGCCGGTGAGTTCGAGGACGTGATAGATGCGTTTGCAGAGCTTCACGATTTCTTTCACTGTCTTCTCGGGCAAGTCTTTGGCGGCCGTGGTGTCGATGCCCATCTTCTTCTGATAGGCCGAGTCCCACTTCACCTTGGCCGTGGCGATGTGGGCCACACTCTCGGGCATGTTCTTGAAGACCATCTCCCAGATGGGGAAGGTTTCAAGGCGGTGATTCCCCAGAACGCCAACGTAGAGTTCGCGGCCTTCGATGTATTGCTCGACGAGAGCGTCGGTGCCAATGTTGTTGTGGATGAACTCGACGCGCTCACGAAGTTTGTCGTCGTTGTAGACAATCGACGCCTGCGAGATGCCGAGGGAGGCTTCTTCCACGGCTGATTTGACTAGTAGCGGGAACTCGAGTCGCTTGGGGCGGCGGATCTTGCGACCTTTGACGAACACCGCGAAGGTGGGCACGCTAATACGGTGGAAGGAGAGGATCTTTTTTGAGAGCGGCTTGTCGTGAGCCAGCATGAGGCCCCGGGGATTGCAGCCGGTGTAGGCTTCTCGCATCAGTTCGAGATAGCTCACCACGTGATGATCGTAGACGGCCACCCCGTGGAATTCTTCCAGCAGGTTGAACGTGATGTGGGGCTTCCACTCGACGATGGCGTCGCGAATGACACCGAGATCGCTACTGACGCCCAGCGGTTTTACGTCGTGGCCCAGGTTGTGCAGACCTGCGCAAACGTCGTATTCGGTCTTCCAATCGGCCATTTCCTTGTCGGAAATGCCCTCAATCGACGCGGGAGGTACTAACGCTTCGTGCATCAGGACCAGAACCCGCAGCTTTCTCATAGCGACATCTCGCGTCGACCGTTGTGCAAATACTTGATGGTGTGAACCGCCAACAACAGGGCTGCGTCTTGCTTACTTCGTTGCTCAGACAAGTTGCGACGCAGCTTGAGCCGGTTGCAACGGGTCATCATTTCTTGCAGTACCTGGTCGATGGTGTACTGGAACTCACCCGACCAGTGAGCGACCCGGCGGCGAAGCTCGGGGCGAACTCGACGTAGAAAGGCGGCGGCCGATTCGCGGCGGGCGTACTTGGGATCGTCGCTGAAGAGCTTGCGGAGGTCGTTATCGAACAGCTCGGGTTCGTCGATGCCGTAGCGGGTTTGGCGTTCTTTGTAGTGGCTGCGAAGTGTCTTTCGCATGCGCGACAAACTGCCTAGCCGTTGACGCGAGGTGAGCTTGGGCGGTTGGTCGGCGATTTCATCCATCAGTTCGTCGACCAGTTGCAGTTTCTTCAGGGCGGGCCAACCCTGGTATTGGCGTCGCCAGCGCGAGCCGGGATTGAGCCACACGGCGAAGGTCTCGGCGAAGTCTTCGCTGGGGTGGCTTTGGGCGTACCAGGCTTCGAGATGTTGTACGTAGCTTTTGCTGTAGGGCCGGGGGCGGTATTGCTCGGGGTATTTCTGCGAGGCGAGGCCGAACACGTGTTGCCACTTGCGACGGCGATGCAGTCCGAAGGCGGTATCGACACAGTGGCCCGCCTCGTGACGAAGGATTTGCATGCACCAGCGATGGGTGCCGCCTTCGACCTCGTGCATCATGTTGCGTTCGAGGCGTTCGAGCCGCGGGTGGGCCAGGTAGAAGGGAACGGCGATGCCGGGAATATCATCGGGCGAGAACCACTCGTCGGAGAACCAGCAGTGCGGCTGAATGCGAATGTGTCGCCGCTCGAGCTGGCGGTGTAACAGGCCGATTCGTTCTTCGACCTTGGTGCCCTCGAGCTTGAGGCCCAGATCGCAGAATCGCAGGTCGAGAAGTTCCTCGTCTGGCAAGCCCACCCAGTCGGGCTGCCCATTGCGAGTTGTTCGCTTCACTTTGCGAACTCGGGTTGTCTTCTTCGTCCTGGTCACTGCCGGCTTCAGTCCGTGTTTTCTTCCCCTCGCAATGACGGCTTCGCTCCCTCAGCAAGCCTTGTCACTCTGTCTTCAAAACTATAGACGATCGGGGGCGAAAGTCTTTCGGAAAGACCTAAGAATGTGCCGAATTCGTCGTCAAAACTAACGGTCTGATTCAGACGATTCAAGACCAACCAAGGAATCATCAGGGCGATGCGTTCGCACTACGAAGTATACGTCACCCTTGAAACGAGGCAGGCTGATTAGCGTTCGCCGAGCGAAGTCGCTTCTTGCTCGGGGGCGTGTTCGACAGCTTGAGATTGTTCGTCGTCAGCGTGCGGGCCACCAACTTGTGGTTTCGAGCGGGGGGTGAATGTGGCCAAAATCGCCGGCAAAATGAGCAAATCGCCCACGAGTGCGGCGACGATCGTCGCGCAAGCCATGCCTGCAAAGACCTGATGTCCCGGCATTTGACTGGTGAGCACCGTGGCGAAACCGGAGACGAGCACCACCGAGGAGAGAATCAATGCGGTGCCGACACGAATGAAACTCCGGCGGATAGCGGCATCAACGTCGCCATCGATGGCAAGTTCATAGCGGAAGCGGGACAGAAAGTGGATGGTGTCGTCGACGGCAATTCCCAGACAGATCGTAAAGGCACACACGCTGGTGATCTCCAGTGGTCGGCCCAGCAGCACCAGCAGCGAGGCAGTGACCGCCAGGGGGAAGAGATTGGGCACCACGCACATCAGGCCGATGCGAAGTGAACGGTAAGCGATGCCCATCACAAACAGGATAATCACGGCAGCCACACTCAAGCTGCCGGCCAAGTCGTAAATGATGTCGTGGATACCCCGCCCGCGGACGACGGGATCGCCGGTGAGGCGAAGCACAAATCCCTCGTGTTCGGCCTCGATTGCGGCGAGCCGCGCTTCCAGATTCTCGAACACACTGACGTAGCGGGAACTGCCGTAGTCGCGGATGCGGGCGATGATGATGGCCCGATTGAGGTCGGCTCGCAGCACGCCACGGACGAACTGGCGTGCCTCGGGCACCGAGCCGGCGAAGAAACTGACGGAGTTGAGGCTGCTGGCCTGGTCGGGCAGGGAATCGGCGATGTTCAGAATCGACAGCGGGTGGCTGATCAGCGGTTCGTCGTCGATGGCGGCAACCACCTCGCGGAGGGTTTCTTTCAGTTCGCCTGAGCCGAGTTTGATGTTCTCGGGCCAATCGACGGCTACCTGGATAAGTTCCACACCGCCGAACGTTTCATCGACGTGCTCGAGGGCGGCGTAGGCCTTGCTGTTGCGGGGGAAGTCGCTTCGCAGGGTGCTATCGGCACGGAGCGTGAGCCCTGTGGCGACCATGATGATAGTGGCCACGATGGAGATCGCGGTGATGGGCTTGCAGTGGCGGATGATGAAGTTGATGAGACCTTCGAAGAAGGTGAGGTTCTTGTTGATGATGTCGTGCTCGTGGCCCGTGTGAACCCGACGGCCGAGCCAGGTGCTGCTGAGCAACGGAATGACGGTCAGCACCGAGACGAAGACCATGCCGACGCCGATCATGCAGTCGAGACCAAAGTCGCGAATCAGCTCGGAACTGGAGACGGTGAGTGAGCCAAACCCAATGGCGGTGGTGAGCGAGGTGAGGGCGCAGGCCACCGTGAGGTGGCGTATGGCGTCTTGCGAGGCCGCCACCGGTTCGGCCCCGTGGGCTCGCGAGCGGCGGATGTCGACCATGATGTGCACGCCGTTGGTGAAGCCGATCATGACGACCAGCACCGGGAGAATGATCTGCACCAACGGGTTATGGCCCTGGGACAGGAAGCCCAAGATTCCAAGCGTCCAGTACAACCCCAGCGAGGGTGCTCCGGCGACGATGATCACGGCCGACACCCCGCGAAACATGATGATGGCCAGAATGAAGACCATCGAGTAGGCGATGATCTGAAAGCGAACGTGCTCTTTGTCGAAGGCTTCGGACTGTTCGTGGCGGAGCGGTAAGAGGCCCGTGCGGGTGACGGTGAGGTCGGAACCTTCAGCGGCGGCTCCGGCCGTGGTGGTGATTCGATCGACCAGGTCGCCGAGACTTTCGCCAATGCCTAGGGCTTCGGCGTTGGGCACGACGGGGATGAGTAAGGTTTTGCCATCGGGTGAGAGGAGTTGCCCGACGACTAGCGGGTGCTCGAGTGCGCGGCTGCGGGCGGCGGTGAATTCTTCTTCGGAAGCGTCGTTGGCGGGGATGAGCTTCTCAACTGCGGGGAAGCTACTGAGATCGGGGATGCGGTCGAGGCCGATGACGCCGGCGACGGTTTCCAACTCGGTGACTTCATCGACCACACGGCGGACGGCGGTCATCGTGGCGGGGGTGAAGAGGGTGTCGGAATCGAGGACCAGGAGGATTCCGCTACCTCCGGCGCCGAACTGCACCTCGATCTGGTTCTTGAATTGGGCGGCGTCGCTGCTTTTGCGTTTACGAAAGCCGATGCCCTCGCCGGAGAAATGGTTTCCCCAGACGGCAATGCCGGTGATGGTGACGATGAGCAACGCCACGAGGATTCGATGTCGACCGAAGCTCTCCGCCAGCCAATTCGTCATTCCGAGACCATCTCTGCACGATCAGGCAAACGCCGCAAGCATATCGTGGCGTCGAACCGACCGGCGGTGTTCCGATCGCCGCCGATGAGGGCCATTGTTGACCGGCGACGGGGAATCGTCCAGGTGAGGGTGCTCATGCTGGCTCCGGCGTGGGCTGTTCCTCTAGTTCTTTCTGCATGCGTTCCCGACGTTTGGAATCATCTTCTAGCCGATACGCCAAGCGGCCGAGCAGGCGGGCTGAGATGAACCAGACGGAAGCGATGAGGGGGCCGGCGAGGATTCCGGCAAAGACGGAGGGGCCCCCGGTGGCGAGAGTGAGGAGGATGGCCGCCGTGGTGGCGAATAGGGCGAGGTGCAGGAAGTAGTAGAGCGTCCAGGATCGCCAGGAACGGAAGAGGCTTCCGAGCACGGGTGCGGAGAAGATCGAGAGGGGATGGCCGGTTTCTAAGGTGGAAAGCAGCAACAGCGGAGTGAGCACGACGGCCGTGGCGGCCTGGGCCAGACCGGGTGGGGTTGCGGCTGCCCACTGGATGGCATAGCCGAACACCGCGGCCACGCTGACGATGAAGAACAGGTAGACCAGGGGGTAGATCCAGACCTGCCAGTTGGCCGAGGGCCATTCTTCCACTTCGTCGGCACCGGCCGCCGTGTCGCGAAGGATCGACCAGGAGCAAGCCCCGCCGAAGGTGAAGGTGAGCAGGCCAATCCATAGACAGGCCATTGCTGGGAATGCCATCGCAAAACCGCCCATGGGATTTTCCGATGCGTAGAGACCCATTATCGCAGTGATCAGCAGACCCAACAGCGTGATGCCGGCGGTGAAGTACAGCCAGTACAGCACGACTTCGCTATGCCAGGGGTAGAAGAACACGCCGGTGAAGAACGAGCGGAGGGCTTTCTTGGTGCGACGCTTGGGAGACTTTGGTTTCGGGGGCGGCGGTTCTTCTTCGCGATCGCTCCATTGCTTGGGCGCGGGGAGATTCGTTTTCTGTGGAGACGGTTCCGTTGCGGGTACTTCGACGGGCAACTCGTCGAGGGTGTAGTCACCCGGTTGGTCGACGGCTGCTTTGGGTTTCTTCTTGGGTGGCGGTTGGGGAACCGTGAACTCGGTTTCGCAGTCGGGACACTTGGCTCGGCGGCCGGCGTTCTTTGTGGCGAAGTGCATTCGTGTGGCGCACAGCGGGCAGGCAACGAGGATCAACTCGCCGGCTGGGGCATTGGGTTTCTTGACCGGCTGAGGCTTCGCCCCAGCGACGGACGACTGCTGCTGTGGCTGTTCCGGCGGAGCGTCTTCCACCACGGCGTACGGTTTGTGAACGGTCCGCTTGGCCTGCACTTGGGCGACCGCAGCCGGCGTGACCACCGTCTCGACGTAACAATCGGGGCAGCGTAATGCCTGACCGACTTGATTGGGGTGGGCGTACATCCGAGTGCCGCAGAGACGGCAGACCACCGGGATCAACCGGGGGGAGGCTTTTTCTTGCGAGGCTTTGGGGATGGCCGGGGTGGCGACTTTCGGGACGGGGGCGTCGGGGAGAATCAGGGCTTCGCGGCAGTTGGGGCAGGTGATTTTTCGCCCACACATGTCGGCCCTGGGTGTGAGCCGGGCCTGACAGTGGGGGCAGAGGACGATCCCGGTGCCGTCGCCTACCCCTTTTGGGATGACCTGCTTCATGCCTCGAACCCCCGAGTGCCCACACGGGCGGGCAGCACCGATTGTTCCGTTGCGGGTGCTACCACCGTTGGCCGCATTCTAGCGGAAAATTGTGGCTGCCGGTTCCATCAATCGCCGCAAATGCCTTATTGCAGGGTACGAGGCGCTTGCAGCCGCATTCCGGGCGAGCGTACGATGGTGAGATTGTGGGGAACATGACAGAAGCCCGTCGAGCGGGACGCGGCTTCTTTTTTTACAGCAATACATTTGTTCTGAAGGTAGGTCTCCTATGCTGTGTAGTTTGAAGCGTCGCGGTTTCGCGCTGCTGTCTATGTTGTCCCTTGTTGTCCTGCTGGGCTCTCCGGCGATGGCCGATGAGAACCGCCCCTCGCCTGAAGCGATTGATGTCGAAGCCCTGGCCAAGAGCGTGACGATTTATCGCGACCAGTACGGTTCGCCGCACATCGACGGCCCGACCGACGCCAGCGTGGTGTTCGCGTTCGGGTACTGCCAGGCGGAAGACTACTTCTGGCAGTTGGAAGACTCCTACGTGATGGGCATGGGACGTTATGCCGAACTGTACGGTGAGCCGGGCTTGAAGAACGATATCATCAATCGGGCGTTCGAGATTCCACAGCGTTCGAAAGAGGACGTGGAGAAGCTCGACCCGAAAGCCCGCATGTTGGTCGAGGCGTTCACCGCCGGGGTGAATCATTACCTCGACACGCACCCCGAGGTTGAGCCGCGACTGATCGAGCGTTTCGAGCCGTGGCAGATGCTGGCCTTTGGGCGTCAGGTAATTTTGGAAATGGGCTGGGGCAAGACCGGTGTCTCGCGAGACGGTGTTCCCACGGCGTATGAGCAGATCGCTGCTTCGAAGGGTTCGAACGCCTGGGCCATTTCGCCGGAGAAGACGGCCTCGGGCAACGCCATGTTGTTCTGCAACCCGCATCAACCGTACTACGGATTCGGTCAGTTCTACGAAGCCCACATGCGAAGTGCTGAGGGCGACGGTTGGAACTTCTCGGGAGCCACGTTCTTTGGCAGCCCCACACCGACCATCGGGCACAACGAACACCTGGGGTGGTCGTTTACGGTGAATGAGCCGAAGATCGGCAATGCCTGGAAGGTGACCTTCGACGATCCGGAGAACCCATTGAACTATCGCTACGACGGCGGGTATCGCGAGGCGGTGGAGTGGACCGACACGATCAAGGTGAAGAAGCGTCGCAAGATGGAGGAACAAGAAGTCACGTTCCGCAAGACGCATCACGGGCCGGTCGTGAAGAAGCTGAACGATACCGAGTACCTGGCGGCCAACATTGGCAAGTTCTACACGGCGTTCGCCAGTCGTCAGAGCCTGGAGATGATCAAGGCGAAGAACATCGACGAGTTTCTCGACGCGATGTCGATGCTGGAGCTGCACATCTTCAACACGGTGTATGCCGACAAAGACGGGAACATTTTGTACCTGTACAACGGCATCATCCCCGAGCGCGATGCCAGCTTCGACTGGAGCAAGCCGGTCGATGGAAGCAACCCTAAGGCCGATTGGAAGGGAATTCACGAAATCACCGATTTGCCGATGACGATCAACCCGGCTTCGAATTTCGTGCAGAACTGCAACCAGTCGCCGTTCACCGTGACGGACGTTGGTAACCCTTCGATGAAGGATTTCCCCAACTACATGGTGGGCGAAAAGCACGACGATAAGCGTCGGGCCAAGGTTTCGCGGATGCTTCTTCGCGACATGGACGATGTGACCTTCGACGAGTGGCAGCTCACTGCGTTCGACACGAAGATGTATTGGCCGCTGATCGAACTGCCCAAGTACGAACGGCAGTTCAAGCGATTGGAGGCCAAGGATCCGGAGGCTGCGAAACGGGTGAAGCCGTACTTGGATCACCTGTTGGATTGGGATTACCGCTGCACGGCCGATTCGACCCAGGCAACCTTGTGCGTGGCCTGGTACGAAGAGCTGTACGGCGACATCTATCGCTCGGAAGATTTGAAGCGGGAATACATCGAGAATCCCGACAAGCGATTCGATGCGTTGGTCGAAGGCGCAAAGAAGCTGAAGGAGACCTTTGGCGACTGGAAGATTGCCTACGGCGACGTGAATCGCATTCAGCGTCATGCCGATGTGGCCGACTTGTTTAAGATCCCGTTCGACGACAACAAGCCGAGCCTGCCGGCTCACGGTGTGACCGGTCCTTTGGGAACGGCGTTCAACATGTACTTCACGCCGTCGATCGAGATTCCGCTGATCCGCCGTATGAAGAAGCACTACGCGGTGGTGGGTGCCAGCTATGTGTCGACGATTGAATTCGGCGACCGCATCGAAGCGGGTAGCCAACTGCAGTACGGCACCAGCGGCGATCCCGACTCGCCGCACTTCGACGATCAGGCTGAGTTCCTGTCGGAGGGTCGCTTCCGCAAGCAACTCTTCTACTGGGACGATGTGATGGACAATGCCACCCGGGTTTATCACCCCGGTGAGGAAGCCGCCGTGGCGACAAGCACCGCGGGCGACTGAGAAAAAACTGGCCAAGGGCTTTGTCTCCTCAGTTCCCTGGGGAGACAAAGTCTGGGTGCCGGTTAAGCTGCGAGACTCTTCAACCCACTGCTAAACCCAGTGGGTTTCTTCTTGGTCTGGTTCCTCCTCGGCGTCGAGGGCTGCGAGCGCCTCGGGGGAGAAGTACCGCCCGGCGATGAACCGCACGGGAACCAGCAGCAACAGCAGCAGCGGAAACAACAGGCCCGCGGGCGTTAGTTCGATGAGGCCCAACACCGCCAGGCAAGCGAGTTGAAGCAGCGTGAATTTGTGGATCGTCTTCATCGGCACGCGACGAATGTAGTGCGTGGCGGGGTAGAGATCGGGATCGGTGAGCCAGAGACTTAGCCGTTCCATGAATTGGTTTCCGCTGAGCGACACGATGCCCATGAAGAAGAACAGTCCGTAAAGGACCGACATGGGAATCGTCCGTAGTAGCGGCAGGGCCAGAATCGAAAGGCCCAGGAACAGGTGAATGGCCATGCCTGTCACGCGGGTTTCGCGGACGTGAATCACGCGTTCTCGCACGTCGCCCCCTTTGGCGACCACCTCTTCGAATGTGGCCAGGCTCCGCACGTGATTGAGCGAACGCACGGTGGCGGCCACGAGCCAAGGGAGGCCGAACATCGAGCAAATGCCAACCAGTACGCCGACAATGGCCAGATCGTAGTGGTAGGACTCGCCTTTTCGCAGCTTGTGGTCGCGGCTGTTGACCAGTCGCGCGGTGATGTTCTGGTCGACATAGACCAGGACGGCCCCCAATAGCGCCGGCCCCAGCGAGGCGAACCAGATCCACTTGGGGGCTTCGAATGGATTGATCAACCAGGCTCGTTCGGTTGTGGGGCGAATCGATTCGGGTGCCGGCAAGCGAGCCATATTCACATCGTTGAACCACAGGACGGCCACCGCGGTCATGATGCCCAGCGCGATTGCCGGCCCAAAGTCGGCCAGGAACTCGCGCATTTGAGGAAGCAGGTACCGGCTACGTCGGAAGCGGGATAACGAGATGGCGATGTAGAACGTGCCGGCCACCAGCACCAGGGGGACCAGGGCCTCATCGTGGCTTACCTCCTCTTGGGCGTACACGTCGCTGAAGATGTTGAAGACCGCTTCGAGAGAAGCGGAGATGAAAATGAGCGAAATCAGGGCTGCGAAGATTTCGTCGGTGAAGCGGGTGAAATATCTGAGGAAGCTACTGGCGTCGGTCACGGCCATGATGATTACCAGCAGCGATGTCCAGAGACCAACCCAGCAGAACACTTGCAGGAAGTTCTCTTCGAGCCCCAGCTTCACACAAAGGGCGTAGAGCATGCTGATGAAAATCAGTAGCGGTCCGGTGCCGCCGAGAATGATTAGCGGCTGGCCAGCAAATAGCGCATAGCACACACCTCCGAAGGCGGTGGCGATGATCATCTCGACCGGCCCGATTTGATTTCCGGTCAACTCGCCCATGATGCCGCCAAAGGTGACCGTCGGGGCCAGGCAGGCGAAGAACAGAAACAGGGTCGAGGCGACGCTTTTCGAATGCAGTCCGTCGGTGAAGTCGCTGATATACCATGGCCAGCGGCGACGGATGTCGTTGATGATTCCGCCGAAGGGTCGGCCGGTGTATTCCAACGACTCGGGAATCGGGGTCTCTTTGCGAATCGGCTCGGGGGCATTTCGTGCGACGAAATGGTCGAGCGCTTCGATCAAGTCGAGCTGGGTGCGGGCGTGTCGGGCCTCGAAGCGAAATTCGTCGTCGACCATCAAGCGGGCGATGGTGGCCAACAGATCGAGATGCCGCGCGACTGAACTGGTGGGACCCAACAATACGAAGACAAACCGCGTGGGTACCTGGTCGGGTGCTCCCAGGTTCACCGGATGGGCCAGGCGGACGAAGACAACGACCGGCTCTTTGAAGGCATCGAGATAGGCATGAGGGACCGCGGCCGCATTACCGATAGCGGTTGAGGCCTGCCCTTCGCGCTCCATCAAAGCATCTTCGACATCTTGCCGTCGATCGTCGGGCAACATTCCACGCGCGACCACGAAGCTGAGCGTTTTCTGCAGAATCGAACGCATGTCGTGTGCTTCGATATCGAGCAGAAACGATCCGTCGAGCAGGGCTTTTCGCAGGACTTTCATCGGATGCCTTAGTGCGGTCGCGAATAGGTCGTGGTTAAGTGGCCAGCCGTAAGTGGGGTGACCCCAGTAACGCACAGCATAGTGATGGATGAAGCAGCGTCTACGGCAATCCTGAGCGGCACCAAAAGTTGCCCGACTCGTGTGGCGGGATCTTCGCACTCTTCGGGTGCAGAATATGAGCGAGAAAAAGCCAGAATGCGGGATAGACTTAGGCGATGATGTCTTTCAACACCCGACCGTGGACATCGGTGAGGCTTTCTTCGCGACCTTGGTGGAAGTAGGTCAGGCGTTCGTGGTCGATACCCAAAAGATGAAGGATGGTGGCGTGAATGTCGTGCACGTGGGCCTTGTCTTTGACGGCTTCGAAGCCGAACTCGTCGGTTTCTCCGTAGGCCACGCCGCCGCGAACGCCACCGCCGGCCATCCACATCGAGAAGCCGTAAGGGTTGTGGTTGCGACCCGGTTCACCTTGGCCTTCGCTGAACGGCATGCGGCCGAACTCACCGCCCCAGACCACGAGCGTGCTGTCGAGCAGGCCCCGTTGTTCGAGATCGGCTAACAGCGCGGCGATGGGCTGATCGGTTTCGCCTGCGTGCTGCCCGTGGTTGGCTTCGATACTTTTGTGCGCGTCCCAAGTGTCTTCCAGGTGTCCGCCACCGGAGTACAACTGCACGAAGCGAACGCCGCGTTCGACCAGACGCCGGGCCACGATGCAGTTGCGGCCGAATTCGTCGGTAGGTTCTTTGCCAACTCCGTAGGCGTCGAGTGTTCGCTGGTCTTCGCTGGCCAGGTCGACGGCCTCGGGGGCTTCGGCTTGCATGCGGAATGCGAGTTCGTAGCTGTTGATTCGCGCGGCCAGTTCGCTGCCACCTTTGCGTTGCTTCAGGTGCTCTTCGTTGAGCTGGGCCAACAGGTCGAGTTGCTCGCGTTGGGCTTGGCGGTCGATGTGTTTGGGGCCGCGAAGATCGAGAATCGGATCGCCCACGGGACGGAACAGGGTGCCTTGATAGGTGGCCGGCATGAACCCGCTGGACCAATTGGGCTGCCCGCTGATGGGGCCGCCGCGATTGTCGAGAATCGTGACGTAGGCCGGGAGGTCCTGATTTTCGGTTCCCAGTCCGTAGCTGCACCAGCTACCTAGCGATGGCCGGCCGATGAACGTGCTGCCGGTGTTGATCTGCACCAGGGCCGACCCGTGGGCATGGCTGTCGGCATGGCAGGAACGAATGACGGCCAGCTTATCGGCATGTTCGCGGGTGTGAGGGAAGTAATCGGAGATGAGCAATCCACTGTCGCCTCCGGGGCGGAACTTGCGGAAGGCCGGCGTGAGGTAGCCCACCTTGCGACCGCCGGAGTTGATGTACTTCTTGTCCTCGGGAAGTGGTTGCCCGGCGTACTTCTCGAGGTCGGGCTTGTAATCAAACGTGTCGACCTGACTGGGTGCGCCGTTCATCAGCAGGAAGATGACACTTTTGGCCTTGGTCGGAAAATGCGGCTCTCGGGCCGCCAAGGGATTTTCGCTCGTCGGAAGTTCTCCGGCCGTCGCGTGGCGATCGAAGAAACCATCGCGCCCCAGCAGGTCGGCCAACGCCAGGCCAACGAAGCCAGCACCCATTTGCCATACGCACTCACGACGCGTTACGCCGCAGGGAAAGGCAGGTCGTTTGTTATTGCTGGGCATGATGGCGACTCGCGGTGGCTTGACTAAGGGCGTGTTCCTGACTTGCAACTCAATCGACGTAGACGAACTCGTTGGTGTTTAGCAGTACATGACACAGGGAGGCCAAAGCCAGGAACTCCGGCGGAGACTCTGTAGAGTCAGTGTCGTTTGTGTCGGCGAAGTATTCGGCCTGCGACTGGAGGTGTTCGACGGCGGCCTGAAGTTCGGTGGACGATGGGTAACGCCCCAGGGTCAGTCGCCAGGCACGGTTGGCTTGTTGATAGAGATCGTCGGCGGCTTCGTCTTGCACGCGCTCGGCGAGAGCATCGCTCATCTCGTGGACGAAGCCGTTGTTCAACAGGGCCAGGGCCTGGGTGGGTACGGTGGTGATGTCGCGCTGGCCGCAGGGCTGGGTGGTGTCGCAAAAGTCGAACGTTGTCATTAGCGGTGGAAGCAGGGCCCGTTTTGTGAACATGTAGATGCTTCGCCGCCAGCGGTCTTCGGCGGGGGATTCCTCCCAAGCTTCATCCTTCTTTGAGAGGCCTTCGAGGGCCTCGGGGCTGATGTGCGGATGGAAGCTGGGACCGCCCAACTGCAAGTCCAACAGGCCAGCGACGCTGAGCATCGTGTCGCGAATTGCCTCAGCGTCGAGGCGGTGACGAGAGAACCGCCACCAGAGTTGATTTCCAGGATCACTCTCGGCGTAGGCGTCTTGCAGGGGATGTTGCGACGCCTGCTGATACGTGGCCGAAAGCATCAACTTCTTGTGGAGTGGTTTCAGCTTCCAGTCGTGCTGGATCAGTTCTTCGGCCAGGTAGTCGAGCAGCTCAGGATGCGTGGGCAGTGCGCCGGTGAACCCAAAGTTGTTGGGCGTTCGTACGATGCCCTCTCCAAAGTGATGTTGCCACAAGCGGTTGACCATTACCCGCGCGGTTAAAGGGTTCGCGGGATCGGCAATCCAACGGGCCAACTGTAAGCGGCGCTGCGAAGTGGTGGCCGCGTCTGTAGGCGGATCGATTGGTCGCTCGAGTATGGGGATCATCGACAGGACGCCAGGAGTGACCTCCGGCCCTGGCTGATGGGGGTTGCCTTTGATCAGCAAGTGCAGCGGTTCTGGCTCGCGGGTGGCATCGGTCCAACCGAACACGTCGTAGCCGAGAGCTTCGGGGCTGGGGCCGCCGAGCAGTCCGCGATCGCCCGGCTGGATGTAGCCGGGCCAAAAGATGCTCGCCATGCGGTAGTAGTCGACCTGCGGGATGGGGTCGAACTTATGATCGTGACAACGGGCGCACTTCACGGTTACGCCGAGGAATGCGGTGCTGGTGGCATGCACAAGGTCGTCAAGTCGCTCGAACTTGTACTCGAACGGATCGTTGGGTTCGTCGTTCCAGGTGCCGACGCGGAGGAAGCCGGTGGCGGTGACCGTTTCTTCCGAACGGTCGGGCAGTTCGTCGCCGGCGAGTTGTTCTTCGATGAAGCGATCGTAGGGTTTGTCTTCGTTCAAAGAGCGAATGACCCAGTCGCGATACTTCCATACGTTCGGCTTGGTTTGATCACGCTCGTAACCGCAGGTTTCGGCGAAACGCACCAGGTCTAACCAGTACCGGGCCCAACGTTCGCCGTACTGAGGGGAATCTAGTAGTTGGTCAATCAAGTTCTCGTACGCGTCGGGCGAGGGATCGGCGGCGAAGGCTTCGATCTGTTCGTAGGTGGGGGGAAGCCCTGTGAGGTCGAAGAAGGCGCGGCGGATTAACGTTCGCGTGTCGGCCGGCGGGGCGAGTGTCATGCCCTCACTTTCGAGACGCGCGAGAATGAAGGCGTCGATGGCGTTGTTCACCTGATCGGAGTTGGCAACCGACGGGACTTCGGGTCGCTGGCGGGGTTGAATCGACCACCAGTCGAGGCCGCCGCGGACGTCGCTCGTGGCTTCGTATTGCTCAAGCACGCGAGCGGCCGGCCAGCGGGCCCCGTCGCGAATCCAGGCAGTAAGCTGGTCGATCTCAGCTTGGGGCAGGGGTTGCGGTTGACCGTTCTTCTCCGGGGGCATATCTCCGGAAAGGATGCGTTCGAGCAAATAGCTTTCCGATGGCTCGCCTGGGATGACAGCCTCACCGCTGGCTCCGCCTTGTTCGAGTGTTGCTTGTGAAGTGAGCACGAGTTCGCCGGCCGCCTCGGTGGCGTTGTGACATTCGAGGCAGCGTTTGATGAGGATCGGTGCGACGTGCGATTCGAAATCCGACTCGCCTGGTTCTGCTGCGCACACGCTAGTTGCTTTCAGCGCGATGGAGACCGCAGCTCCCACGCAAATCAACAGCAGCGATATTCTCCACGCTGTGGACATCGCACACTCGCTCGGTCAAGAAGTGAACACACCGCATCTCGGCGACGATCCGAGAGCCGCTCACATTATTAACCACACGGCAGGCGTCCACAAATTTTTGAGACCCAGCGGGAGGCTTCTTACGATCACCACGCCAAGTGAAGCTATTTGTAACTACTCATCGAGCGTGATGATGTGACCGGTGACGTTAAGATCGGTAACTTCTACCGGTTCGGGACCTTCGCCCACATCTAAGAAGGTGCAGTTGCGTCCTGCCGACTTCGCGGCGAGCGCCGCCTTACCGGCACGGCGACATGCCTCCTTAAAAGGTTCACCGGCGGCCATTTCGGCCACACCGCAAGAAACGGTAAGTTCGAGTTCCATCTCGCCGCAGATGAACGTGCTGGCGGCGATGGTTTGCCGGATACGTTCGATGCCACTGGTGGCGTTGCGGGGACCGGTATCGCCAAAGAACACCAGGAAGCGTTGTCCTTCGAAGCGGGAAGCGACGTCGTGTCCGCGCTTCTTCCGCATTGCTTTGTCGATGGCTCGCCCACAGGCTTCGATCACTTGATCTCCGAAGCGAGGGCCTTGCGAGCGATTGATTTTTGACAGTGCGTCGATGTCGAAGATGGCCAAGCTGGCCACACGTTCGTGACGTGGGTCGGCATCGCGGAAGTTCTTGAAGACGTTCTCGATGCCTGTGCGGTTCGGGAGATTGGTCAGCTCATCGGTCTTGAGTTTGACATCGAGTTCAGCCAGACGACCTTCGGCCACGACCACGGCCAGTAGGGCCTCGTGCATTTGGTCGCGGAGCGCGTGACAGCTATAGAGCAGTTTGTCGATTTCCTTGAGTAGACGACGGCAGCCTTCGGCAATGTCTGATTCGAAGTCGAGCACATCGATATTGCTTACGGCCGTTTCGATTTGTGCGGCCTGTTCCAGCAACACATCTTCTAGCTGCGAGCCGATGTCAGAAAGAATGCCCAGGGACTGCTGACGCTCGGTGAGGTGTGCCCGAGCACCGTCTTGCCGCGACAGGTAAGCTTCGTTCGAGTTCTTCAAATCGTCCAGGCAATGCTGCAGTTGCGTTTCGTCGGGCGTTTCGATGCACTTGCGGACGCGGTCGTCGATGGCGATCAACTGGTCGCGGTACTTGCCCACTTCGAGGCGAAAGACATGGACGGCTGCTTCGACGAAGGTGGCAGACTCGGCCACGTCCTCGAGTATTTCGTGCCACTGGCTGGGGATTTCTTCGCTGGCGAGCTTTTGGGTGACGACGATTGGTTCTTCATCGTCCGCTTCGGGGGCGGGGGGCGGAATATGAACTCCGGTCCCGAAGGTATTCAGCCAATACACTCCCACGGCGTAACCCAACGCGATGTTCAGCAAGGCGATGGCCAGCACCAAATAGAACATCGTTACGCCCTGAGACCTTGGAATTGAATTGCCGTTGAGATGGAGCTTGCCCCCAATCTTGTGAGAACGCTGCTGTTTCCCGGCACCGACTGAGCCCACCGGGCGGGAGCACCGGTGAACGCCACCCCAGGAAACAACGGTTCACCAAAACATAGATCGGGCGTGGGAGCGACGCGAAAGCTTGACGGTGGACCGGCGAGCGGGGATGTTGCCCTGTAGTGCGATTGGGCGGAATGTGTGGATAAATCGTGTTCAGGCCAGAGGATTATTGTGATTCGACATTCGCTACTGATCGGCTTGATGAGCGTTTTCTTGCTCGCGCCCCAGTTGAGCTGTGCTGAGGATTGGCCTGGCTGGCGAGGTCCGCGGGGCGACGGGACGAGCCTCGAAACGGACATTCCGAGGGAATGGGGCCCTGAGGCGAATATCGCCTGGAAGGTTGAAGTGCCGGGTGTGGGTCATGCTTCGCCGGTGCTCTGGGGAGACCGGATCTTTCTGATCAGTTGCTTGGAGGATTCGCAAGAACGCGTACTGCTGTGTCTCGATCGCGGGGATGGTAGCGAGTTGTGGCGGCGCACAGTGCTTTCGGCACCGCTTGAAGACAAGCATCCGTTGAACAGTTATGCCTCGAGCACGCCGGCCACCGATGGCGAACAGGTCTACGTGACGTTTCTCGATGGCGAAGCGATGGTGGTAGCCGCGTACTCACTTGACGGGGAGCCGCGATGGGAGGTGCGCCCAGGTACGTTCTCCAGCAAGCACGGCTTCTGCACGTGCCCCGTGTTGTTTGAAGACCTGGTGATCGTCAACGGTGACCACGACGGAGAGGCCTACATCGTGGCGCTCGATCGGGCCGATGGGTCGACGCGGTGGAAGGTGGACCGGCCCAACAAGACGCGGAGTTATTCGACGCCGCTGATTCGCGAGATCGACGGTCGCTGGCAGATGATCATCTCGGGCAACAAGTGTGTGGCCAGTTACGATCCACGCGACGGGTCGCAACACTGGATCATCGATGGGCCGACCGAGCAGTTTGTGGCCTCGATCGTATTCGACGGCAGTTTGCTGTTCATGACCTGCGGCTTTCCCGACCATCACATGCTGGCCATCGAACCCGACGGGCAAGGGAATGTGACCGATACGCATATTGCCTGGCGGACCAGTCGCGGAGCGTCGTACGTTCCATCACCCATCGCCGCGGGTGATTATTTTCTGGTGGTGTCCGACGGCGGCATCGGCAGTTGCTTCGACGCATCCACCGGTGAGTTGCAGTGGCGGGAGCGGCTTGGTCGCCGGTTTAGTGCTTCGACCGTTTCTGCCGAAGGGTTGGTGTACTTTCTCTCCGACGATGGTGTGACCACCGTTGTTCGACCGGGACCCGAGTACGACGAGGTGGCCAAAAATGAATTGGGCGAAGCCACGTTTGCGTCGCCGGCCATCAGCGAAGGGCAGATCTTCATTCGCGGTGAGAAGCACCTGTTCTGCATTGGTGCGAATGAATAGTGTGGGTTCACGAGTTAGTCGCGGGTTCTAAGAACATTCGCAGCACGTTGCTGGTGATTTGTGAGACGGCATCGTCGACCAGCAGCGAGGCGACCCAGGTGATGGAGCCGACGGAGAAGACGGCGCCGTCGCTGTCGGTGTGGTGAATCACCATCTCGGCGCCGCCCTGGTTGGGATTGAGCCCGGTGGCCAGGAGCCGGGTGCCGGGGGGAGAACTGGCCGAGCGTTTGTCGGTCTCGTGGCCCGAGGCTCCGCCGGGGATTCGCTCGTGCAGCGATTCGTGCCCGAAGGTGTCGCCCTTGGCGAGGCCGGTTCCATTGAAGACCCAGTGCTCGGCGTCCACCACCTGATAGGGCGCGGCGGTCATGATGCCGCGTTCGTCGTACACCACGCCCAGTAGGCTGGCTTCGGAATCGTTCCGCAGGTGGTAGCGGCTTTCGTAGGTCGAGTTTTCTTCCCGCAGTTTGCGAGTGTCTTCGTTGCGATAGATGCAGCGCGACTCGTCGAGGAACTCGACATCGCAGTTGAGTCCGTTCCCGCCGAGGTAGAGCAGCCGCCCACCATGTTCGAAGACCCAACGCTTCACACGTTCGACCATGGTGGCCGACCAGTACTCGGGATGCGTGCTAATGATTAGCGTGCGGTACTGATCCAGATCGAGCTGGTCGAAGTGCAAGTGGGTTTCGGCGTAGTAGTCGTACGCGAAATTCTGCCGCTCGAGCCAGGCCAACAGTCGCCATTCGGCCTCCGCGAGATGACAGGCGGCGCGACCGGCGATGGGGTCGGTGGCCTGGGTGAATTCGGGAACGTGATTGATCGGCTCCGGGCGATCGAACGAAAGGGGATCGTAGTCGGTGCGGTCGTAGTCGATGTGCGCGGGATCGGTATAGCGGCGGGCTTCGAGTCGGGCGTTGACCAGCGGACGTGGCGGTAGGCCCTCGGGATGGATGTAGTTACTCCGCCCGCCGAAGTTGTTGTAGGCGTTCCAGGTGATGTTGGAGGCCAACACCGCCAGCGGGGCTCGAGGCCGCCGGGGGGCGACAACCCAGGGGAACGAGAAGAACCGGCCCGAGGTGGTCTTGGCGTGAAAGTAATACAGCCCAGATTGCTCCGGGGCGGTGGCCCACTGCTTGTGGTGAGGGCTGGTGTACCCGAACTTGTTCCAGCAAACTCCGGTCTGCGTGTAGTCGCCGTCGGGGGTGATTTGCACGGTGGCCCGAGGTCCGTGTTCGTCAAACCAACCGATCGGCCGGATGCATTCCTTCTGCCAACCGTAGCGCCACAGCGAGAGGTGATAAGCCTCCGGGGAATGCACCCGAAACTCCGCTTGTTCTCCGCTGCGAACCCACTTGGGCCAGGCATAGCCGAGCAGGTCGTCGATCAGCAGGCGGAATAGATAAGGCTGCTGGGTCGGAAGCTTCAGGTCGACCAGCTTCGAGCCGTATCCGCTTTTGGCCAGATAGACACGATAGTTGCCCGGTTCCAAGTCGGCGTGAATCGCACCGTTGGCTCCCGAGCGCACATCGACTTGCTGGTCCCCGGCTTCGAACGAGACTAATACGTCGGGCAGAGCCAGGTGACGTTCGTCGCTAACGTAGCCAACCAACACGAGGTGGATCTCCCGCGCGTTATCCGAATGGGCATGTGAATCGAGCCCTTAACTTAGAAACCGCGAAGGTCGCCCACAAGCTTTGGGCTGAGGGTCTTAGTGACGACACCGTCTAGTTCGTATCGACAAAACCGCCAACCATCGCACAGAATGCGGAGCAAATCATCAGGTCTGAGTCCATTCGATGTTCAGGAGGATACTCGATGCATCCCTATCTTTTTGCCCAGGAGAAAACTGCGCCGACGAACCGCATGACGGAAGTGTGGGAACAGATCGAGGTGTTCGTTTACGAACAAGGCTTCAGCCTGTTGCTGAACATCCTGGCGGCCATCGTCATCTTTTTCGTGGGGCGTTGGGCCGCGAAGCTGATTCAGAGAATTAGCGCTCGCATGATGCAACGGGCAAAGGTGGACGAAACGCTGACCAAGTTCCTGACGAACATCATCTATTCGCTGGCCCTGGCGTTTGTGGTGGTGGCGGTGCTCGACCAGTTGGGGGTGAATACCACGTCGTTCGCGGCGATCATCGCTTCGGCCGGCCTGGCGATTGGCCTGGCGATGCAGGGCTCGCTGTCGAACTTCGCAGCCGGGGTGATGTTGATTTTGTTCCGCCCCTTTGGTGTGGGCGACTTTGTCGAGGCCGGAGGTGTGTCGGGGATTGTTGAGGACGTGCGGATCTTTAACACCCGTATTCGCACGGGCGACAACATCGAGATCATCGTGCCCAATGGGCAGATTACCACCGACGCGATTAAGAACTACTCGGCAAAGTCGACCCGACGGATCGATCTGGTGGTCGGCTGTGGCTACGACGACGACATCAGGGCCGTGAAGCAGTTCCTCACCGAGTTGATCGAATCGGAAGAACGCATTCTGCCCGACCCCGAGCCCGTAATTGCGGTGAACGAGTTGGCCGACAGCAGCATCAACTTCGTGGTCCGCCCCTGGGTGAACGCGGCCGACTATTGGGCTGTGCGGTGGGACCTGAACGAGAAGATCAAACTCGGCTTCGACGAGCACGGGTTTAACATTCCTTACCCGAGCCGCGACGTTTATATGCATGCGACGGGTGGTGAGGAATAGCGGCGCTTGCAGAAGTCAGTCGGTATCGCCCCCGCTGATTAATGGGACGAACGCGCACTGGCACAACGCCCTGGCTTGCGGGTGGCCGTCGACTTTGCGGATTTGGGTGAGGACTTGAGTTTCCTCTTTCTTCAAGGGAATGACCATCAGGCCGCCTTCGCGAAGCTGATCGAACAACTTGGGGGGGACTTGATCGGCCGCGGCCGTGACGATTACTCGGTCGTAAGGGGCACGCTTGGGCCATCCTTCGGTACCGTCGTTGACGGCGAACTCGATGTTGGTGTACCCGCAAGATGCGAGCAGCTTCACGGCATCGATCGTGAGGTCGGAATGCCGCTCAAGGGTGACCACATCTTTCACAGTCTCGGCGAGCACCGCGGTTTGATACCCGCTGCCGGTACCGATTTCGAGCACCGTTTCGCCGCCGGTTAGTTCTAGGGAGTCGGTCATCAGCGCGACGATGTAAGGCTGACTGATGGTTTGCTCGCAATCGATAGGAAGGGCACAGTCTTCGTAGGCCCGATCGCGAATCCGCTCGGGCACAAACCGCTCTCGGGGAATGCGGCTCATCGCTTCGAGCACACGCTTCGAAGCGATACCGCGGGCGGCGAGTTGTGTTTCGACCATGTCACGGCGGAGTAGGTCGAAGCGCCCGGCATCGTCGGGTGGAATGGAGGCCTCGGTATTCATGATGTTCTCGCGGAGAAGTTCATCCCGCGTTTTGCTGGGATGGAAGGGAGCGGACACGTTCGAAGTTGTTTGCAGTGGCGAGTCGAGGGACCGAGAAACCAGCGCTCGCCGCGCGGTTGACAATATCGCTGGGTTGGTAGGGTGTCAAACTTTCGCACGCAAATACCAAGCCTTCGGTTTGAATCGAGTGGCAGACGGTTTTATGCGGCCTGCCGGTCGTTTATGTTCAGCGTAGAGGTAATCTCACGCTGTTCAATCCGCAGAGAGTTGATTCACCATGCTTGCACTTACAACCTTGGCGTTGATGCCCCTCGTGCTGGCGGCTGCCCCCGAAGATGATCGCCGCGAGGTGGGCGTCGTGGTTGGCGAACAGCTCGACGGCTATCGCGGCATTTGGCATGGCCAGGAACCGACCGGCGATCAGTACAGTTATAAGTACAGTGGGGGGCTGGCCACCTACACGGCGAAACATATCCCGCTGGCGATCCACGCCGCCGAGGTGAAGAAGACATTCTTTGTGTACGGCGGTACCAATGCTGAGAAGGGCCGCGAAGGCGAAGGGCGAAATCGGCTACTGGCCTGCATTGGCTGTTTCGATCACCAGACGGGGATGCTCTCGCGCCCGACGATGGTGCACGACAAGTCGACGTATGATCCGCACGACAATCCTTCGTTGAGCATCGACCCGCAGGGACATCTGTGGATGTTCATCAGCGGGCGCGGCCGGGGGCGGGCCGGGTGGATCTATCGGAGCGAGAAGCCGTACGACATCGAGAAGTTTCGGCTGATCGACACGGGCGAGTACACGTACCCGCAGCCGTGGTATGTGCCGGAAGATGGATTTCTGTTTTTGTTCACGAAGTATCTCGGCGGGCGGCAACTGTTCTATAAGACCAGCCCCCAGGGCGAAGTGTGGGGCGAAGACATGCCGCTGGCGAAGTTTGGCGGGCACTATCAACTTAGCTGGATCGACGGTCAGCGGGTGGGTACCGCCTTCAATTGGCATCCCCGTGGAGTGGTGAACGATCGAACGAACCTCTATTACCTGGAAACGAACGACTTTGGGAAGACGTGGCAGACACCTAAGGGAAAGGTGGTTGAGCTGCCACTGACCGAAACTAAGAACCCGGCCTTGGTGCACGATTTTCAGGCCGACGGGCGAAGGGTGTACTTGAACGATCTGAAGTTCACGCCCGAGGGTGAACCGGTGGTGTTGATTGTCACCTCCGAAGATTGGCAGCCCGGTCCCACGGGCGATCCGCGTACCTGGGAAGTGGTTCACTTCACCGAGGGAAGCTGGCAGCGGCATGCGATCTGTGAGAGCGATCACAACTACGACACTGGCCTGATTGACGTTCGTCAGGAACCCTGGCAGGTGATTGGCCCGACGCAGCGCGGACCGCAACGCTATCACACCGGCGGTGAAATCGCGGTATGGCATAGTAGTGATCGCGGGAAGACGTGGAGCATGCTGCGGGAGCTTACGGCCAACAGCCCTTTGAACCACGGTTACGTTCGCCCGGTGTTGAATGCCTCGGATGAGTTTTACGCCCTATGGAGCGATGGCGACTCGTCGAGCCCTTCGCCGTGCCGGCTGTACTTTTGCGATCGTTCGGCCGAACATGTGTGGCGCATGCCGGAACACATGGAAGGCGAAACCGCCGCTCCTCAACCGATGGAACTACCTTGAGCGACACGAACCAGGCCAACTCGGATGGCATGCCACTGAAGGTGTGGTTGAACAAGCCGGAGAATCTTCCGTCGCCGACCCGTTCGGTGAAGTTGATCGAAACACACATTTCGCTGGTGTTCGTGGCCGACGAGCATGTCTACAAGTTGAAGAAGCCGGTGGAGTTTGAGTTTCTCGACTTCAGCACCATCGATGCCCGACGGCAGGCATGTGAGGATGAGCTACGACTGAACCGCCGCTTGGCTCCGCAGGTTTATCTCGAAGTGCTGCCGGTCTATCGAAAGGCCGACGGAACGCCAACCTGGGAGGCAACTGGTGAGCCGATCGATTGGGTTGTTCACATGCGGAGGCTGCCCGAGCAGCGGATGATGGAAGACGTCATCCGCGCGGGCGAGATTACCGACGGAGACTGTCAGGCGGTGGTCCGGATGCTGGCCGCCTTTTATCGTTCGTTGCCTGGGATTGATCTAACGCCGGAGGATTACCGGCAGAGAATTGAAGCCCACGTGCGGGGAAACTTCGACGACATGATCGCAGGGGCTCAGCATTTGCCGGCGCTGGCGGTGAAGCGAATCACGGCCTCGCTGCTGCGAATGTTGAAGTTGGAATCAGAGGGGTTCGATGCTCGCGTGAAAGCAGGTCGGGTGATTGAGGGGCACGGCGACCTGCGGCCGGAGCATGTTTGCCTGATCGATCCGCCGGTGGTTTTTGATTGCATCGAGTTCAGTCAGGACTTTCGCACGATCGACGTGGCCGACGAGTTGAGCTTCCTGGCGATGGAATGCGACCTGCTGAAGGCCGGCGAACTGGGGCAACGCCTTATCGAGCAGACCCAGGCGGCCCTTGCTGATGACGTGCCACCGCGGCTGTCGCGGTTCTATAAGGCATACCGTGCCTGCGTGCGTTCGAAGGTGGCGGCCTTGCGGAGTGTTCAACTCGAGGGTGAGGCGGAACAGGCGGCGCATGATGAAGCCGAGGCTTACTTGAAGCTGGCCGAGGGATACACCGAGGATCTGTCGAAGCCGTTGGTCATCGTCGTGGCTGGGCGAATGGGAACGGGGAAGTCGACGCTCGCTAAAGTGCTGGCCGAAGAATTCACGGCCGAGGTGGTGCAGACCGACGCCGTGCGGCGCGAGTTGCTGGGGGCCAGCGATGAGCCGGCCGAGTATGGCGAGGGGAACTACACGCCGGAAAACAAGCGACGGGTATACCGTGAGCTGGGGCGGCGGATCGGGGAGCATGTCGCCCAGGGGCTGACCGCGATCGCCGACGGGACGTTTCTGAGCCGGAGTTCCCGGGCAGGAATTTTCGAGGCGGCCAACACGGCGGGGGCTCGGATTGCTGTGGTTCGCTGTGACTGTCCCGATGAGGTTGCGCTGAAGCGAATCGCCGAGCGGGAAACGCGGGGCACCGATCTTTCCGAAGCCCGGCCCGAGTTGCTCAAGGAGCAAAGCTTCGAACCACCCGGGGCTGATGAGCCGGGCCTGTGGGTGGAGGTCGACACGACAAGGCCGCTGGATGAGCAAGTGGCGACCGTGCTGAGCGGGCTGCAGGGTCAAATCGCCCGCGAATAGGGCCGTTCCGGGCGATTCATTGTGCCGGAAACTGCGGTTTTTCCGGGAGATTGCCGCCGGCCGCCAGATCGGGCAACAAATCGGGCGATTTTTCGCTAAAGAAATTGCGAGAATTATCTCTTGACACTGATTTGGCCATATTTAGACTTAAAGCATCGGAGGGAGATTGAGAATCAGTCTCAACTCCACTCACCCGCGGCTTTACCTTTTTCGCGGGACTCTTTGGGGATTTTGGCGAGTGGTGAGGTAGTAGAAGCCTGCGATGAGCCCTAAGAATCGTTTCAAAGAACGACTGGTGTGTCACTGTCTGCAAGTCAGCGAAGCATCGATGGACGACGCCGCTGCCAAGGCGCCGTTTCAGTCGATTAAAGACATCGCTTGTCGCACGGGTGCCGGCGATGGATGCACGGCCTGTCACCGTCGTTTGATTCGGTATCTCGCCGAGCAACGTTAAGCACGCGTTGCGAGTTGTTTCCCTGTTAGAAGCTTTGCGAGCGTTGCAGCTGCGCAAGCAAATGCCCGCGGGAGCGTTTACTCGCCGCGGGCAAAGTTCTGATAGTTCGCTAGGCGATTAACCGTGGTCGGGACCTTCGCCCATCTGCGTCTGCAGATAGTTTTGGATGCCGACGTTCTTGATGAGGTCGAGCTGCTCTTCGAGCCAGTCGACGTGTTCCTCGGATTCGACGAGGATCTTCTCCATCAGTTCGCGGCTCCCGGCGTCTTTCACGTCGATGGCCAGCGCGATGGCAGCGTTGTAGGCGTTCACCCCACCCATTTCCAGTTCGAGGTCTTTCTCGAATTGATCTTTCACGTCGGTGCCGACACGGATGGTGTCGTAGCGGGCGATCTCGGGGACACCTTCGAGGAACAGGATTCGCTCGATCAGCATCTCGGCATGCTTCATCTCGCCCATCGACTCTTCGTAGTGCTTGGCCCCCAGCTTGTGGAAGCCCCAGTTCATGCACATCTTGGCTTGGCAGAAGTACTGATTGATGGCCGTGAGTTCGATGGTGAGCGCGTCGTTGAGAGCATTAATTACGTCTTCGTTGCCTTGCATGGCTCGTGGGTCCTTTCGCAAATCCCTTGCTCAATCGACTCGCGCCGCCTGCAGCGATTCGATCGTGCTTGTGTTCATAGAAGTGGCTTCAAGCAGAAGCATGTCGCCCTATTCGCATGGCGTCAATACAGAGACGGAATTCGCTCGAAATTAGCGGAGAAAACAAGGGAATTGGGCGTTGATGCTGAGACTCGGTTACAGGCGACTCGGCGATCTAAATTAATAACGTGTCTCATCCCATCCCACGATTAGTTGCCCTTCGCTTGGCTTTCGACTTCTTGGAAGAGATCGGGGTTATTGAGATTCACCATGTCGGGATTCCACTCGACGATGCGGCGAAAACCGTCGGCACTTTTCTGTGGGTGGTAAATCATCAGCTTGACCCCCAGTTCGCGGCAGGTTTCGACCAATTCGTCGGACATCTTGTCGAGGCCCACCTCGATGATGTCGGCCCCCATTCGATCGTGCGCTCGACGTACTTCCTCCGGGCTGCCGGCGTTGATCTTCAGGGCCAGTTCGGAGTTCAACTTGCGAAACTTCGAGGCTTGCAGCGGATTGCCGAACCAGAAGAAGCAATCGTTCTCCAGACCCAGGTCGTACACCATGGCGATGAGTGTCTCGAGGTCGGCATCCTTCACATCGAAGTAGACCTTGGACTTGCCTTTGATCCACTTGAGGTACGGTTCGAGTCGCGGAACCTTCTCGCCGGCGAACTTGGGGTCGAACCAACTTCCGGCATCGAGTTCGTCGATTTCCTCGGAGGTGAGCTCACGGAGCTTGCCGGATCCGTTCGTGGTGCGGTCGACAGTCGAGTCGTGCAGGATGTACATCACGCCATCTTTGCTGGTGCGGACGTCGATCTCGACGTAGGCCACATCCAAGTCGATGCACTTTTGGGCGGCGGCCCGGGTGTTCTCGGGGGCGAGTTCATTCGCGCCACGGTGAACGACCAGGTCGATGGCCAGAGTTGCCGGCGAGGCAAACCAGGTGACCAGTGCCACGGCGAGAAGAAGGATTGAGAATCGGGTGCGAACCTCGCGCATCGTTGGTGTCTCCCACAAGAGAAGGATTGTCGGCTCGGCGTATCATTGGATGCAGTGTTTGGATGCATTGTGCGGTGGACAGTTGGGCGATTCAACACCCGAGAAGCCGAATCGCACCGTGGCCCGTTTCCCGGTTCAGAGGTAGAATCGAGGTCATACTTTGGCCCGCCGGATTTTTCGGGCGGTTGCCTTTCATCCCCGCCAATGGTTTTCGAAAGGCGTTCGGTGATGAGTAGAAATCAAGCATTTACAACAACTCCCGGCTTCAGCCACGTTCACGATGCCAACGAGCGGCTGGAACTCATCATCGATACCATGCGGGAGATGAGCACCCACAGCGATCCGCAGGAAATGGTTCGCGCGTATGGTCAGCGGATGCAGAAGATCTTCCCGCGTGACGGAATGATTTCCGTCTCGCGGCGAGACCTGGAACAACCGGAGTTCAAAATCACCCGGGCGAGTCACTGGGACGAGGAAATCAATCCCTGGAAACAACAGCACCGGCTGCCGCAATTCTCTGGGGGCATTATCGGCGAGCTGATCTACAGCGACCGTCCGCGGATTATCAACGACTTTGAAGTCGACTCCGACGACCCTGCGAGGGAGTTTCTTGAAGGCTATCGGTCGCTGCTGGCGGTGCCACTTTACGATCAGGGTGTGGCACTGAACATGGTGGTGTTCCTTCAGCACGAGCCCGACTCGTTCACTTCCGACGAACTTCCTGAGTTGGTGTGGATGAGCAACCTGTTCGGTCGGGCCACCCACAATCTGGTGCTGAGCGGTCAACTGCAAGAAGCGTATCAAGCGGTGGACAGCGAACTGGAACGCGTGGCAGCGATTCAACGCTCGCTATTGCCGGCCGGGTTGCCGCGGATTCCGTCAATGCAGTTGGCCGTGTTCTATAACACGTCGCGACGGGCCGGAGGGGATTACTACGACTTCTTCTCGTTGGGCGACGACCTGTGGGGTATCACCATTGCCGATGTCAGTGGGCACGGTACGCCGGCAGCGGTGCTGATGGCCATTACGCATTCGCTGCTGCACGCTAACGACGAACCGCTCGACGAGCCGGGTAAGGTGCTGGGGCGATTGAATCGTTTGTTGTGCCAGAAATACACCTCGAGCAGCGGGACATTCGTCACCGCGTTCTTCGGGGTCTACAACGCCCGCACTCGAAAGATGCGGTACGCCTCGGCGGGTCATTGCCCACCGAGTTTCAAGGTGTGCCGCGACCAGTCGATTGGCAGCCTGAACGGCGTGGGTGGATTTCCGCTGGGTGTGATTGCCGAGGAAGAGTACGAAGAGGCCGAACACCAGTTCGATGTGGGCGACCAAATATTGCTGTACACCGACGGCATCACCGAAGCCGAGAATCCGCAGGGCGAGCCGTTTGGCGTACAGCGTCTCGAGGCCGCCTTCGGCAGTTGCCACGACTCGGCCGACGACATCATCGCCGGGGTGCTGGGGACGCTGAACCAATTCACCGCCGGGCATGCCGCCGACGACGACCGCACGCTGCTGGTGGGTCGAATCAAATAGGGCGGCATTGCCTGGCCATACGGGGGGTGCGACCTTGCGCCCATTTCTCTGCCGGGGCTTTCCTGTCCCCCGCCGCCCCCCCGGTGACAATAAGCTGTAGACAACCCACAAAATTTGGCAAATGAATGAGCCCCAAGGACTTATTCGAGATATTGGTACGTGAGCACGCGGATATGCTTACCGCGTATTTGCGTTGCGCGGTGCGTGACCCCGTGCTTGCCGATGATTTGTTCCAGGAGGCCATGTTGGTGGCGTGGCGGAATCTCGATCGGTTTGATCGCAGTCGCCCGTTTGGCCCCTGGTTGCGAGGGATCGCCGCGAAGCTGATTTTGGCCCACCACCGCAAAGCTGCCAAAGCGATGGTGCTGTGCGACGAGCGAATTCTAGAGCATCTCGACCGACGGCATGAAGAACTGGCCCAACTGGCCGGCGACACCCTGGACGAGAAACTCGACAGCCTGCGAGAATGCGTGGCCGAATTGCCTGAGCATTACCGTCGGGCCGTGGAATTGAGATATAACGACGAGCTTCAAGGTCCGCGTTTAGCCGATGAACTAAGTATTTCCGTTGAGGCCATGAAAAAACGCTTGCAACGAGGTCGGGCTCGGTTGCTCGATTGTCTGCGTCGCAAGTTGGCCACCACGGGGGCATTGTCATGACAAACTCAGAACAACTTTTCAACAACGATCGCTGTAACGCCCGCAAGCCCTCAGAGCTTGAAGCGGCCGACCTGTGGGCAACCGCCGAAAACGGTGAGTTGCAGGCCGCCGATCTGCCCGAGGACGAAACCGCTAAGAAGGATGCGGCCGACTTGCGATTCTTGCACGTGCTGCTGCAGCGGATTGCCGACCCCGACGATGCGGGTCGCGAACGTCGCGTGGAACGTGTGCTGGCGGCGATCGACGACGAGCCCGTGGATTCGACGCCACGGCACATCGTGACTCCGCTGCCGACCGAAGTTCCGACCACTCCGTCTGCCCGTTGGTTCCCATTGGGCCGGCGTTGGGTGATGTCGGCACTGAGCGTGGCCGCAGGGTTGATGGTGCTGGCTGTGATCTGGGCGGGTTCGAACGGGACCGAAGTTTCTGCTTACGCCGCGGTCGAGCAGGTTTATTCGGCTGCCACGTCGATGCAAGATCGCGAGTACAGTGTGCTCTCGGAGCTGAACAAGTCGAATCAGGTGGTCGAGGTCGAATCGACGCTGTACGTGCGTGGTGGTGAGAAGTACAGCATCCGACACCCTTCGATTCTGGGTGAAATCTGGATCGGGAATAATGGAGATCACAGTTGGCTGGTTCCGCCGAGTGGGATCGTCATGACCCGTGAAGAGTCGCGGGAAAACCCGCACTATATCCGTCGTTGGACCAACGACACGGGTTTCGTCATTCCCGAGCTGCAACTCACGGCGCTGATTGCTCATCTCCGCGACCAGTACGAGTTGGAACTGCTGCCGAGTGAGCCGCTTTCGACAACGCCCCCGGCATTGGATGCCGCGGCGGCCGAAACCTTAGACGCCGAACAGCTCGCCCGTACCGAAGTGATGTGGCGGCGGATTCGTGGCACCCTGAATGTCGAGCAGCCCGGGCGACCTGAAGTGGTCGATGTGTGGTGCCATCCGGAGACGGGTGTGGCTCGTCGAATCGAGTTGGTGTGGCGGCGCGATCCCGGGGCGGATTCGACCGATGGTTTGCGGCGGATGACGGTCGAGTTGGTTCGCGACCATGTCTTCGACGACAGTTGGTACGAGGCCGAGAGTCATCCCCCGACTGCGGCGGCTACTTCGGGGGCGAAGCAGGATTAGGTGTAAGCCGTGTTTGTCGGCCTTCGGTTCAGAAACCAAGCTGGCCGGAAAAGTCTTACAATTCTGCTTAACCTCCACGACCGTCATGGTCGATACAGTAGCCTATCAAAGGTCACACAATCTTCACGGTGCTGCCGAGGACGTGGATACCTGCTGAGTACCAACAGTAAGCCTTCGACAGTGCATCGATGCGAGCAACGCTAGCAACTGATTAGCGTGCGGCTCGTCCGAGCAACCAACGAATCTATGCCACAGGCTCGGGTGCAATCCTCTACGCGTTCGCGCGAGGGGTGCGTCTGTGGCCCAATATCACGGAGGGCCGATTCTCGCCATCAACCAGGGTGGCGGGGGTCGGCCCTGTGTTTTTTTGTGGGCCACACAACTCGAAGTTTTTTTAGTGCGTGGCACTTCCTCGTGTCGGATTCGAAAAGCCTTGTTGTGAAGGACGAAGCTGAGGCACCACGCTTCGCGAGCGAGTGGCCGTTGCCGGCGTGTTTCGCACGTTGAGCGAAGTGAGATGCCGCGCGGCTTGAGCTTGTTGCTCGCCGGCCAGCTTCTGGAGAAATTCCGGCGATGCACTGTCGAGGATGATGATCTCGCTCTTCGAGTTGGGTTCGTCCAACGAGCGGATCACGCAGACCACCTCAGCCCGTTCCGAGCGGTTCTGGATTTCGGCTAACGCGGCCCGTTCGCGATCGCTCAGCCCAGCGGTCGTCGCCGAGGTGAGTTGCATCTGCGGCGTCTTGCTGCGGGGCGTGTTCTTCGAAATCTCATGTGGGCCCGGGGCCGAAGTGGAGAGGCCCGGCAAGTTGTCGGCCGTGAGGGCGGCCAGACGACGGGGATCTTCCGTGGGGATCGAGCGCTGCGAAGGAGTCGAGCGCTCAGCGGCCGCGACCATGTTCTCTTGCGGCATGGCCTGGCCGTTGTTGTAGATCTCGGTCAGGAAAGCCTTATCGAGTTGGCGATGAACCGAGGGGAGTGCAGCGTACAGCCCCTGGTTGTCGGCCGGGTCGGCGGCGTTGCACACGCCAATGACCTGACCGTCGGCGGAGAACAATCCACCACCGCTACGTCCCTGCACGGGTTGACCGGCCACCTGCAGATTGGCGGGGCCGAGGAACTTGTTCAGCGATAGCACGTGGCTGCGAATCATCGTCGGGTCGGCTCCATGGTTGCAGCCGACGCTGATCACCTGGTCGCTTTCTTGCACGGTGTACCCGGCGGGGGCCACCTTGGCCACAGTGACCGGAACCGGCGGGCGGAAACTGATCAGCCCCAGGTCGAGATCCAGGTCGTAAGCGATTAGTTGGGCGGGGACGTCTTCGATTTTCTTGGGCCAGAAAAGATCGACAGTGATGGGGCCTTTACCCTTGGAATCGCGAAACACGTGACCGCAGGTGAGCACGAGGGCTTCGCCCTGACGCGAGTCGATGATAGTGCCCGAGCCGACGGAGTGGCCGTCGCCATCGTCGATGCGAAGCCGGACGCTGGCCGCCATCATCTTCTGATCGAGGCTCTGCGGTTCAGACGCAGCTTGCACTTGCGGGCTGGGCTGCGAGGGCATCGTTACGTCGACTAGTGGTTTGGGTCCCGAGCCGTTGCTGCCGGGCAGCGGAGGTTCGATCGCGAGATTGTCCGAGTTGCTGGCAGTTGCCGTGGTGGGGTCGAATCGCGGGGCTTCATCCAAGTGCGGGGCCGATTCGGCGGCCGACTTTTCTTTGCCAAAGCCGTTGCGAAGACGGTCGATCGCGCCGCGGAAGATGCCTTTCTTCTCCGAGGCATCGGTCGTTTGTTCGGCAGAACTTCGGCGGGGATCGATGCCGGCCTTGTGGAACAGGGCCTGCAGTTCGCCGGGGGAAGTGGCTCCCACGATGCGGCCGGCTTCTTTACCGTCGACCACCAGCACGAAGCACGGAATGCCTTGCACGCCGTACTGCGAGGCCATGTCGCGGTGTTGATCGATGTTGATCTTTTGGATCGGGTAGCCCGAGTGGGCGAGTTGATCGACGACCGGAGCCATTTGTCGGCAAGGGCCGCACCAATCGGCCGTGAAATCGTACAACACGGCGTCGCCTGCGGCGGCGGTCGATAGCGCAAGAAGTGCAATTTGCAACGAGACCATCACTTCCCTCCCTGGATGTGAGTTGGTCGATTTGATTTGTAAGAACAGAACGCTGTGAGAAGAGTTGGTCGACTAGGACCAGAGCTTCAAGAAGAGATGGGTTATCCGTAGTTACAACCGTCGGGCCCTGGTGATCGACATGCTTCCTGCGTGTCGACCACGTGTCCGTCGAGCTGCAACCTGCGGGCTCGAGTTGAGGAAACGGTCAGGGTGGGTTTGGTGAACGTGGTGGGTCTTCCGAGGTGAGGCGGGCGACGGCACCCCTGCACCGCCCAAGCCGTAGGGGCGGATATTGACCAGAGTTGGAAAATCTTACAACGCCAACTTCGAATTTCATCTGCTATCATTCCCGACTTTTTGCGAATTGGCCGTACCTGCTGACCAATCTTCCAAGCCGCCCCTGAAATTCGACAAACTGGTGCACGGGAAGTGCAGATTGCGTGCCAAGGTGTGATAAGTGCGTTCAGTTCGGCTTTCTTGCGAAATGTGCCACGCTGAACCTGAGGCCGGTTGCTGGCGTCTGAAGATGGTAGCAAGCGGGGGTGATAAAGATGCGAATGCCGGCGGATGCGGGTGCCTCAGACTTCGGGGCTTCGTTACAATGCTCGCACTTTGCTGAGAACCTCGAGCATCCCAGCGCTAAAAACCGTTTACCTGAGATTGTTTGCCCCCTGTCTGTAACCCAACTGAGCCATGCCACGCGGATCTTTCTACATCACGACGGCCATCGATTACCCCAACAGCCGCCCCCACATTGGGACGGCCTTCGAGAAGATCGGGGCCGACATCCAAGCCCGATATCGCCGCCAGCAGGGATGGGACGTTCATCTGCAGATGGGCAACGACGAGAACACGATCAAGGTGGTCGAGCGCGCCAATGAGTTGGGGCTCGATCCCAAAGCATACGTCGATGGGATGGCGGGCGAATTTCGCGAGGTATGGGACGCCCTGGATATCTCGTACGACGGGTTCATCCAAACCAGCGAAGAACGTCACGCCGTGGGTTGTCAGAGGTTCATCCAGAAGGTGTACGACGCCGGCGACATCTACAAGCGCAACTACGAAGCGTTGTACTGCGAAGGCTGCGAGGAGTTCAAAACCACTTCGCAGCTGACGCCCGAGGGGCGTTGCCCGAATCATCCGAACCGTGAGTTGCGGCACGTGGAAGAAGAGAACTATTTCTTCCGTCTCTCGGCCTACGGTGAGCGGTTGCTGGAACTGTATGAGAAGCGGCCGGAGTTCATTCAACCAGAGTCGCGGCGGAACGAGATCATCAGCCTGGTGCGGGGCGGGCTGGAAGACGTTTCGATCAGCCGTCGCGATTTCACCTGGGGTATCGATATACCTTGGGACGCCGAACATAAGATCTACGTGTGGTTCGATGCCCTGCTCAACTACATCACGGGTATTGGCTATGGAACCGACGATGCGGCGTTCGAGCGTCGCTGGCCGGCCGATGTGCACTTCATTGGGAAGGACATCACGCGATTCCACTGCGCCCTGTGGCCTGCCATGCTGTGGAGCGCCGGGGTAGAACTGCCAAAGACGGTGTTCGCCCATGGGTTCGTCTACATCAAAGATGAAACCACCGACGAGGTGCAGAAGATTTCCAAGTCGTTGGGTAACGTGATCGAGCCGATGGATATCATTCGCGCGTTTTCCAGCGATGCGTTTCGCTTCTACTTCATGCGCGAGTGCCCCTTCGGTGGCGATGGCGAGTTCAGCTATGGCCGCTTCGCCGGCTGCTACAACTCCGACCTGGCCAATAATCTGGGCAACCTGTTCAGCCGCACGGTGAGCATGGCCCTGCGTTACTTCGATGGCGTGCTGCCCGACTCGAAATCGATTGAACCAAATGCCGTGTTCGAAGGCATGGATCTTGGCGAAACGGTGGCCAAGGTCGCGGCCGACATCGAAGCCTGCCGGTACAGCGTGGCCCTGGAGACGATCTGGCGGAATGTGCTGGACCGGGGCAATCAATACATCGAACAGCAGAAACCGTGGCAGTTGGCCAACGAGAAAAAGCCAGAGTACGACCTCAAGGCCTGCGGCGAAGTTCTCACGAATCTGGCCGAGTCGCTTCGCGTGGCCGCCATTTTGCTGAAGCCGTTTTTGCCCACGGCCAGCGAGCGGATCTACGCCGGCTTCAACTACCCCACGCCCTGGGATGAAGCCGATTTCGAGAAGATCGCCAACCGGCCCACACAAACAGAAGACCTGAAAGTAACTGCCCCGCTGAATGCCGACGGAAAGATCGATCCGTTGTTTCCCAAGATCGACGCCGGCAAAGAGAAATAAAGGTTCGGGTGCGATTGGTGATCAAATCAATACCACGGATGGATTGAGCACCACTCACGAGAACCCAAACTCATCAACCAATCTTCGCGCGTTTCAAGGATGAGGTGCCGCAGATGGAACTGTTCAACCCGATTACGAATCTATCGTCGAAGCTACTCGCGCGGTTGATCCTGGCGTTCATCTTTCTCTGCACGCTGATTTGCATGGAGGCCTGGGGGCAGGAGTTTGCCAATGGTCCCCAGCAGCCTTCCGGGGCGAAGGCCATGCAAGAGGATGCGGAACTGGCCGACGTTTTCTTCCTCGACCCCATGCGCGGTTGGGCCGTGGGCGACCGAGGGGCAATTTGGCATACGCTGGATGGCGGACGACACTGGCGATTGCAGCAGGTCGAGCCCGATTGCCGGTTCACATCGATCCACTTCGCCGATGAGCGGCACGGCTGGATTGCCGGCGGATGGACCGAGCCCTACACCGGCGTGTCGCGAGCCGTGTTGTTACGCACCGCCGACGGTGGCGAACACTGGCGCCCCGAACGCATCGACACGTTGCCCAAGCTGCACCGCGTGAAATTCTTCGATGCCGATCGTGGGGCGGCGATTGCCGAGCCTTCGTCGATGTATCCCTCGGGGGTGTTTATTACCGAAAACGGCGGCCGCAACTGGACGCCGGTGCCGACTGAAAAGCCGCAGCGGTGGACCTGCGGCGACTTTCTCGCTCCGGGCGTGGGTGCGCTGGCCGGCGAGAACGCCACGCTGGCCACCGTGCGTCAGCGTTCGATCGTCAGCAGCACCAGCCCCAATGCCGGGCTGCGAGGGCTGGCGGCCTTGGAACTCGACCGCAACGGAAGGGGTTGGCTCGTTGGAGAGGGCGGCCTGGTGTTTCACACCGAGGATCTCGGTCAATCGTGGCAGCTGCCTACGGCCGAACTGCCGGAGGCCGTGCGGAGCGGGTTCGATTGGTCGGCGGTGGCCCAGTTTGGTTCGCACGTGTGGATCGTCGGTTCGCCTGGGTCGCGCGTGCTGCATAGTGCCGACGGTGGACGAAGTTGGACCGCCCAGATCACTGGGCAGGCACTTCCGTTGCACGATGTGACGTTTGTCGATGCCCAACATGGCACGGCGGTTGGGGCGTTGGGAACCATCCTCAGTACGAGCGACGGAGGAGAAACATGGCAGCGAACGCACAGCGGCGGTACTCGCGCGGCGTTTCTTTGTCTTTATGGCGAGGCAGAGCAGATTCCGTGGGAACTGCTGGCCCAACTCTCGGGCGAGGATGGATACCTGGGGGCGGTCGAGTTGTTGAACCGCCGGATTTCGAGCATCGATACCGATGTGGCTTCCGAATCGCATCAACTGCACGAGGCCGTGGTGGCGGCCGGAGCGAGTGCGGGTAGCACGACCTGGCAGTTTCCTTTGGGCGAACGCGGAATCGGCCTCACGGCCGAGCGATTGGTGCAGGCCTGGAATGAAGCCAACGACGGCGATGCTTTGGGCGAATTGGAAGAGCACATCGTCGCGCAGATTCGTATGTGGCGTCCCGAGGTGATCTTCACCCATGCGCCTTCGACCGAGAACGATGACGCGGTGGATCATTTACTCAACCAGGTGGTGCTGCGGGCAGTCGAAGCCGCGGGCGACCCGACGCGATACTCCGATCAAGTGGTGCACTGGGGACTTAACCCCTGGCGAGCAAAGAAGGTGGTGGCGCCCGTGTTGCCAGGTCAGCAGGGAACTCTGCAGGTAATGAAGTCGACGTTCGCTCCGCGTTTGGGGCGCACGTTGGCCACGCAATCGCTTGCCCCACGGGGGATTCTCTCGCTTCCTGAGGATACCGGGCCCGAGATGCTGGGGTTCTGGTTGCTGTTGGATCATATTCCTCAACAGCGCGGGCGGCACGATTTCTTCAGCGGCATCACACTGCATCCCGGCGGGGAAGCTCGGCGGATGCTGGGGCCGATCGAGGGGCAGACCGGCGATATGCAGCGAGTGGCCAATCGCCATCGCAATTTGAAGGCCATCTTGGATCGCTTGGAAAAAGAACCCGAGGCCAGCCAACAACTGATGGGCGGTCTGCGACCGTTGCTGAACGACTTGGATGTCGAAAGTTCGGCCGACCTGCTTCATCGGTTAGGGCAAAAGTATCATCGCACCGGCCGGTGGGAGCTGGCGGCCGAGTGCTACACCTTGCTGGCCGATCAGGCCGCGTCGCACCCGCTTTCAGATGAGGCACTCGTCTGGCTGTTGCACTATTGGTCCAGTGGCGAAGCGGCCCATCGCATGGATGGGGACACACCGCAGGCGGCTCGCAAAGATCCTGAGTTTGCTGCGGCCACGCTGCGTCAGGTGATGCCTGAGCCCGCACCGGGCGAGGCTCCCGCGGTGCAACCGGTGGCCAGTATCGAACCTCCCAGTGCCAGCGATCTGGCGAATGCGCTGCCGGGCGATCGGGCCAATCGCGCGGCGGAAGTTGGCAAGCAAATCATGGCCCGTGATGCGGCGTTGTTCGAGCAACCACGAGTGCGCTTCCCGCTGGCGGTGGCCCATCGCAAACAGGGTTATCCGCGTCAGGCCGAACGGTATTACTTATCGACACGCCGGGGAAGACCTCGCGATGCGTGGTGGATGTGTGCTGAAGGTGAACACTGGCTGGCGAACCCCGACGCCGAATCGCCCAAGCCGATTTTGGATTGCCGGATGGCCGCCGGAAAACCGCGGCTTGATGGTCGGTTGATCGACCCCATGTGGCACTCCTGCGAGCAAGTGACACTGAGCAGCCCCTTGAACGAAGACGCGTCGTGGCCGGCGGTGGTTCGGTTGGCTTACGATCGCGAGTTCTTGTACATCGCGGCCAGTTGTCGCGAAGTGCCCGGTGTGACGTACTCGGATGCCAAGGGCCCGCGGCCGCGCGATCCTGACTTATCGAAGCAGGACCGGATCGAACTGTATCTGGATATCGATCGCGATTGGGCCACGGCGTACCGGCTGGTGATCGACCATCGCGGTTGGGTGGCAGAAGACTGCTGGGGCGATGCTACTTGGAACCCCACCTGGTATGTGGCCGCCTATCGATCGGACGGGAATTGGCACGTCGAGGCGGCCATTCCTTGGGAAGAACTCAGTGCGAAGCCTCCGCAACTTCGCGAGGCCTGGGCCGTGGGGGTACAGCGGATTGTGCCCGGCACGGGGTTTCAATCGTGGAGCAAGCCGGCCGCCCCCGAAGTGGTTATGGCCGGGATGGGCTACCTCATATTCCAGTAGTGCTCGCTGTTTAACTACTGACTTACGTGGTCGATGGTTCTCCCGGTGCTTGCGAAGCCCCTGCGGGCAGGGCTATGTTGGTTGCGACTGCACCCAGGGAGAACCACACGTGGCGTATGTAATCGGCACCGACGAGGCAGGATACGGACCGAACCTAGGTCCCCTGGTCATCGGTGCCACGTTGTGGGAGATCCCCGACGACCTACCAGCGGCGAAATTCAGCGAGCAGCTTAAGAATCGCATCGCCAGTCATAAGCAAATTGGCAGCGAGACCAACGCACAGAGTCGATTCGTGATTGCCGATTCGAAGCAGCTCTATCAGGCTGGCGGATCGATGGCTGCTTTGGAAAGCGGTGTTCTTTCGGCGGTGGCCACTTGTGGTGAGTTGCCGAGCACGGGGCGAAAACTGTGGGCGGCGCTGGCGTCTGAAAGTGAACCGCAGCTTGATGAGCATCCGTGTCTGGCGGAGTTCGATGCGGAATTGCCGGTCGAGGCACCGCTAGAAGTGATCGAGCGGAATGCGCAGTGTTTAGGCGAGGTGTTCGACACTGAAGAGATTCGCCTGCTACGCATCGCGGCCACGGCGTTGTTTCCCGCCGAGTTCAATCGCCGCACGGCGGAGTACGATTCGAAGGGCACCACACTGTCGCGGGCAACGATCGGCTTGATTGGCGAACTGCTGAGCGACATCGATCGCGGTGATGTATCGATCGTGTGCGACAAGCACGGGGGCCGGAATCGCTACGGCGATGTACTGCAGTTTCAGTTTCCCGACAGTTGGATCGAGGTTCGCGAAGAGAGTCGCCCCAAGAGTCTGTATCGCTTCAGCTCTGGGGAACAGCGGGTGGAGATTTGCTTTCGTACTTCGGGCGAAGATCATGCGGCTTCGGCACTGGCTTCGATGACGGCCAAATACCTGCGGGAGTTGTCGATGGCAGCGTTCAACCGGTTCTGGCGCGTGCACTTGCCCGAGCTGCGCCCCACGGCCGGCTATCCGGTGGATGCGCGACGGTTCAAGGCTGCGATTGCCACGGTGCAGCAAGAGTTGGGAATTGACGATCGATTATTGTGGCGAACGCGATAGGAAACCGGCACCATGCTTTACATCGTGCGACACGCCTGGGCGGGGCACTTTGGCGACCCCGACTATCCTGATGATCGCAAGCGACCGCTTACTGACGATGGGCGGGAGCGTTACCGTCGCATGGTCGATGCACTTTCGGAACGTGGGTTTCAACCACGGGTGATTGCCACCAGCCCCCTGGTGCGATGCCGACAAACGGCCGACCTGATTGACCAACTGGTTCACGGCAACCCCAGAGTTGTCGAGCTCGACGCGCTGCGGCCGGGTTCCGACTTGGACGAACTGATTCGCTGGACCAATCGACAGGATTGTGGCGATGTGGCCTGGGTGGGGCATGCCCCCGACGTGGGACAGATGACCGCCGATTTGATCGGCCACGGCGCATCACGAATTCGCTTTGCCAAAGGCGCTGCGGCGGCGGTTCAATTCACCGGGAAGGTCGCCCGCGGGGACGGGGAACTTCGTTGGTTGCTCACCGCCAAGATGTTGGGCTGCTGAGCAGTTGCCGAAGAGGGTTTGGCTACGGCGATTCTTTTTCCACCGTCTCGGAATCGGGTGTCTTCTCTAGATCGGGAAGATCGCCCTCGACGGTGCCTTCTGCATCGGACTGGGTCTCGTCGGTTGCCTCTTCCGTGTCCTCAACCGCTCCTGGCGGGGGATCGAACGTGACGCCTTGCGAGACATCTTCTACCCTGATTTCCTCTCGCCAGGGTTTATCCTCATCGTAACTGGCGGCTTCTTTGGCGATCTCGTCGGTTAAGCGCTCGGGCGAGAGTTCCTTGGCTTTGGCAATCCACTCGCGGGCCGAATCGAAATCGCCCATCTCGGCGTAGGCCGCGGCGAGCGTGCTGAGGATGAAGGCCTCTTTGTATTCCGAAACTTCGCAGGCCTCGGTGGCCAGTTCCAGCGATCGCTCTCCATCGCGAATCGATTCATCGTTCGAGGTGGCCAACACCCAAGCCAGGTTGTTCAGCACGACAGCCACCATCGGGTTGATGGAGATCGCCTTCTCGTAGTTCTCGATGGCTTCCTTCTGTTTGCCGATCGACATCAAGGCGTCGGCCCGAGCCTGATAGGCCGAAATGAGCGACTCATCCAGTTCCAATGCAGCGGTGAAGGCGGCTATCGCATCGTTCACCCGATTGGCCTGACGATACAGTGCGCCGAGTTGCACAAGAATTTGGGCGTTGTTCGGCAACCGTTGCTGTAGAACTTCGACCACGCCGAGGGCCTCTTCCAAGCGGCCGGCTGAGAGCAACAGGTTGGCTTGCAATTGAATGGCCGGCAGAAAGTTCGGCTGCAGTTTCAATGCCCGTTCGACATCGGCCAGGGCCCGATCGGTATCGTTGAGGGCTTCGTAGCAGGTGGCCCTCAGCACCAAGGCCAAAGGATTGGTGGTAACGACCAGGATGGATTTATCCAGATCGTTGATGGCCTCTTTAAATTGTTGTTCCTTCATCAACAGCCGGGCACGGTGGATGTAGGCCGTAGCGAAGCGGGGTTGAATTTCGATCGCCTTGCCGAGGGCTTCCATGGCTTCTTCGTGGCGGCCCAACATCCCCAGGGCCACGCCGCGGGCTTCCAACGTCTCGGGGTCATTCGGTTCGATCTCTAAGGCTGCATCGAAGTCGGTCAGCGCTGCTTCGGGATCGCCCGATTCGACCAACACCTGACCTCGATGACGGAGTGCGACGACCTGAGTGGGGTCGATCTCCAAGGCCGCTTCGTAATCGGCCAGGCGATCGGCGGGGTCGTCTTGAATGTCACCACGGGAGGTGAGGATCTTGGCCTTTTCGTCATCTACTTCCGAAAGTTCAAGGGCGGCGGTGAGTGCCTCGCGGGCCTGCTCGCGATTTCCGCCCGGCAACGAAAGCAGACGACCTAACAGGTATTGGGCTTCCACCTGCGTTGGATCGAGTTCGACGATCTTTTGAACATCGCTCAGGGCGACCTGAATGAGCCGGGGAAGTTGGGCCGCGAGTTGAGGGTTGGTGGGCGAGGCTTGGAAGATGGCTGCCCCCAGAACGTTGGCCCTTTGCATGAGGGCCGAAACGAGCAGCCCCTCGGCGAATTGGGTGTTCTCTTCGTCGAGACCGGCCTCGGTGGCTTGTTCAATCAGTTCGATGACTTTGCCCAACTCGGGCAGCGATTGGGCGGTGAGCTTGGCTTCGATCGCCTGATCGAGCAGCGGGGCACCTTCGTTCTCCGCAAATGCGGTCAGCGGCACGATTGCAATCGCGACAGTCAGAAACAGTGAACGCAGCAACATGTTGTTATCTCGTCAGTTCGAGGTAGGCAGATTCGCAAGCAGGGGCGAATCGTTGTTGGGTGGGTAAGCTTCGGGCCCCAATTCTGGAGCATGCCCCTTATTATGACGGGGGAACCTGGAAAACACCACGCGGATCGAATGGCCCATCAGATGGGGGCCGGCAAGTCGCGGCGGTTGAACACCACGGCGGCTACCACGTAGGCTGCCACGCCCATGGCCAGAAGAATGACGTTGTATTGCAGGGCGGTCATCCAGGCATCGTGGGTGCTGTGCAGTGTTTTGGTGATGAGCTCTTGCGGTTCGTAGGCACCCAGGAAGGTGAAATACCGTAAGAAACCCAGCTGCTCGGTCGTTCGCGACATGACCTTCAGAATGAGCCCCAGCACGTAGAAACCGCCGACGAAGCCAATCGTCCGCCAGCGGTAACTGTCCATGGCCGAAGCCATTGTGGCCACACCGGCGACGAAAAAGGTGAGCGAGAACAGGTTGGTCGCCGCGGGAAGGAACGCCATGGGGCTGACTGATTCGCCTAAGTCGATGGTCGTCACTCCCATCATCGTTCCGAGCCAAGCTGAGGCTGCTAGCAAACCCGCCCCCACGATTGTCACGGTGGCGTGGGTGAACAAAACGGCCAGGCGGCGGATTGGAAGGGCCAGCAACATTTCCATCGAGCCGCGGCTGATCTCGCCAGACACCACGTCGGAGCCTCGCGAAATGGCCCAGACGGCGGAGGTGAAAATTATGACAGGGTCGACATACCCCAGACCGATACGGCCGGCGACGGTGGCCACTTCATCGATGGGGGCCCCGATCACACCAATGATATCTGGGGGAAAGGTCTTGAGGAACGTCTGCAATGCCTGTAGATCCACCAGGCTGGTGATCCAGACGAAAATCCACATGAAGGCGAATAGCAGCAGCGCGGCTGCGGCGAAGAGCAGTCGGGCCTCGATGATGGCCTTGGTCCACAGGGTGCCGTTCATTCGAAACCTCGCGGATGGAAACGATCGTAAATGGCTTGCAACCCCACCGGTTCGATGTGGACTTCTTCCAGCGGCAGCGTAGCCAACCAGCCCAACAGCGGTGAGAGTTCGCCCGGGGTGAGAATCACAACCTGCCCGTCATCACGTTTTTGGATTTCCAAGCCGTTGGCGATGTCTTCTGGTGGATCGGTCAGGGGACCGGTGAGTTGCCCTCGAATGCGGTGCTGTCGTCGCAGGTCGCTCATGAGCTGGGTGGCGACCAGCTCGCCTTTTCTCAGGATGGAAACCCGATCGCAGACTTGTTCAATCTCTGAAAGCACGTGCGAGGAGAGGATGATGGTTTGCCCGCGGGCTGCGGCATCGCTAACCAGGTCGAGCACGGTGCCGCGCACGGTAGGGTCGAGATTGGCGGTTGGTTCGTCGAGAATCATCAACGGGCAATCGACCGCCATCACCACGGCCAGCGCCAGCTTGTGACGCATTCCGGTTGAGCAGTTGGCAACCAGTCGTGAAAGATCGAGTTCCAACTGATCCGCCAGATCGAGCGAACGTTGCAGGTTGCCTCCTGGGCGGGCTTTGGCAAAGAACCGCAGCACCTCGTGACCACGCATCTGGCGAAACAAGCGGGCCTCGCCGGGCAGGTAAGAAACTTTGCTATGCACGGCAAGCGAGTCGTGGTAGCAATCCAATCCCGCGATGGTTGCCGAACCGTGCGTGGGATGCAGGAAGCCCATCAGCAGGCGAATCAGCGTGGTCTTGCCTGCACCGTTGGGCCCCAACAGGCCGAACACTTCGCCTTCAAACACCTGCAGCGAACAATCCTGCAGGGCAGCGAAACCATCGTAGGTTTTGCCTAACGAATGGGTTTCGACCAGCGTCTTGGTGGCTGTCTCGCGATTGGCCTTCATGCCCTGGTCCGTTGTGAAATCCGTCGACATAGCTACCCGGCACTATAGACGTTTGCCAACGGGTGCGGGAGGGTGTCAGAAAGACACACCACCATCGCTAGGCCTGTCCCACGCTTTGTTTCATTTTGGCCAAGCCGGTCTTGGCCACTTCCATGGGGTCTTGCTTCCAGTAGGTGGGGTTGAACAGCTCGAGCGATAAGCAACCACTCCATTGCTTCTTGCGGAGCTGATCGGCGATCATCTTCAGGTCCATGATGCCGTCGCCGCAGTGCACCCGATCGGCGTCGGTCTGCTGTGCACGTGGAGGTTCGGGCGGGGCATCGTTCCAGTGGAAGCAAGAAATATGATCGGCGGGGATGCTGTCCAGTGTCTCGGGCTTGGTGCCACCGCGGAACATGTGCCACACGTCGGGCGTGACGGTGCCTTCCGATCGGGCCGCGCCCGCACAGATGGCCCAGGCGGTTTCCAGGTTGTTGATGCCGTCGACAAAGCCGAGAAACTCGACCGAAGCCGGAACTCCGCGGCCGACGCTCAGTTCGAGCAGTTCGCCGTAACGATCGACGCCCAGTTGCAACGGGACGACTTCACGCGGTGGGCTGGCAACGATGCGGCGGATGCCCAACTTCCGCGCGATGTCCAACCGGCGACGGGCTTCTTCCATGGCCGCGTCGAACTGTTGATCGTCTTCCACACACCAACCTCGCAGGGTGATCATGCTCGGGCGGTCGAGCCCTTGATCGTCGAGCGCCTTCACCACGGCGTCTAGCGGATGGCCGGCTTCGAGATACTCTTCGACATCGGTGATCCACAGTTCGATCGCGTCGTATCCGGCCTCGCCGGCGATGCGGATCTTGTCCATCAAACTCGCGGGACGGATGGTGCTGGTGTTGAGTCCAAAGGTGAAGTTGGCCATCTATAGATCTCTCGCGGGCGGGGTGCGAATGGGCAGGTGATTGTTGGTGGGTTGAAGTTCCCTCCATTCTCGGTCAGCGGGCGACGCATGACAACCCGCGGGTGCAGGAGGGATTTGCCGCGATGGGGGCCAGATTATTCGTCCGAGGCGTCTTCTTCACGGGGCGGGATCTTGAGCGATAGCAACCGGGGTGAGGTGAACACCCGGTAGTAGCCGAAGTCGGCCGTGCGTGGCAGCTCTTTGAGTGTGTCTTCGCTGAGGCCGGTCATGGCAGCCACGCGGTCGTAGCGGGGAAGCGGCGGCAGGACCAGGAACACGCGGGCCAGCGTGTCGCCCTGCGGGGTGTCCATCAGCCGGCCGGGCTCGACGTTCGCGTCGGCCAGATACCATCGCAGGTTCAGCATGTCGGCATCATCGTAGGCGATTAAATAAGGTTGATCGTTCGGCACCACACGGCGGAGATAGGCGGCCACCTGCGAGGGATGATAGTTGGCCGCGTAGTAGTTGAAGTATCCGTCTTGGGCAAACTGCTGCTGGCGGAACTCGGTGAGTCGCCCCGGGTACGTGAATAGCCAGGGGAGAGTAGCCATGGCCAAGAGCAACAAGGTGGCAATCGACACGGCGGCGGTTCCACGCAGGGGGCGGTTGCGCTTCTGGGCCAGGAAGGTCAACACTGCTTGAGTGCCCTCGACGGTGAGCCATGCCACGGCCAGGGAGACAAAGGGGAGTAGCGGGGTGTAGACGCGTTCGAACGGTGAGAGCCCGAGAATAGCGGTCGCCAGAAAAGGGACCGTGAGGGTAACAAGAAGAACCCATGTGAACAGGAGGGTTGGATAGCTGTTGTCGGGCTCAGCATCGTCTGGACGCTCGCCCGTAGCTGGCTGGCTTGCCTTACGAACGATGGCAACTATTCCCACGAGTGCGACGGGGATCAAAGCCACACAATCGTGCAGGGCGGCCCAGTAGAAACGACCGGCAAGGCGTAGTGTTCCAGCCCAAGAACCGGCGGCCGCATCGGAGCCAGCGTCTAGCACTTGTTTGTAGAGTGGGAGGTACAAACCCATCACCAACAAGGCGGCCACCGCCCAGGTGGCAAGCTCGAACAGCAAAACATCCCAACGTCGCATGGAAAACCAGGCGACACCGAGCGCGGTCATCGCGAGCCCGATTGTTGCGAGTGCATTGGTTGGGATGGTGTACACGAGTGCGGCCGCGAGAATGATTATGGCTACCGCGCGACCCCAGGAACGCGGCCCGGTGTGAATGGCTGCAATTGCTAACCCGGCGGCGAGGGCCATCGAAAGAGAATAGCCTCGCACCTGCATGGTGTGGCCCAGGAACATCTGGTTCAGCCCTAGGGCCACTGTGGTGGCGACGCCGAGCGGAACTCCGCCTAACTTTCGGCCGAGATAGAACACGCAGACGAGCGAGGCGATTGACGTCAGAAGCGACGGCAGTCGCAACATCCAGTTGATTGGCGAAAGGGCGTAGAAAGGCCGCAACAACATGGTGAACAGCACGTGGTTGTTGGGGGCCGAATAGTCTTGAGCGATGGCCGAAAGCGGCTGTTCGGCAAACGAGAGCGTGTAGATCTCGTCGTACCACAGATCGTCGTTCAGCCGGCTGATGCAAAGCACCACCGGCAGCGCACAGGCTACTAGCAGCCAGCCGATGTCGTGCTGGCGAAAGAATTCAGCGGCTTCCCCACGCGTTGGTGCGGGGCGACTTTGGGTAGCGCCGGGCTGGGCAGTGTTTGATGAGATCGATCGATGACGACCGCGACGTTTGGCCATTGCCATCCTGTTCGACATGCGGCGACCAACCGAGTGGTTGATCGCCGCCGAGATTCAATCGCCTGTTGTCGGACGAGTAACGATTAGTGATTGAACAAGAAGGCAGGGCTGTTCAGCAGCGCCCAGGCCAGGTCTTGCGTGCCTTCCAGGCGATTCTCGTTCTCGCCGATGGCTTCGACCCCGGTGGCAACTTCTTGCTCGGTGGGGAAGCGGTTCAAAATCGAGAGGAACAACTCTTCGACAACGCGGGCATTGTCTTCGTGCGAGGCCACCATTTGGGCGATGTGATTGTTCGGCGCGGTGATGGCGTCGGAAATCACAGGTCCGTTGATCAATGTGAGGGCCTGCGACAGCATCATTCCGCCCGAGCGTTCGCACTCGCAGGAGGTTTCTCGAGGCGGACGACCGAACAGGTCGAGGAACCCGCCGGGGAGTTTTGTGGACGAGTCGGCTAGCTCCACCGCGCGGTATCCACTGGGCACGCCGGGCAGTTTTTCATTGGCGCCGGTCGCCTGCTGGATGGCGTCGTATAGCGTTTCAGCTGGAAGACGTCGCACGATGGCGTGGGAATAGTTGATCGCGTCGTCTTTGTTCCACTCGTTGGTTTCCACCGCATGCTGGTAGGTGTGCGATTTGCAGATCCAACGCACCAGCTCTTGTACGTTGAAATCGTTGGCTACGAAGCGGTCGGTCAGCTCGCTGAGCAACTCGGGGTTTGTCGGCGGGTTGCCGGCCCGAATGTCGTCGACCGGTTCGATGATGCCCACGCCCAGCAGGTAGCTCCACATGCGATTGACGAAGCTTGTGGCGAAGTATTGATTTTCCGGCGAGGTGGTCCACTGCGCGAACTGCTCGCGGCGGTTCGCTCCCTCGGGGGCCAGGTCTTCGTGGGTGTACGGGAACGAGGGGGCGACATTCGCGCCGGTGATGGGCGAAACCACTTCGCCACGGCCGGCGGTATCGAAGACAACTTCTTCATCGGGGTTCACACCCTGCTTCCGCCCGATTTGTGCGAAGTACGCGGCCAGATCGTAGTACTGCTTCTGCGTCCAGCGTTCGAAAGGGTGATCGTGGCACTTGTTGCAGTTAAACCGCACGCCGAGGAAGAGTTGCGTGGAGTTCTCCATCGTGTCGGCCGGTTCGCGAAGTGTGCGGTAGTACGCAGCCGGAGGGTTCAGGAACGTCGAACCACTTCCGGTGAGCACTTCGTAGGCGAACGCGTCGTACGGCATGTTGTTGGCCACCGCATCACGAATCCAGTGGCGGAGGGCCCAGGCGCCCTTTTCTTTGAGCGTGCTGCTGTTGACCATCAACAGGTCGGCCCATTTGTTGGTCCAGTTTTCGACATACTCGGGACTGCCGATCAGGCGATCGATCAGTTCGTCGCGTTTCTCTTTCGAGTCGCGCTCGTCGGTGAGGAACGCCCGCACGGTGTCGGCCCCCGGCGGGAGCCCCGTCAGATCGAGATAGACACGACGGATGAACGTCGCATCGCTGCAGGTTGGGCTGGGGCGAACTTTCACCTGCTTCAGTTTGTTGTGCACCAGTTCATCGATGAAGTTGTACTCGGGCACACTTTCCCAGACGAAACCTTCGCGGTCGCCCATCACCGTGACGGTGGTCGAAGCGTAGGCTCCTTCGTAACGGGCGAGAACGGGGGCCTCACCACGTCGCAGGGCTCGCACCACGCCGTGTCCGTCGGCGTCGAGCACTTCGATTTGGCCACTCTCAATGAACGACTCGGCCGTCACGTCGTGGGTGGTCCCATCGGTGTAGGTGGCCAGCACGATCATCTGCTGCGCCATGCCGGGCATGGCGATGACGGGGTTCTCAGGCTGTAGTTCGATGCTGGCGACTCGAGGGCCTTCGAATTCGATCTGTACGCCGTCGGCAATCCACTGCCGCAAGATTTGGTAGTAGGGATCGTCCTCGCGAATGCGAACGCCGCCCACGTGGGGCACGTTGCCCGAGGCCTTTAGCAGCATCAGGCTTTCGTCGGGCGCGGCGCGGTTGAAGCGGCGACCGGAGAGATCGTCGGTCAGGGCGCGATGGTCGTATTGGGGATCGTAACCGCGAAGCGAAAGTTTGAAGCCGTTCTTACCGTCCTTCGCCCCATGGCAGGTGCCGGCGTTGCAGCCGGTCTTCGACATCACGGGCATCACATCGCGAACGAAGTCGACGTTATAGGGGTCTTCAACTCCGGCGACTTCCATGGGAACGGTGACCGTCAGCCCCGAGAGGCTAATGGCAATTTGCCCGGTGCCCGAGGTGGCTGCTCGCGCGTGACCGTGGGGGGAGATGGTGACCAGCTCCGGGGTTTGTTCGAACGTGACCATGCGGGTGACATCGATCCGCTCTCCGGTGGTCAGCTCGGCGAAGACCAAGAGCTGCGCGTCGTCGAAGCGGTGATGCAGCGAGATCGATGCGGGATACACATCGAGACGCAGGACTTGGGCCCCCTCGGGGAGTTGTTCCAGCGTTTCCGTTTGGTTCGCGGTGGCGATGCCGGTTAGCCAACACGTGGCCGTAGCGATTGCCATGGCACGGTAGATGGTGGTTGGCAACTTGCCCATGGTCGGTCCCTCTTGAACAGTTTGGGTTTGTTTCGTTTTATTCGTTTGCGGCCACGGCCTCGGGGGCCATCGGCACCGGGACGAACTCGCGTACCAGTGCGCCGGTGGTGGCGTCGTTCAGTCGGACGTGTCCGTCGAAGCCGGCCGAGGCGACGATTTTTCCGTCGGGTTGAAAACTCACGGCGTATACGGGGCCCTGCTGGCCTTCGCACTTGGCCACAAGCTTACCGTCTTCAGTGTTGTAGACGCGAACCTCACCCGCGCGGTTGGCGCTCGAGGCGGCGACCAAGTGGTTGCCATCGCGGCTGAAGGCCACATCGAAGATCCGCCCAGGCATGGCTTCGTACTGGCGAATGAGGTTGTAATCGTCGCCGATCTTGCGGTCTTGGGTCCGGTACATCTGGTAGAGCTTCGGCACCCCGTCGGCCCCGCCGATGAGGAGTTCGTCTTTCTCGGGTCGACGATCGACGGCCAACAGCCCACCCTTGAGAGCGCCCGGGGTAATGCTGGTGATGTTATCGACGAACCGTTCGGTGGCCACTTCGGTGAGCTTCATCGAACGGTCGCGGCTTACTGATACCAGGTGCGAACCATCGCTGGAGAAGACCGTGTCGATGACCCAGTCGGCATGCGCGCCTTGAAACAACACCTGGTTTCCCGTTTCCGAATCGAGGGCACGGATGGTGTTGTCACCACACCCCAGCGCGATGAGCTTGCCGTCAGGCGACCAGCTTGCCCCATAGATGGTGTCGAAGGTGATGGAGACCGAGTACAGTAACGCTCGGTCGGCCACGTTCCACACCTGCAATTCGCCAAAGCGGCCCGGCGAGCCACCGGTGACGGCCAGACGCTGCCCGTCGGGTGAGAAGGCCAGCGATTCGATTCGCGAAGAAAGTCCAATCAACCGACCGACCAGTTCCGAACCGTCGGCTTTGTGCAGCAGCACTTCGTGATTGCCGGAGACGGCCAACAAGGTTCCGTCGGGTGAGAAGTCGAGCGCGGTGACGACCGGCATTTGATCGTAGACCGGCGGATGATCGGCATCGACCACCACCGCGGCCGAAGCGGGTGAGTCGTCTACGGCGCCTTCGCTGATCCAGCGGCGGATCAATTCAATCTGGTCGGCCGATAATGGGTCGGCCTCTTGCGGCATCAAAGGAGCGTCGCCGGAGATTTGGGCGATAAGCAAACTCTCGTCCGGCTTGCCAGCAATAAACAGCGGCTCTTCGCTGTCGCCTGGCTCAAGCATTGAACTGTAATGCGTGAGCACCATGCCGCCGCCAGGACGGGCCGGTTGATGACAGCCCTGGCACTCGGCCTGCAAGATCGGCCGCACTTGGTTGTAATAGCTCACTTTGCCGCCGGTATTTTCCACAGCGGGCTCTTCGGCCACGGCCACGAAACTGATGGCGAGAATGATTGTGAGCGAGACGATACCAGCAAACATTTTCATCATGCGGTCACTCGATTGCGGTAGCTGTCGTTTGCCGAACTTGAAGCCGCCGTTCCCACCGAGCGAATCTGCGATCGATCGCCCCAGGCTTGGCTTCATAGTGAGTCGGGCAGGCGTGACTCCAGGAGAGGTCGCTCGGCACAGCCGGCGACATGAAGCGTGCGCACCGAAGTCGCGATTATTCAACGACTTGGACGCCTCACCTCACGCCCCCCATGATGCCAGAAGAATGGGGGCGATTCAAGTTTTTTCACATGGTGAATCCACGTAAGCGGTTGCAGCTACGGGACCTCCGGCGGGGTTACGGCCCAGGCTGGTAATTCGTTGGGGTGGATGCCCAAAACGACGTTTCCTAGAGTGAAAAGCACGGTCACCACCAGCACGACACCCAGCAGGTTCATGATTAATCCGGCCTTCACCATGTCGCCCAGGCGGACATAGCCCGAGGCGTAGATGATGGCGTTCGGCGGGGTAGCCACCGGTAGCATGAACGCACAGCTGGCCGAGATGGTGGCCGCGATCATCAGCAGCCGCGGATCGCAGCCAACGTTGACCGCCACGGTGGCCAGAATCGGCAAGCTCATGGTAGTGGAAGCCAAGTTGCTGGTGAGTTCGGTTAAGAACGTCATGGCGAAGGCGGTGGCCGCGGTCATGGTGAGCGGGGAGACGCCTTGCAACTCGCGGCCGAATTGTTCGCCGAGAAAAGCGGCCAGCCCGCTGGAGGTCATCCCCTGGGCCAGGGCCAGTCCACCGCCGAACATCAACAGCACTCCCCAGGGAACCCGGGCGGCGGTTTCCCAGTCCAACAAGCGCGGTCCGCCCAGTCGATCGGCAGGGAGCACGAAGCACAGAATAGCCATCGCCATCGCAATGGTTGAATCGTCGACGAGGCGGGTGCCGTCGAGTTGTCGCCCGAGACCCATCAACGGTGCCCAACCAACGCCGGCGACGGGCTCTCGGGTGATCCAAAGAATGGCTGTAGTCAAGAAGATCATCCCTGAGCGAAACTCGGCTGGCCGCAACGGCCCGAGCGCTTGCTTCTGTTCGACGATGGCGTTCTGTCCACCCAGCAAAGAACCACTTCGCTGGGGAAACATGACCCGTACGAGAACGATCCAACCGAGGAACACCAAGGCCAGCGACAATGGGACCGTCATCAGCATCCAACCGCCGAATGAAATCTCTGGCGCCTCGGGGCCGAACTGCTGGATGTAGATTTGCTTGAACACCACGTTGGGTGGCGTGCCGATGAGTGTGGCGAAGCCGCCGGTGTTCGCACCGTAGGCGATGCCCAGCATCAACGCGGCGGCAAAGGGTGCAACCTGCCGGGAACTCAGTTTACTTTGGGCTTGAGCGATGATGCTGACGCCGATAGGCAACATCATCATTGCCGTGGCCGTGTTCGACATCCACATCGACAACGCGGCGGTGGCCAACATGAATCCGAGCACAAGCTGACGGGGGCTGTCGCCGACAAAGCCCACGATCGTGAGCGCGATGCGCCGTTCGAGCCCGCTACGTTCAATGCACAGGGCAATGAGAAACCCGCCCAGGAACAGGAAGATCATGCTGTCGCCATACGCGGCGGCGACGCTCATCACGCTGCCTGCGCCCCGGGCCGGGGCAAGTTGCAGCAGTGGCAACAGCACCAACGGCAACAATCCCGTGGCTGCCGGGGGAACGGCCTCGGTCAACCACCAAGCGGCCATCCATGCCACCACGGCTGCCATGTAATTGTACTCGGGATGCGCAGTGTCGAGCGCGAGACCAATGTGCGGGCCCACACAGAATGCCAACGCCAAAAGCGGGCCGGTGAACAGTCCGACGGTTTCGACTGCGGTTCGCCTGGGAGCTTCTTGCTCGGTCAACAGCTCAACTCCGATCCGCGGTCAGTCGTGAGCACACGGAGACAAATGATTCAACGCTTCTTGAAAGTGCCTTTGATTTCAACAGAAATCTTACCGGCATTATCCGACGGATCGCTATCGTACATCCGCAAGAGAAGCCGCCCTGAGACGGGGGCATCGAACTCGTACTTCGAGCCGATCAAGAACGGCTGCAGTGCCTCGTCTTCTTCGTCGTCCTCATCCTCGTCCTTATCTCGATCTCTTTTCGTCCGGCTCTCCAGCGGTTCGATCACTCCGACCAGCGCGCCCAGATTGAAGTCGCGCAGCTTCTCAGGAATTTCCATCCCTTCTGCCGGCAACTTGTGAATCATGCGGAAGGTCCACTCGCCGCGGGCTTCGATTCGCACCGGCTTGCCTTCGATGACAATCACACCGCTGTCCTGCCAGGGGCGATCGGCGAAGACATCGAGCACGACTCGCTCGGCCGTCGACTCTTGCTCGTGAATTCGTTGAAGCTTCTCCATCGCCGGGGGATAGTTCGGTACCAGACGCAACACTTCGACGTAGACATCGCGGGCTTTCTCGTACTCGCCGGCCTTTTCATACTCCATGGCCAGTCGGTCGGCCTTGCGAACGAAGTCGCGGTGTAGATCCAGGAGCCGGGGATCGCTGGGCAACTGCACCTCGGGAGTTTCGTCTTCGTCATCGTCGTCGCGATTGTTGTTCTGCGCCCGGCGATTGCGTTGTTGTGCCTCGCTGGTGGCCACTTGCGTGGAGACCAGAATGAGAGCCAGCAGAGCGACGATCCATCGATGTCGTGACATACTCGATACCTTCTTCCCCAGAATTGGAGCGATGCGACGGGTGGGCTTGTTCCCCGGTGCCCACGTGCCGTTGCATTGTACCCTGCCAAGCGAATCGCTTCACGGCGGGCTCACAAGACGGCGAAGTGCGATCGTTGCGACCGCTATAACCGTGCGCGTTACGACTCGGGATTGGGGCCACGGCCCTTGGTGTTGAGCCAGGCTTCGTCGATAAGTAGGTCTTCCAGAACCTTGCCTTGCTCGATGGTCTGCTCGACGATGCGCGGAACGTCTTCCAGTTGAACGCCGCCGTACCAGATTTCCTGAGGGTAGATCACCAGGGTCGGGCCTAGCTCGCATTGTTCCAAACACCCGGCAGAGTTCGCCCGCACCAGAGGCTTTAGCCCTCGCTTCGAAAGCTCGGCCTTGAGCGCGCTCTTCAGGGCTTCGTTTCCCTGAGGATCGCAACAACCGCGAGGATGCCCTTCGCTACGTTGATTGCAGCAAACGAAGATGTGATGCGTGAACTTCGGCATGGGGGTGAGTTTAGTTCAATTCGACAAAGATGCGACGAATGCAAGCAGCCATGGTGGCCCGAAGCACTCACCCTACCACGAAGCCGGCGGTTTGACAGGGGGCCGAAGATTACGTGGTGCCGGAGATGGAATCGCTTCAGTCTTCGCTGAAGAACCGTTCGTCCAACTGGCGGCGGCCGGCGTCGATGTAGTAATCGACCAGTTCGATACGAAGTTGGCGGGGTGTGAGCTCTTCGGCGTTCCAGCGACGCACCAAATCCTCGTGACGTTTTCGCAAGGCGTTCGTCCGTTCGTCGTTGGTAACACCTTGGGTCGTGCCGCCTTCTTCCTCGTTGAACTGGATCGCATCGCGGGCTTCGAGGAACTCGCCACTGCAGCCGTAGGCGATCTCGTCCAAAGTTTCGACCACCGCGGCGGCTCGAGCGGCGGCAACCAGATCGGTTTCGGCACCTACGCCTGCGGCCTTGGCCAGGGCTTTTGAGAGCAACGAGTTGGTGCTCGACATTTGGGCGACACGCAAGCGAAGCGATTGGTAGAGATCGCTCGAAGGGGTCAGTGTTCGCTCATCGAGACTGGAAGCAAAGTGGTCGTAGATGGCCTGCTCCACTTCCCGCCGGGGGTCGTACATCGGTTCTGAGCGGCCGGCCACTTCCATCGTTGGCGAGAAAAGCGCGCCGGTGGGGGAGACGAAGTTGTCGCCAATTGAAAGGCCCAACGTGCCGAGGTTATCAAGCAGACGCCCATCGGCCGGATACTCGGGAATCGGAAAGAACGCTTCGCGGGGCTCGTCGGTTTCCTGGGCACACAACAGCAGTAGGCCTGCACAGTAGCCAGTGATCTGCTGGTCTTCGAGCGGCTTGCCTCTGAGTTCGGCGATGTGATCGGAGCGGAAGTTCAAATCGAATTGAACCGGGTTCCCAATGACCGAGGCCGCCGTTTCGCCCATCGTTTCGGCCGATGCTTGGTTTTGCGATCGCAAGAACATGTAGTCGAGCGTTCGCAGTACAAAGATGTCGACATTGGTCGAAGGCATGTGGGTGCCACGCTCCGGCAGGTCGACCACCACCATGCGGCGGACCCCGTCAGGCCCTTCTTCCATAGCCACGACGCCGACATGCGTGAAAAGCCCGGGCGAGAGATCGGTGAACAAATTGTAGGGCGAGGGGTTGCGCATCAGCAGCCAGTCGCCGGGTTGAACTTCGAATCGACCCATCCGGTAGGTGTCTTCGACCAGCCCCTTTTCGATACGCTCGTCGAGCCAGGTAAGTAGCGAAGCGCGCTGGCGATATTCTGAGGCACTGAGCGCGGCGGTAGGCAATGCCCCCAATCGGTCGCGAAGTTCACTCGGTGTGATATAGGGGCGGGGGAATGTTGGGTCCTGGCTTGCGGAAGGTTCTTGTGGCAAGCCCAGGCGACGGATGGTGTTGGCCGTTTCGATTACTAGCGCCGGGGTGGTTGTGTTGCTATTCAGGAATTCCGTGAGTCGCTGTAGCCCAGTTTGTGGAGCCGTCGTAGCGACTACCCGTAAAATGTGCGACTTGGTGTCGGCGGTCACCGCAACTTCATCGGTGTCGGCGGCTACTTCCAAGGGATACACCAAACTCTTGGCCGCAATCGAAGAACCCACCGTGCAACCAGTTGCTTCGAACAGGTCGAGTAGTTGCCGGTAGATCACTGGGTACTGCACCAGTTCCCACTCGATGTAATCGAGCGTGTCGGCATCGAACAGCAAGTAACGAAAGCGACCCGAGAGATTGGTCATCGAAGCGGCGATCGCCAGATACTCGCGTGCCGCAGCGCGACGTTCATCGCCTTCGGGCATCGCAGCGAAGCTGGTTCGCAGGGCGATGGTTCGCTCGAAGAGATGTTCGATGCCCTGATTGGCGCGGGCCAGAATTTTGGCGTACTGCAACAACTGGTTCGGCTCGATGCCATCATCGAAAAGGGCAACCGTCACAGCCGCATCGATGACCTGGTTCGCCGCTTGGTCGACCTTCTCGGCCGTGCCTGGGACGCATTCTTCCGAGTTTTTCGGCAACACTTGCTCGAGTGCTGCGATTGCGTCGGTTAACTGGTTAGCCGCCGCTTGGGTGGCGCTGAGGGTTGGAGACGGCTGCGATGAAGTTCCAGCATCGTCGCCGACTGCGGTGAGCAGCGAGGCACAAACCAGTAGGGAGGCAAACACGGAATCGCTCCAAAGAGCTTGAGTTAGGGACGGAGGGCCAGCGGAAATCCGTTCCTATAACCTACGTTGCCAATTCGCAACGCAGACTTCCGGTTTTGCCGATTTTAACAAATCGCCCGACAGATTCATCTCGGGAAAACCACTGCAAAGCGATATTCCCCGGGGTGCCTAAAGGCCCCAGGCGATGAGCGAGAGAATGCCATAGATGATCGCCATGAAGACGACGATCCAAATGGCGGTTCGCAGGGCGTGCGTGAGAATGAGCTTCGTGTCTTCGAAACGGGTGCCGGAATACACCAGGCTCACTGCCACGATCAACGGCAATGCGTACAGCATGTCGTTGCCTACGGCGAAGAGTGCCACGGCGATCAGGGGGGATAAAAACACGGACTGCTCGGAGTTAGGTGGTGTTCAGTGGAAGGTAGTTCGCTCGGCGATTAATCGGGCGGACGATCAGGCTCTGGCGGGGGGCTGTCGCCGGAGGAGTCGCGGGCCGATTTCTCTTTCTCTTCTTCGATGTAGGCGGGCCCACCCCAGGCATCCCAAATCACCAGCACATTAAGTAGTCCGGCGATCATGGTGTAGACGGTGCCCAACTCGAGATAGCGATGATACTTGCGGTGCAGCTCGTCGAGTTCGGTCTGATTGCCAGGAGGAAGGTACCAGCCGCCAAAAAGCGGTTCGTGATCTTGAGCTTTACGGCGAGCCTCGATCAGGGCCGGCAACGCAGGCACCCCCACGGCCACCTGGCACAAGAAGGGATAACGCTTGTGGTCGTCTCGCCACGAAGCGTATACCGCCCGACCATCGGAGATGATCATTCCATAGAAGAAGGTGATGAGGATGCAGCTCATGAAGAGCGCACCCTTGGCATAACGACGTTGATAAATGTGCCCCAGCCCCGGCCACAGCCAGGCCAAAAAGGCAGCCAGCGCGGGGTCGCGGAGTTCGATGTTTTCCGCGGCCGAAGGGTGAGGCGTTTCCCGTTGCACGTCGGTTGTCATACCTATCGAGAGTCTCTTGGTCGAATAACCGCGTGCGGCGAACTAATGCAACTCGCCGGGGGCTAGGTCTCAACAGTTGGATCTACAAACGGATTCATAACTTGGCTTGGGTGCCACTGCTGGCTTGTCCAGCAGTGTGAAGTCCGCGACAGGCACTGCTGGACAAGCCAGCAGTGGCACCCTCGTTCGGATCAAGCCAGGCTTTTAAACTGCTTCTCGTTCTTCGCCACTTGGGGGCGAATCTTCTAAATGGAAATCGCAACAGCCCGAAGGCCTTGTTCCCACGAGGCTTACGCCCGGGGTGTTCAACTCCAGGGCTGGAGCAATTCTATCGGGATTGGGGTGATTTGCCACCCCGAAACCGTGCCCCCAAACCGGGTTGTGACCAGCTTGCCCCGGATCGGTGCGTCTGCAAGCAGAGCGTCTCTTCGGCTAGAATCCCTCCTCGTTCAGTAAGCATTCTCCAGCAATTCTCGCCCGAGGCTTCAATGGCCGACCGCTTTTTCGTCGATTCGCCGATCTCGGGCGACCATGCAGAACTCACCGGTCCGGAAGCCCATCATGCCATGCACGTGATGCGGTTAGGTGAGGGCGATTCGATCACCTTGTTCGACGGGACCGGCGTGGAGTTCGAAGCCCGCGTTGAATCGGCCAATCGCCGGAATGTGAACCTTGCGATCGTCGATCGTCGCACGGTCGATCGCGAGTTGCCGTTTCAGTTGACGCTTGCGGTAGCACTTCCCAAGGGCGACCGGCAGAAGTGGCTGGTCGAGAAGGCCACCGAGTTGGGCGTGACGCGGTTGGTACCGTTGGTCACCACGCGAAGTGTGGCACAGCCGAGTTCCTCGGCGTTAAAGCGACTCGAACGAGCGGTGATCGAAGCCTCGAAACAATGTGGGCGGAATGTGTTGATGAAGATCGACGCGCCGGAGAACTGGTCATCGTTCGTGGTGAATAGCGACCAGGGCGATCACCGCTGGATTGCAGAACCTGCCGAGAGCAGCTTGTTGTTAAGCGAGGCAATGCAAACCCGCGGTGCGACCGACGATCTCATCGTGGCCATCGGCCCCGAGGGGGGCTTCGACGAAACGGAAACTCAAGCCGCCAGGGAGGCGGGCTGGAAACCGATCTCGCTGGGCTCCAGAATTCTCCGCATCGAAACGGCCGCCCTGGCCATCGCAGCGGCCGTGCAAGGCGGTTGATCATGCTGCAGTTCCGCCTGAATTGAGCATCTGTACAGCTTCCTGGCCCTCTAAACTTCCGCAAGGAGAGGTGCGCCTAGCCTGTCTCCGGGACTTACGTCGTGGATTTCTCGCTCTGCCCTGATTCTGTCTCTAAAAGGATGAACACGAGATGAATCGAATCCTTTGTGTTGGCCTGTTCTGTGTCGTTTCCGCCAGTGTCGCTGATGCGAGCGATTGGGCTCGGTTTCGCGGACCGAATGGCTCGGGAGTCGTAGCGGGGCCTGCGATTCCGACGGAATGGTCGACAGACAAGAATTTGAAATGGAAGTCGCCGCTTCCGGGGAGAGGGTCCTCGTCACCGATTGTGTCGGGAGATCGGGTCTACCTCACCTGCTACACCGGCTATGGAATCAATCCTGAAGAGCCCGGCCATCCGGCAGACCTCGTCAGGCACCTGATCGCCTTCGATCGCACCTCGGGAGAAGAGTTGTGGCGGGCTTCGATCAAGGGGACTTCTGAAGAAGATCCCTACCGGGGATTCATTACACAACATGGCTATGCCAGCAGTTCTCCGACCACCGATGGGGAGCTTGTTTATGTCTTGTTCGGCAAGTCGGGTCTGTTTGCCTTCGATCGCGATGGCACTCAGGTCTGGAACACGAGTCTCGGAACCAAGAGTGACCCTGCGAAATGGGGCGGCGGGACTAGTCCCATTCTTTACGGTGACTTGGTCGTGGTGAACGCTGGCATCGTTGGAAATCAATTCATTGCGCTCGACAAGAAGTCGGGCGAAAAGGTGTGGGCGATCGAAGACCCTTCGTACACCAACTGCTGGTCGACGCCCACGGTGGCAACGACGGAAGAGGGTGAGGAGTTGTTGTTTCAGGTGCCGCTTCAAGTGGTCGCAGTTGACCCTGTGAATGGGGAGAAACTGTGGACCGCGCAGTCGCCGTTGGATGACTCGACTTGTGGCAGCATCGTCACCAAAGATGGCACGGCTTATCTGATGGGCAGCCGCGCCGGTCGCGCGATGGCGGTAAAGTGTGGTGGCCGGGGTGATGTTTCGGAATCAAACACGGTCTGGGAGACACGCCTCCGCTCGGGGATCTGCACGCCGGTGATCGTGGACGACTCTATGTATTGGACGACGGGTGGAATCTTCTTCGCGGCTGATCTAGGGAGCGGCGAATACGTTTACAAAGAACGGCTGCCGAGGATTGGCGGACCCACGGGCGGATTTCCCAATGCCGATTACTCGTCGCCAATCGCCGTGGGAGACCAGATCGTGTTATTCACGCGAAATGGTGAAAGCTATGTGATCGAGTCTGGCGACGAGTTTAAAATCGTCGGCCATAATGCTGCCTTCGATGGGGACGATTCGGCTTTCAGTGCCACTCCGGCGGTTCAAGATGGTGAGTTGTTCATTCGCTCTGAGAGGTTCCTGTACTGCATTTCGAATGAAGACAACTAACCGTCTACGCAAACGGCTTTCGGAAGCATGGCCACACAATCGCAGTCCGCTTCGGCAAGTGAATAACCCGGTTTGGAGTCGGACTTCAAGGCGAGAATCTGACCCGTTGCTTTGGTTCTGGTGGCTGGAGCGGGCATTTTATCGAAACAGCCGCCCTGGACATCGCGTCTGAAGTGAGTGCCGAATAGGGGATGGCAAGTCTGATCAGCCCTCTCTTCGGCGACCCGCAATTCGCCAGAGCCCACACATTCCAATGGCCAGTAGAGCCAACACCGCAGCGGCGGGTTCCGGAACGACGTAAATGCCGGTGGCGACAATCTGACCGTCGAGATAACGCGCGAGGCTCGCACTACCGGCCGTCGGAACACTTACCGTCGAGGTATCCTCCAACGGTATGGTGACCGATACTAGGTATTCATTTGGATTGCCTGTGGGTGTCTCTGTGATAGTGCCTGCGCCTCCGAAGTTGGTCGTCGGCAGAATTAGGTGGCTTTGTGAATTCTCCGGAAAGTCAATCGGGGGATTAATAAGCAGCGTGGTTGGAATGGGTCCGTTGGGTTCGACCATCACCATCGCATCGCTGAGTGATATATCATGGTCGGCCAGCGAGAAAGAGTTGGCGGTAACCGAGGGAGTGGGCCCGCCTCCGGTGCTCAGGCCGACTTTCAGGTCGCTGACGGTCGTATCAATACTCCCGAAGGCACCCAGCGAAATAGTAGTTTCGAGTGTTTCGGTAGCGGCCACCGTTGCTGAATTGAATTTCAAGCCCGTGGGCGTCCCGGGCGAACTTCGTTCGATCTCAACGGAGAGTGTTCCCGTCAATGCGCTGACGTCTGCTATGCCGACGTACACAAAACCAGTATCCAAATCGACGGCGTTGTAATAGCTGATCTCGCTACCACTGGTTAGGGTGAGTGTGAGTGGTGCAGCTTGAACCGCCGGTGTCGTTGCAGGCAGTGCCAAGAAGAAAAGAAACGGGACTGCAGCTAGAGAAATGCGATGTGACTTCATTAGCTTTGCTCCTCCTACCCCTGCGAAGCGAAGTGTTGCCCCCGATGAAGACATGCCCATTTTTGAAGGTCGGTCTTTTCCGACCGTGCATTACCGGAGGGATCACCAACAGGTTGCCGATTCAGACGACGAGAGTCAAGGTTTTTCTCGCAGAATTCATGTGTTTTCGCAGCCTGAATCATCCTCCTGCGACCTGCATGTTACAGAAGGTTCGTAATCTACAGAAAAGGCTTGGGAGTGCACAGATTCCTCGGGCGAGAGCGAGGTTATGAAAGACCAACGGTCGACTGTCTTTGCACTTCCATGTCCCTGACAACAGCCATTGTCTGCTTGCCCTTTAAAAAGCGCGCGGCTTGGCACAGTTCTAAGGCGCAAACCAAGTGCGGCCCGAGTGACGGGTTGGATGCAGAATTGGGCAGCCTTCTACCGCGTTTAAAACAGCGTGTAGATGAAGGGTGCGGCGCCGCTACCGGCGAACATGGCCAGGAAGCCGACGAACCCAACCACCAACAGAATGGGCAGCAGCCACCACTTCTTGTTGTGCTTGAGGAAGTCGATGAATTCAGCCGCCAAGCTGGGCTGCGATTCTTCGGCCATTTTCTCGAATTGCTGCTTGTCGCTATCGGTACTCATCGCAGGAAATGTTCTCTCTCTTCAGAGAAGCGGGAATTGCTTCTTATCTGCGGCAGTCGATTCACCCCACCCGGCGGTCGTCCGCAGTGTTTCTTGTTATAGCACTTTAAAGGGCCGAGGTCGCAATTGGTGACCTCATGATTCAGCCGCCGAACTAGAACTGTCGTAGATAGCGGGCTGGCCCCGTATCCGGATTGTACGCTTCCCAATAGGTCTCTGCATCTGGGTCGAACTTACGCGTCATCGCGTCGCGGCCCATCAGTTTGAAGACCAAGGCAAGGGGGGTAAACACCCCGTAATAAACGATGGCCAGGGCCACGTGGGAAATCACCCAACCGATCGGCCAAGTGACGACCGACAGGGCAATGAACACCGGTTTGACCCAGGAAGGTTTGATGAGCGACAGGGCCCGCAATGCGATGGCGGCGGCCCAAAACACAACCGCGGCGGTCATGTTTTCGCGGTAGACCATCAGCGGCGCGGCGACGAGGCCCAGGAAAAACATCCCGAACTCGGCAAACTGCCCCAACACGTTCTTGTCGGGATTCCAGTTGATCTTCACTACGGCCATAGCCGGCGGTCCTTCAATATCAATAAGGCTTGATGATTAGTCGAGTTGGAATTGGGCCAGGTACGCTTCGGCTTCTTCTTCGCTGAGCGACTCTTGGTCGGACTTATCCAGCACGAAGTTTTCCAGCACCAGGATGTCCATATTCGAACCGCGGAAGCAGCGGTAGGCGTCTTCGGGCGTGCACACAATCGGTTCGCCACGCACATTGAAGCTGGTGTTGATTAGCACCGGCGAGCCGGTCTTCTCTTCGAAGTGACGCAGCAGTTCGTAGTAGCGGCCGTGACGCTGGGCGTCGACCGTTTGCACCCGGGCCGAATAGTCGACGTGGGTAATGGCCGGCACCACGCTGCGGGGCACTTTCAGTTTTTCGATTCCCTCGAGCCCGTCGGCCTGACCGTTGACGTGCAAGCGTTTCTCGTCTTGCACGGGGGCCACCAACAGCATGTAGGGGCTGTCTTCGTTGGGCCGCATCTGGAAGTACTCATCGACCCGATTCCGCAGCACTGCCGGGGCAAAGGGGCGGAACGATTCGCGGAACTTGATCTTCAAGTTCATCGTCGATTGCATGGCCGTGCTGCGAGCGTCACCCAAGATACTGCGGGCGCCCAAAGCGCGCGGGCCGAATTCCATACGACCGCAGAACCAGCCGACCACCTTCTCGTTGGCCAGTTGATCGGAGACGGCCTCGAGCAGTTCCGACTCATCTTCGTAATGCGTGTACTTGGCGCCGACCGAATCGAGGAACGTGCGGATCTGGCGATCGGTGAACCTCGGCCCCAGGTAAGACCCCTTTTGGCTGTCTTCTACGCTCGGGTCGACCGTGCGGGGGTTGTCGAGCAGTTGGTAGTGAATGAACTCGGCCACGCCCAGGGCTCCGCCTGCATCGCCGGCGGCCGGTTGGATCCACACTTTCTCGAAAGGACCTTCTCGCAGGATGCGTCCGTTGCCCACGCAGTTGAGCGCTACACCGCCGGCCAGGCAGAGATTCTTGCTGCCGGTTTCCTTGTGCACGTGCTTGGCAATCTTGAGCATGATTTGCTCGGTGGCTTCTTGCACGCTGGCGGCCAGGTCCATTTCCCGCTGAGTGATTCGCGATTCCGGAGTCCGCGGAGGCCCGCCGAACAGACGATGAAACTTCTCGCTGGTCATCGTCAGGCCTTGGCAGTAGTTGAAGTACGACTGATCCATGCGGAACGAGCCGTCTTCCTTCACGTCGACCAAGTGCTCGAGAATCTGATCGACGTACTTGGGCTCTCCGTAAGGGGCGAGGCCCATCAGTTTGTATTCGCCGCTGTTCACCTTGAAGCCGGTGTAATAGGTGAAGGCTGAGTAAAGCAGACCCAGCGAGTGCGGAAAACGCAGTTGATGCGTGAGGTGAATTCGATTGCCCTCGCCGCGACCAAAGCTGGCGGTGGCCCATTCGCCTACGCCGTCGAGCGTGAGGATGGCCGCCTCTTCAAAGGGCGAGGGGAAGAACGCACTCGCGGCGTGCGATTCGTGATGCTCAACAAACACGAACCGGCGGTTGTATTCGTGATTCAGGCCCTTGGACATCTCGCGGGGCAGCCACAGCTTTTCTGTCGCCCACAGCGGAAGGGCCTTCAAAAAAGAGCGGAACCCTCGTGGGGCATAAGCCAGGTAGGTTTCGAGCAACCGCTCGAACTTCAGCAGCGGCTTGTCGTAGAAGCCCACCCAATCGAGGTCGGCCGGTTTGAGGCCTGCCTCTTGCAGACAGTAATCAATGGCGTGCGTGGGAAAGTTGTAATCGTGTTTCTTCCGCGTGAAGCGTTCTTCCTGCGCAGCCGCTACAACCTGACCGTCGACGACCAATGCGGCGGCCGAGTCGTGATAGAACGCGGAAATCCCCAAAATCGCCGTCATCGATTGAAACCTGTCGTGTGATTCTTGGTACGAAATCCGAACGACAAACTATAGCCCACACCCAAGACAAGAGAGTTCTGCCGGGTCGCATCCCTGAAAGAAATTGTAGGCACCCCTGCATATCGAGAAAGCTACAGTTGCTCAGTATACCGCTAGACCGCTGAAAATGCCGGTCTTCTGCACGTTAGCGCGGGCAATTGCGAGCGAACTTTCTTGGAGATTTCTTGTGGCTACCGTTGTTGAAGCACCAGAACCCTCTGCCAAGCCCACAACGAGTCAAAACCGCACTCCACAGCGGCGAAAAGGCCCTTCGCTGTTTCTCAAGCTGGGGCTGCTGGTCAGTTCGCTCGTGATAGCGTTTGTGGCCGTTGAACTCGGCCTGCGACTGTTTGTGCCTGTGACGGGTGCTCCTTATTACTTCTGGGATCCGGTCGTTGGGCCCCGTCGCCAGCCGAATACTGCGGGCCGTTACATCAGCGGCAACCATATTAATACGGAATATCACTTCAATTCGCAGGGTTGGAATCATCCGGCCGACTACACCATCGCCAAACCAGACGACACCCTGCGGGTGTGCATCGTGGGCGATTCGTTTGTCGAAGCCCTGCAAGTCAACGCCGACCAGGCGATGTCGGCCGTGGCCGAAAAGAAGATGAGTCGAGAGGATCGCCCCGTCCAGTGGTACCCCTTCGGCATCTCCGGTTGGGGGACCACCCAAGAGCTAGAAGTCATTCGCCACTATGTGATGGACTACAAGCCCGACATGGTGGTGATGCTGTTCGTGGAGAACGATCCCTTCGATAGCTCGCCGTATCTGGGACCGATCGAACCGTACATCACCACCTACACCCTCGACGACAACGACGAACTCGAGCTGCTTCCGCCGGGCTATTGGAACCGTACCGGCTTGAAACGCGCGGCCGTGGAATCGGCACTGGTGCGCTATCTCATGCTGCAAAAGGGCTGGGTGCTGCGACCCGGGGAAAGCGAAGCGGAAGAAGCAGGCATCCAACGTCGCGCGGGCGCATTCGCCGGCGGGGGCCACGATGTGGCCGGTATCGAAGACATGACGGATGAAGAACGTCAGCAGAAGACGTGGTTGCTGATCGAGAAGACCCTCGAGGCCACCCGGGATCTCTGCGAGGAGAACGGGGCCCAGTTCGTGCTGGCCTACCGTGGCAACTTGCCGAAGATCGAAGCTGCGGCCAAGGGCGAAACTTACGAGCCGGCCCCCAAGGAAGACGATCCTTACAACCTCGGCTCGCGACTCTTCGAAATGGGCGAGGACCAACTGGCCCCCATCGCCGAAGAGCTGCACATCCCGTTCATCGACCTGACCGACACGTTGATCGAGAAGGTGGCCAAGACCGGCCAATCGTCGGTGTTCCCGGTCGACACGCACTACAACGCCCTCTCTCACCAGGCCGTCGGCGAAGCGCTGGCCGAAATGATCGAGCCCATGCTTCCGGCCCCCGCCCAACTTAACCGAGACAGCCAATGACGACTCAGCCGAAAGAACTCACCAACACCGCGGTTCTCGATACAAACCAGACAACGGATACGCGCACGCTGGGCGGCGACCACGCTGGTCGACCCACGGTGCTGAACATCTCGCAGAACTACTTTGTGCGGGGCGGGTCCGATCGCTACTTCTTCGTGATGAGCGATCTCCTCGAGAAGCATGGTCATCGCGTCATCCCGTTCGCCGCGAAGCAATCCCAGGACGATGCGACCGAGTGGGCGAAGTATTTCCCGCAGGGGATTAACTTCCAATCGCCCAAGCCAATGGACCTCGCACGCTTCATCTACTCGCCCCGCGCGGCGAAAGCGATGGACCGACTGCTGTTGGATCATTCGGTGGACATCGCGCACTTACAGATTTACTACGGGCAACTCACCGCCTCGATCTTGGGTCCGCTTCGTCAGGCAGGCGTGCCCATCGTGCAGACGATTCACGATTTCAAGCTAGTCTGCCCCGTGTACTCGCTGATGTCGCACGGAAAGATTTGCGAGGCTTGCCAGGGCAAACACTTCTGGAAGGGAATCGTTCATCGCTGCAACCGCGGGTCGTTGGCCCGATCGGTGCTGAGCGTGGCCGAATCGTACGCCTCGCGGTGGTTGGGCGTGGTGAACGACATCGATCGGTTCATCTCTGTCAGTGGGTTCCAACGCGACAAGCTGGTCGAACTGGGAGTGCCGGCCGAGAAGATCACGGTCGTGCACAACTTCATCGATGTCGACCCCAACGAACCGGAGCCGACCCCGGGCGAGTACATCTTGTATTTCGGCCGCATCGAACGTCTCAAGGGCATCTACACCCTGCTCGATGCCGCCAAGAGGGCCCCGGAGGTGAAGCTGATTCTCGTCGGCGAGGGCGATGCCTACGACGAGGCCGGAGAGATCATCCACGAACTGAGCCTGAACAACGTCGAGCTGCGTGGCTTTGCCAAAGGCGAGGAACTCAAGCAGCTCATTCGCGGCAGCTTGGCCACGGTGTTGCCTTCGGAAGGTTACGACAACTGCCCCATGGCGGTGCTCGAATCGTTGGGCATGGGCAAGGCCGTGATCGGATCGCGGATTGGTGGCATTCCCGAACTGGTCGACGACACCAACGACGGCTTCCTGGTCACACCCGGCGACGGCGAAGACCTGGCCGACCGTATGAACTGGATGTGGAACCATCGCTCAGAAGTTCACGACATGGGACTTCACGGGCGGGCCAAGGTCATCAGCCGGTTCAATTCAGAAATTCATTATCAACGAGTTGCCGACGTGTACCGCACGGTACTGCAGGCGGTTGCCAAAATCTAATCCACTTGAAGACACTCCTTCGATCGCGACCTCATGGATACGTTAGAACAGACCGAACTTCCGGAAACCCAACCGCAGGCTTTCCGGATGCCCCGATGTAAGCAGCTCAGCATTTTGGGTACGCGCGGCATTCCCGCGGCCCATGGTGGGTTTGAGACCTTCGCCGAGCGGCTGGCCCTGTATATGGCCGAGCGCGGTTCGGAGGTCACCGTTTACTGCCAAGGCTCTGGCGACAGTACTCCCGGCGAACGTATGTGGGAAGGGGTGCGCCTGGTGAATGTGCCTGTGGGGCGTGACGACGCGGTGGGGACGATCATCTTCGATTGGCATTCCACCCGATTGGCCGTGCGTGAAGGTGGAACGTTGCTGACGCTGGGATATAACACTGGCCTGTTCGCGGCTCTGCCCCGGCTTCGTCGTCGGGTGAACCTGATCAACATGGACGGCCTGGAGTGGAAGCGGCGTAAATGGCGGTTCCCGGAGAAGGCGTGGCTGTATCTGAACGAGCGGTTCGCCAGTTGGTGGGGCACGCATCTCGTGGCCGATCATCCCGAGATCAAGAACCATCTGCTTACCCGGGCCCCCTTCGAAAAGATCACCGTGATCCCTTACGGGGCCGATCGGGTGACCGAAGCCAACCCGCGCCGGCTGACGAGCTTGGGGCTGGAACCAAACTCGTACGCCGCGGTTATCGCTCGGGCCGAACCGGAGAACTCGCTGCTGGAAATCGTGGAGGCTTTCTCCGCCCGCCCGCGAGGCATTCGCCTGGTGGTGCTCGGTACCTTGCGCCCCGAGCAGAACCAGTATCATCGCCAAGTGATTGGGGCGGCCTCCTCGGAAGTGCTCTTCCCGGGGGCCATTTACGATCGCGAAGTGATCGACGCTCTGCGGCTGCATTGCCGGTTGTTCATTCACGGGCACACCGTCGGGGGCACGAACCCCACGCTGGTCGAAGCTCTGGGAGCCGGCTCGCCCGTGCTCGCGCACGACAATCGTTTCAACCGCTGGGTCGCAGGCGATGCTGCCCGATACTTTGTCGATACGGAGCAGTGCACGGCCCAACTCGATCGTCTGCTGGACGATCAAACCATTCTCGATCGGATGAGAGCCGCCGCACGCGCCCGCCACGCCGAGCAATTCACCTGGGAGCGCATCCTGCAGGAGTACGACAACCTGCTCGGCATGTGGAGCCATCCCGACAACCAAATCCCCGCCGACGAACCGGCGGAGGCCGTCGAGCCCGGCGAGTTGCTGACGACTTCATAAGTAGTGCCGGCTTGTGGCGCTGTCTTCGGCTAGTCTATAACGCTCGACTGTTTCTTGCGCGCTATTATTTGCGCGAAGCAACTGTGGTCACCAAGCTATTGCTTTGAAGGCCGCGTCTCGTGGTTTGCTGCTCGTGCTGAACTCGGGAGCTAGTTTGCGTTCCACTCTCGGGTTGATCAGAATTTGGGAAACACATCAAACCGGTACTGATCAGTTGGCGGCGCGTTCCCTAACGAAGCCTACGATCTGAGCGTTACTTCCCAAACTCTGCTCCGGCGCACATCCATCAATGGCGAAGACTATTCCCCAACGCGATGTTCAGCCTCCGCAGGAGGAGGATGACGCTGACAAGGTAAAGGCTCGCTTCAAACGGCGGCACTTATCCGAGGAGACAAAAGCCAAACTCGTCAGGTTTCAGTTGGCTTTCACGATTGCGATGGCGATCTTCTGTTTCGTCTTGATCATCAATAACCTGAGTTCGAAACAGTTTGTAGAGGACAGTCTTCCTATATATGCATTTTTCGCCTGTATCGCATTGTGGCAGCTTCAAATCTACGCTCGCCGTTTAGCCAGTTATAGACAGACGGGCACTCTCACAAGCAACTTTCAAGTCGGGCTGCGTGACCTTTTGTTACTAACGTTGCTGGCAAGCATCTTTTTCGCGTCTTACAACTACAACAGACGTGAAAAGCACAAACGCGACGTAGTGCGGCAGCGTATCGAACAGACATTCATGGATGTCATTCATCAGGGCCATGTGCACATTTCCGGTCGGCCCGACCGTCTTTCGGTGTGGGTGAATCGTTCGTCCTTTGACGATACCGATCTAGAAAGACTCGCCTTGCTTAATAAGAAAGAAGTCGACGAACGATACTTCCAAATCCACCGCATCCGCTTCGACAACTGCAATATCACGGACCACAGCGCGGCAATCATTGCCCAATGGGAAGGGCTGGAATCGATCTTTATCACCAACACACAGATCACCGATCAGGGCTTGCAGGCCCTGGCGGAACTTCCAAAGCTGCGCAGCCTTACCTGCGGAGGAGATGGAATCAGTACTGCAGGAATTAATCGTCTTTCCGAACGTTTTCCGGATCTGACAATCAATCGACTCGGACTGAAGAGCAGAGCCGTGCCGCAATCGCCTAAGGCGTCGCAGCCTTAGATCGAACCAGCAGGCTTCTCGATTTCGGCTGGCGACTCCACCTGCATTTGATCGGCGGGGACGAAGATCCAGCGCTGGTTGTACAAGTCCCGCTCGTTGTTCATGAACTGGAGTGCGGCGACGAGGCCGGCCAGCAGGTACATCAACGAGTTGTCCATCGGGGTGTACGTCAGGTCGTGAAAGAGAAGCTGCGACACATAGACGCCCATGGCACCTAACATCAACACAGCTTGGGCGCGGGCCCACTTGGGAATGCCGGGATCGCGATAGGCTCGCCAGGCAGTACGGGTCCAGAAGAACAACACGGCCAGGAAGAGCGAAAGCCCGATGATGCCGGTTTCGGTCAGCAGGCTTAACAGGGTGTTGTGGTGCGACAAACCTCGCAGACGTTGCAGCGGCATGGCGACCGAGCGATCGTCGAGGTAGGGCAGCACGGCCGTGGGGTAGTTACCAAATCCACAACCCATCAACGGGCGGTCGAGGAACATTTCCCAGGAGACGTACGTGAAGCCGACGCGGAGATGGGCCGACATTTCCGCTTCGGCGGCCGTCTCATCACGCTTGAGCCGAAGCAGGCTGTCGGCTTGGGTTAGTCCGACGAGAATCCCGGCGATGACCATGGTGCCCAGGACGACTCTTCGCCAGTTGCCGTGCAGGGTGAGAGCCAGGACGATCATCGTGCCCAGTACCGCGCCCATCCAGACACTTCGGGTCATGCTGAAAAAGAGCCCGGCCATCATCAGGGGCATCGTACAAACCACGGCCAGTTGGCCCGCACGAGAGAGGCGAGGCAACCAGAGCCAGGCTGACAACAGGCACACCGACAGGTAAACGCCATAGGTCGGCAACTGCAGCATTGGGCCACGAGCGCGACCGTAGTGCAGCCCGACTTTCGGGTCGGCGATGTTCTTCGGGAACACGGCCCACCATTGTTGGTAATGTTCTGCAATACCAGTCAGCCCCAGGTAGAGGCCAAACACGGTCATCGAACCGAGGAATAGCGCCGTTCTTTCCTGTCGTGATGGTAGCTCTCGTGCGATCAGGTAAATGGTCGTCGGGATGAAATACCCTGCGATCAAACGCCACGCGGCCGGCACGCCCTCTTGCCCCTCGCCAATGGCGAACCCGTAGACGGTGCTGATTGAGAGCGTCGCCAGAAAGGCGAACATCACATACTCTTGGGCTTTGAAGGGCTGCGGCTGGATGCGCCCCGTGAAGCGTTGAAACACATAAGCCGCGGCCAGGGCGACAATCGCCAACCGGTCGAGGCTCATCGTGATCGGCCCCACGCGGAAGTGCATGTACTCGTAGCCGAAACACGACACAACCACTAACATCACAATCAGACCCACGAACAGCGATCCGCGCAGAATGTAGATCGTGCCCCACAGCATCGCGGCGATGGCGGCGATAATGACCAGGATTTCCATAACGTGGCTCTCAGTATCGAAGCGGCTTCAACGGCCGGCGCCGGAAGCACATCGGGCAGGTTGTTAACGGTGGGGACGCTTGGTATGGGTAGGTATCGAAACAGCGAAAAAGCCCGGCTCGCGAGGTCACGAACCGGGCTTTGTGTAGCTAAGCAATTCTCAGTCCCGGCAAGCGTCCTTTAGAAAGATACGCTGCCGTTGCCCACGAGGGCTTCTTCGTTTTCTTCTTTCTTGGGCACGGTGACCGCTTCGGCAGGCACGCGGGTCAGCACCCGATCGTCTTGACGTGGGGTCGGAGGAACCGTCAGGAACAGAACACCCATTCCAATCGTCAGGCCTCCAACCACGCCGGCCAGAATGACCACCGCCTTGCGGGGACCAATCGGGCGGGTGCTCACTTCAGGAGCGTCCACCGTCGAGATCAGGCTCGTGCTTTCGGCCGTCGCATGGCTGGCCCGAACAACGGCCAGGTCGCGATTCGAAGTGGTGAGCACATCTTGTTGATGATCCACTTCGGCCACCAGGTTCGAGTATTCGGCTCTCAGCGAAGCGATGTGGTTCAGTCGCTCGCTGGTCTCATCCAGTTCCTTCTTCAGTGAGGAGATACGTTCGTCGGTGAGTCGCAAGTCAAGCTCCACACCTCGAATCGAAACAGCCAGTTCGCTGTGAATGTTGTCGCTAATCTCTTGCTCGGCTCGCTCGGCGGCCTTCACCTTCGGGTGCTCGCTGGTCATCAAGCCGGTGAGCTTCGAAGTCTGCAATTGGGCGTCGATCAAACCGTCCTTCAAACGCCGCAACGACGGCTGAAGCTCGAGTAGACGGTTGGGGGTGGCCAGCAATCGACCAGGGTCGCCTTCGGCCTTGCGGAGCATCTTCAGCAGTTCTTCGTTGCTTTGTTTATTCGACTCGGCAACGCGAAGCTCTTGTTCGATCTGAATGAGTCGCTGACGCAACTCGCTATTGTTGGTTGGCGAACCATGCAGGCTACGAAGTTCGGCCAGGTCACTACCGACCGACTGTTCGAGCTTGGCCAGCTTGTTGGTGGCTGTGGCCAGATCCTCGCGGGCCAGAGCCACGCGTTGCTCCAACTCGGCGATCAGACTTTGGGCCTTCTCGTCGCGAAGATCGCGGAAGCGGTCTTTCACCGCATCGGTGAGGGCGACCGTGAGCTTCACGGCACGCTCGGGCGAAGTCGACTTGACGCTGAGGTAGAAGACCTCGGTCTCGCCGAACTCGGCACCGTTGGGGGCCGCCAGCTTGATTTCACCACGCAACGCATTCACGTCTTCCATGGTGGGCCAAGCCGCGGGGTCTTTGTAATCGGCCGGGGGACCCACTTGCTTGAGAGCCGCAGTCACTACGGTCTGGCTCTTCAGCACTTCCATGATGGTTTCCTGGGTCACCTTCATGTTGTTGTCGTGACGGAAATCGCCCGGGTTGGCCACATCGGCGGCCGCATCGTTACGAACAATCAACGACTGCAAGGCAGCCCAATGCTTGGGGCCCATGAAGGCGTAGGCCACGGCGATCGCAGTCACGAGCACAGTGGGAACGATCCAGCGTGCCGGGTACTGGCGAATCGCGCGAATGACGTCACTCGGCGTCACGGTGTTGGAGTGCTGTGGGTTTGGCATAGTTCCGAGTCCTGGGTTGTAGTGCGACCACTTTGCTCTGAGATTCGCTGCTAAGGATGCAAAGTCGGTGCCGAATGTATGGCTCCAGCGCCCCGATCCACCGGGTGCCTTGACTCTAGTCTAGGTTTCGATGCGACTTACATTGCCTGAGGCGGAAGAAAATTCCGCAAGCGACTCGAAGCTTTCTGGAACGAACGTTGCCTGAAAGCAACGTGCCGTGTTTTTGTCGAAACGCACGCGGTCTTGTAGCTCTCGCAAACTCGATGACGGACCAATTGTGCGCTTCATGCTGCTTGTAAGAGTCGCTCCGGCTGATGTCGGTTTGTAGCGATTAGCACGCGCAGAGAAGCAGACCGAATTGATTTGCTTATGGCGAGCCGTGACCGAGATTTGAAAGGAAAGAATTGCCTCGTGCTGCGCGCCGCCGCTGCGGGTACGGGGAACGTCTATACCGGCACCGCTGCAGATAAGACACCCGAGCAAAACAACCGTCAGGCAAGTTCATGCAGGTCATTGCCCATCACTCATTCGAAGAACTCTCCGGCTGGGCCGATCAATGGCGCAAGCTGGCCTGCGGCGTTCCCTTTCGCCAATGGGAATGGATGAGCAACTGGTGGGATCTGTACGGCACCGACCTCAGCCCCAATGCTCCTTCGCGCCAGCTCTACATCGTGAGCGTTCACGATGATTCCGGCGACCTGATCGCCGTGGCACCCTGGTTCATCGAGCACACCACCAGCCTGGGACGGGTGATTCGCTTCCTCGGCACCGGTGAGGTTTGTTCCGAATATCTCAGTATTCTCTGTCAGCGCGATCGTGAGCGGGAGGTGGCGAAGTTGCTGGCCGATTTCGTCTGCCACGACAGTCCCTCACTGGGAGACTGGCTGCACGGCGATGAAGTGCCCCGCTGGGATCAATTCCAACTCGAAGGGATCGACGCCCGCGACCGCACCATCTCGCTTTTCGCGGCCGAGATGAAGAAGCACCGCAAGACCGTGGAATACATCGCTCAGCACAACTGCTGGCGACTCCAGCTACCCAACAATTGGGACGATCTGGTCAAGGCCGTTCCCAAGTCGCAGCGAAAACACCTTCGCCGCGCCCACGACCGGTTAGAAGACACCGATAACTTCCGCGTGGTCACCGTCGAGGGCCCCCAGGAATTCGAACGCGGGTTCGAGATATTGACCCAACTACATGGAGCGCGTTGGCATGACCGGGGCCACGAAGGTTGCTTCTCTTCGGAAACGTTCCACCAGTTTCATCAACGGGTGGCCGCGTCGCTGCTAGATCACGAAAAGCTGCGTTTGTTCTGGGTTGAATACCAGGGCAAACCCATTGCCAGTGAGTATCAGTTGCTCGGTAACGGAGTGGTTCACCTTTATCAGGGTGGGCTCGATCCTGAGTACCTGTCGCTGGAACCCGGCCGCCTGGCGGTGGTGGCGGGAGTTTGCTGGGCCATCGATCACGGCTTCACGCACATGGACTTTCTTCGCGGCGACGAACCGTACAAGGCTCGCTGGGGTGCGCAACCTCGCGCGGCGGTGCAGCTCCGCATTGTTGGCACACACGCTACGGCCCAGTTGCGACATCACGCCTGGGTGGCACAACACCGCGTGCGCGAGCTGGTGAAGTCCGGCTTGGATTACTTCAAGGGAACTCAGTGACACACATCTTTCGACCTGTGAAAGATCGATCTCTATGAACGCTTCAACAGAAACACACACAACGCCCAACGAGGAATCGGCCGCCACGGTGGTTTCGTCGGCGCAGAGCACGACCGCGAGTCCTCCGCTCGCGCCCGAAGAACTCACGGTCCGATGCTTGACGTCGGAAGAGGCTTTCGAGGCGTTGGGCGAAGCCTGGGAAGAACTCTCCCACGGTATTCCCTTTCGGCGTCCCGCTTGGTGTGAAGCTTGGTGGCGTCACTACCGTGAGCCGAACGCAGAATTGCTGATCTTAGCCGTCGAGGACCACGCCGGAAGACTGATCGGCCTGGCTCCCTGGTACCAAAAACGATCATTACGCGAAGGTCGGGTCATTCGCTTCCTCGGCTCCGGCGAGGTCTGCTCCGACTACGTCACGCTGCTGAGTCAGGAAGGTTGTGAGACTGCAGTCGCTCAGTGCATCGCCACGTGGCTGAGTGACAGCTACGAGGGGAAATGGGATTCGATCAACCTCGACGGTGTGATTGGGGACGACCTTGCGATTGAGACCTTGGCCGCACAACTTGAAACCGAGGGCGCTACGGTCGACCGGCCGGCTGCTCAACAATGCTGGCGAATTGAGTTCCCGGCGAATTGGGACGAGTATCTGGCCCGGCTTTCCCGCAAGCGTCGCGAACGGGTGCGAGCATTTGTGCGTCGCATGTTCGATTCAAACGTGGCCACCTGGCGATTGGCCGAAACCGGCGAAGACGTAGCCCGCGGGTACGACATTCTGATTGATTTACATCAGCGCCGCCGCAACTCGCTGGAAGAAAAAGGTTGTTTCGCTTCGGACACGTTCACCGAGTTCCATCGCGAAATGCTGCACCGGCTTGCCGCCGAAGGTCGCGCTCGCATTCATTGGATCGAACTGGATGGCAGCCCGATCGCGGTTGAGTACGACCTGATTGGGGCCGACACGGTGTACGTGTATCAGACTGGCATCGATCCCGAGGCCGTCGAGCACAGTCCCGGCTGGTTGAGTGCGATCGCCTCGATTCGCTCGGCGCTCGAAGGCGGATACGCCAGCTTCGATTTCCTGCGTGGTGATGAGCCCTACAAAGCCACACTGCGAGGCGAACCCGTCGCCATGCAAACCGTTCATATCACCGCCCGTAATGCAGGGGCCCAGATGCGGCGCTGCATTCGGCGTTCGATTCGTCTGACGAAAGACCAGTTGAAACAGCGTTTGAACCGATCGTAAGTGCGAGCTGGCACGGAGAAGAGTCCGGCCCGCGCCCAAGGAGAAACATCATGCCGCTTTGGAAAAGCCTTTTACTGTCTGGCTATTACCACTGCACGCTTCCGTATCGCAATCGTCGCAACCATGCCGCCGCCGCGGCGGGCCGCGCACCGATCATCGTGCTGTTGTATCACCGCATTGCCGACGACGCGGCGAACGCCTGGACGATGTCCAACGAGATGTTCTTCAAGCAAATCGATTGGTTGCGTCGCAACTACGATATTGTTTCGCTACACGAAGCCAAGAAGCGAATCGCCAGCGAAGACAACGATGAACCCTGCGTGGCGATAACCTTCGACGACGGGTATGCCATCAACTGTCAGTACGCACTGCCGATGCTGGTGCGCGAGCGGATTCCTTGCACGTACTTCGTCACCACCGAAGCCGCGTTGACGGGCGGCCCTTTCCCGCATGACCTGGCGATGGGGAATCGTTTTGAGCCCAACACACTGGAACAGCTCAAAGCCCTGGCAGGTGCCGGCATCGAGATTGGAGCCCACACCCGAACTCATGTCGACATCGGCAAGGTGACCGATCCCGACGAGTTGTTCGACGAGTTGGTCACGGCCCGCGATGAATTGCAGACGGCCTTGAAACACCCGATTCGCTACTTCGCGTTTCCCTTTGGACAACACCGGCGTCTGTCGGCCCCGGCGTTTCAATTGGGACACCGCTGTGGGTACGAGGCCATGTGTTCGGCCTATGGGGGCTACAACTTCCCGGGCGACGACTCGTTCCATATCCAACGCATTCCGGCTGACGAAAGCTTCATGCGGCTGAAGAACTGGGTCACGGTCGACCCTCGCAAACTGCGGGGCATCCGACGTTTCTATTACGGGGATCTGGCTCCGGCCACAAATCAAGAGTTGGTAGCCCATTGAGTACGACGCTCGTAGAAGAACTCGAGTTTGAGCCGTTGGAAAGTCCAGCGGTGGCCGAACTGCGGACCGATTCGTTGGCCAGCAGTGTGATGGTGCTGCTTGCGCTGACCGTCGTGCAGCGGTTGGTCGGCTTCATCCGCAGCGTACTGTTCTGCCGCTGGCTGGCTCCGGCCGAACTGGGCCAGTGGGATCTGATTCTGGCGTTCCTCGAACTGGCCGCCCCAGTGGCCGTGCTTGGAATCCCCGGTTCCTTCGGGCGGTACGTGGAGCACTACCGGCAACATGGCCAACTGCGAACGTTTCTGGGTCGCACGACGGCCGTAAGCGGAGTGCTGGCGATTGTCGCGATCACCTTCATCCTCGCCAAACCGTCGTGGTTCTCGAAGCTGGTCTTCGGAATCGATAACCAGATCAACTTGGTCTACCTGGTGGCCCTGAGTTTAGGGGCCGTGATCGTGCACAACTTTGTGTGCGAGCTGTTTGCTGCTTTGCGGATGTTTCGCGTTTCATCGCTGTTGCAGTTCGCCAACGGGGTGCTGTTCGCCGCCCTGGGCATCGGGCTGCTCGTCGGCTGGCGGCTTGATGCCTCGAGTGTGGTGTTGGCCTATGGCGGGGCATGTGCCATCTGTGCAATAGGCGCCATGCTTTTCTTCCGAACCGTATGGCGTTCGATCCCAGCGACAACGCAGCCGCTTTCCCAACGCACCTTATGGGCGAAGCTCATACCCTTTGCCGTGTGGATCTGGCTAGGCAACTGGCTCACCAACCTGTTCGTCATTACCGATCGCTACATGATCGTGCACTTCAGCGGCCTCGATTCTGAAACTTCGCTGCAGCTTGTCGGGCAATATCACAGTTCGCGAATACTTCCGGTACTGCTGGTCTCCATCACCGGGATGCTTTCGACGATGATCATCCCGCACCTCAGCCACGACTGGGAGGCCGGGCGCCAAGACTTGGTCGCACGGCGGATGCAATTGACGATGAAACTCGTCGGGCTCAGTGTGCTGGGTGCTGCGAGCGGAATCTATCTGCTGGCACCATGGCTGTTCACGTACGCATTCGCAGGCAAGTTCGCCCTGGGGCTTTCGGTGTTGCCGTGGACCTTGATGTACTGCACATGGTTCTCGATGGTGACCCTCGTGCAGATTTACCTGTGGTGCGCAGAACGCGCCCGCTTGGGAAGTGTGGCCTTGGCGATCGGGCTGGTGGTGAACATCTGCTTGAACCTCGTACTACTGCCACGACTGGAACTGCTGGGTGCCGTGCTGGCCACCTGTGTGGCGAACGCGATTACGTTGGTCGCGCTGTACCAATTCTGTCGCCCTCAAGGGCTCCTGCTCGATCGGGGGACTTGGATCATTTCGGTCGCCCCCGTGTTGCTGTTTCTTCCGGTGTGGGGCACCTGGCTGGGGCTACTCGCCATGGTGGCCATGATCTTCACCACCGATCAGATGCTCGACCACGACGAAAAGCAGGAACTGCTTGAAGTGGGCAGCGAATACCTGGACAAATTCAACGACTTCCGCGCGAGATTTCGTCGCGCTTAGGTAGGACCCCGGCATGTTTACGCATCGAAAACCCAGCGACGATGAACCGTTGCGGGTGATGTTCATCAATACGCATCTCTCCGTGGGCGGGGCCGAAACACTGCTGGTCAACCTCATCCGCCGCATGGACCGCGATCGCTTTGCCCCCGAGTTGTGCTGCCTGAAGCATCTGGGCCCGTTGGGCGAAGAGCTGGCCGACGAGGTTCCGGCGTTCAACGGATTACTGCATAGCAAAAAGGACATCTTTGTCGTTGAACGACTGGGCCGGCTGATGCGCCAGCGAGAGATCGATGCAGTAGTCACTGTCGGCACCGGCGGCGATAAGATGTTCTGGGGTCGACTAGCCGCGTGGCGGGCCGGAGTGCCGGTGGTTCTCTCGGCCTTGCACTCCACGGGCCTTCCCGATCATGTCGAGCGCCCCAATCGCCTGTTGGCCCGCTGGACCGATGGGTTTATCGCCGTCGCCGAATCGCATGGCCATTACCTGGCTGAAGCCGAAGGTTGCCCCGAAGACAAAGTGTTCGTGGTACCCAATGGCGTGAACGTCGAATGCTTCGCCCCCCAACCAGCCGACCAAGAGCTGCGGCGCGAGCTGGGACTATCCGCAGGACAACCGGTGGCCATCATCGTGGCCGCAATGCGACCGGAGAAAAACCACGCCCTGTTCTTGAAAGCCGCGGCCGAAGTACGCGAGTCGATGCCCGAGGCACGCTTTCTCATCGTGGGCGATGGACCCTGCCGCGGCGAGTTGGAATCGCTAGCCGCTTCGCTCAAACTGGAAGACACGGTTCAGTTTCTTGGTGTTCGCTCTGACGTGGCGAAGTTGCTTTCGCTGTCCAATGTCGCGGTGCTCACTTCGAAGATGGAAGCCAATCCCGTTTCGCTGCTCGAGGCCATGGCCACGGCGACCCCAGTGATTGCAACCCGCGTGGGTTCGATTCCCGAAACGGTGATCGATGGCCATTGCGGTTTCTTAGTCCCACCCGATGACGTCGAAGCGCTGGCCCGACGAATCGAGGTGTTGTTCAGCGACCGGGACCTCGCCGAATCGATCGGCCAACAAGCCCGCGAGCACGTGGTCGCCAACTGGTCGCTCGACCGCATGGTGCAAGGCTACGAAGATCTCATCACCCGCATCTATCGCCAAAAACGCGGCGGGTTGCGTCCCACGGGGAAGAACACCGTGGAGCCTCAGGCAGTCGAGCACGAAGAAGTCGTTTCTGTCGGCTAACGTGGAGCCTAGGGTGGGTTCATCCAGCTAGTGTTCCACCGACTAACGTCCCGCAGTTCCCAAGACTGTCTCCAGCCTTCTCTACCCGGTTGCACAAGCACCATAAGTGCTATTTTAATAGTCACTTAGGGCAACTTAAGACCCCAAATCCGCTCTCAAGGATTTCATTATTGGTATCATTTGTGATACTATTTTAATATAGAATAAGCTCGAATTAGCTCTACTTGACCCAAAACACTGCCCGGGCGAAGCAACGATGCAGACGATCGACCTCAACTCACGACGCAAACGACTCGGCATGAGTCTCGAGGCCCTTTCAAAGCAAAGCGGTGTACCCATCGCCACGGTGAAGCGGTTGATGTCGGGCGATTTATCCAAGCACAAGCTGGCGAACGTAGAAGCGGTGAGCAAGGCCTTGGGAATTCAGATCCAGTTCACCGTCGAGCCCGAGAATGTGGTTCGTGAACGCCAGGCCGAAGCCAAGGCCCGTTGGCTGGCAAGCGTGACACAAGGCACATCAGCTCTCGAAGGCCAAGCCGTTGATGACGCCACGCTCGAGCAGGCAATTCAGCAAACCGTCCATGAATTGATGGCCGGATCGAATCATCGTCTCTGGGCATGATCCATGAACGACTTCACCACCGGAGACGGCGCTACGCCGATCGATCCTAGTCATTTAGTAGACAAGACAATCAAGACTAGAGAGCAGCTCTTTCAGGCCGAGTTTCAGAACGTTAACAAGGCCACCCGAAAGTATTTGGCAGCCCGACCAACACAGAAGATGGCATCTTTCGAGTTCGCCTGGCTCCTCAAACTAAACCAAGAGATGTTTGGCGAGGTCTGGGAGTGGGCGGGGAAGACAAGAACTACCGACTTGAACATTGGCGTTCCTTACTACGACGTACAAACGCAACTGCAAGATTTAGTGGAAACGCTGCGCTATTGGCGAAAGCGATCAGAGATATCACTCTTGGAACAAGCCGTGAGGTTGCACCATCGCGCGGTATGGATTCACCCGTTTCTCAACGGAAACGGACGATGGTCCCGGATGCTCTCGAACATCTGGCTTGCGCAGCACGATCACCCCATCGTTATGTGGCCCGAGGCGACCCTTGGATTCGGCGAGAGCACGATTCGCCAAGACTACCTCAAGGCCTGCCGAAGCGCTGATGCAGGAGACTTTACAGAACTGATCTCCTTACATCGCTCGCATCTTGTCGACCGGTAGTGCGTACTTTCGAGGGGCCTCACGCACCCACATCGCCCTGAGTCCACGCACCGTCGATCAACCGCCACATTTTGCCGTTGGGGTTTTTGTCTTGCAGCGTGGGTGGTAAACGGTCGTGGCGGACGTTGTCGTAGCATTCCAACATGGCGAAACGATGTAAGGCGGCGGGAATTCCAACTGCGGTGAAGCCGGGATGTCCGCTGGAAGGATAGGGCCCGCCGTGTTGCATCGCGGGGCTGACGGCCACGCCGGTGGGCATCTTGTCGTTCAGCAGCCGGCCGACTCGGGGGCGCAGCTTCTCGGCGACGCGATTGTACAAGGCATCGTCATCGCCACCGGTGTGTGAGTAAACACAGCCGGTCAGGTTACCTTCCAAGTGATCGATCATCTCCAGCAATTGCTCGATGTCGGAAGCCACAACCAAAAGCGACTCGTTGCCGAACGCCTCGGCTTGCAAATCGACCGGCCGCTTCAAGAAAGTATCGCCCGACGCGCGAAGTAGCGTGTTAGCATAGCGAAAGCCCTCTGCGTCCACCGACTCATCGCCGGCGAGAACGGTCGCTCCGGCTGCCTTGAGTGTGGCGATTCCTTTCGTCAGCGTCTTGCGTACGCCCGCCGAGAGCAATGGTCCAGGGGCGGCGGCTTTGAAACGTGTGGCGATCGACTCAATGAGCGACTCGGTTTCCGGCCCTTCAAGCAGGAATACCAGCCCAGGGTTGGTGCAGAACTGGCCGGCTGCCATCAGGCAGCTTGTGGTGAACTCTTCGGCTAACGCGTCGGCCCGTTCTTTCACGGCTCCCGGGAGAATCACGATCGGGTTCACGCTCGACATCTCGAGATAGATGGGGCGCCCCGCGGCATCGGCGGCCGCTTTCAGCTTCAACCCTCCTCCACGACTTCCCGTGAATGCGGTGGCTCCCACTCGCGGATCGGCAACCATCCGCTCGCCGTCTTCGTTGCTCATGTGATAAATCAACTGCACGGTGGCCTGCGGCATACCGGTCTGTTGAATTGCCATCGTTGCCGCTTCAGCCAGCAGTCGCGAAGTGCCGGGCTGGTTGGGATGCGCCTTGGCGATCACCGGATTGCCTGCGGCGATGGCGGCCGCAAAGTCGCCGCCAGACACCGCGTTGAACGCCAGCGGAAAGTTGTTCGGCCCAAACACACACACCGGCCCCAATCCGGCGAGTTGCGAGCGAATGTTGGCCGCCGAATCGATGGTCGCGGTGCGCCACGAACCTTCTCGGGCCGCGGCGGCCGCCTGTCGCAATTGCCCGGTGGTGCGGGGCAGTTCCACATCGGCCAGTCGCGGGCTGACGGGAAGGGCAGTTTCGCGATGCGCAGAGGAGACGATGGCTTCGGCCGCGGCTTCGATCGCGACGGCATAGTGTTCCAAGAAGTCGCCGATTTTGTCTCCGGACATTGCTCGCAGTTCACCCGCCGCAACCACGGCCGCGTTGAGGGCGGCATCGATATCATCCCAGGTGCTTACGGGAAACGACTCACCAAACGATTCGCCCGTGGATGGGTCGACCGCTTGGAACTCGGTGCGTGCACGAGCCTCGCACCAGCGTCCGTCGATCAGTATTGGCTCATTCTTCATCACTGCAGTCCGTATTTGCGTGTTATTTATTTCAAATAGGCTAAGTGCCAGCGGGGCCAAAAACGCTTCCACCATCGGAGGCTGGCCGACGTTATAAGTCCCTATGAGGGCAGGAACAAGCGACGGCAGAGGCCGGTCCGGGGCTTTGCGAGAGGATTTCGTCGCGATAACATACGGGGCTATAATTTGTGAAGTTTGCGCGAAGTGCGATCGGGAACTTCGAAGTCATGTCAGACAGCGGAATCGTAACAACCGGCCCAACCAGCGATCGGCCTTCATCCGATCGTAAGGTTCGACGATTGCGCGCCGAGACCGATCAATCCCACGTTCGAGAGAAGCCCCGCGAGAAACTGAGCCTTGCCGCGCATTTTATGGCCGGGCTCACTCGTTTCATTAGCGGTTCAAGCGTTCGCTGGATCGACTCGCAGCCAGATACGGCACAACGGGTCTACTTCGCTAATCACACCAGTCATCTCGACGCACTGGTCATTTGGGCAGCGTTACCTCAAGAGGTGCGGCTCATCACCCGGCCGGTGGCGGCAAAAGACTACTGGGACAAGACTCGGTTGCGGCGCTACATTGCTCAAGAAGTGTTCGACGCCCTGTTGATCGACCGCGAGAACATCAAGGTTCACAACAGCCCGATCAAAATCATGCTCGAAGCGATCGGGAACCACTCATCGTTGATTGTGTTCCCCGAAGGGCATCGCAACACGGCCGACGAACTCGACGAATTCAAAAGCGGTCTGTACCACCTGTGTCGGAAGCGGCCCGACTTGGAATTGATTCCGGTCTACATCGACAACGTGAACCGGGTTCTTCCTCGGGGTGAATACCTGCCTGTGCCGCTGCTGACCTGCATTACCTTCGGTCCGCCGATGTGGCTCGAGGACAAAGAGCCGAAGAACGAGTTCCTCAATCGGGCGCGCAATGCCGTGATTCGTCTGCGGGAGACGGCACGGAACGAATGATCGACCCCATCACCCGAACATGGCTGCTTGTCGGCGGCGTGATTGTCGTATTGGCCGCGGCAACCGGAATCGGACAGTACCTTCGCCTGCGCAGTCGCACGGGGGAACTAAATCCTTCGGTCGTAAGCGACTTCAACCTACGGATCCGCTCGTGGTGGCTCATCAGCTCGGTGCTGGCCGCGGCGTTTCTGTTTCCGCAGTGGGTCACCGTACTGGTATTCGGCCTGATTTCTTTTTGGGCCCTGCGCGAGTTCATCACGCTCACCCCGACGCGGCCCGGCGATCATCGTGCGCTGTTCTGGGTGTTCTTTGTCATCACCCCGCTGCAGTTCTTCCTGGTTGGCTTGGGGAAGGAAGCGTATGGGCTGTACAGCATATTGATCCCGGTCTACGCGTTCCTGTTCATTCCCATTCGTATCGCGTTCTCAGGCGATGCGAAGCGGTTCCTGGAACGCTCGGCCAAAATTCAAGCCGGGCTGATGGTTTGCGTGTACTGCCTGAGTTATGCCCCGGCGATCATGAGCCTGGAGATCGAAGGCTATAAATACAGTTGGGATCGTGCCCGACTGCTGTTCTTCTTCGTACTCATCGCGCAGCTTAGCGAACTGATGGAGTACTTCTGGCAACGCATGGCAGGGCGGCGAATCATCGCCCCGTTGATCAATCCCAATCGAACATGGGAAAGCCTGCTGGGCTCGATGGGCACCTGCTCGCTGGTTGGCGGGGCACTGTTTTGGGCCACCCCGTTTCCTCCCTGGATGGCTGCCGGCCTGTCGGCCGTGATTGCCTTCATGGGTTTCTCGGGGGCGATGACCATGTCGGCCATCAAGCGGGACCGGGGCGTAAGCGACTACGGCACCCTGGTCACCGGGCACGGCGGCGTGCTGGACCGTATCGATTCCATCTGCTTCGCCGCCCCGGTGTTCTTCCACTTCACCCGGTTTATTGTCTTCGCCGACTTACTGTAACCGAATCCACCCGCGTTAGCGGCGGATGATTCGGTCCGGAGCTGGGCGAGCATCGTAGCGATCGGCATTCAGAGAATGGGCATTCGGGGCCGCAGTCCCGTCCTTCTCGCGATTCCACTCCACTAATACGGCACGCTCTTCTGAGGCACCCGCGGCCACTGTCTTATTCTCCGACGGTGGATCGAGTGTGCCCAAGTTGGGTACCCGGGGGGCCGGCGAGGAAGGGGCTT